AAAGGAGACTCATTGCGATGGTGGCCTTGTACCACAGAATCAGCAATCAAGACTGGGTGGAAGAGGGCTAGCCTAGGCACGGTTGGCTCACAATATTACCCATCCACCAATATCTTTGCTGCCAATCCGTCTTGTATTCTGGCCAGCCCTCGTCTGCATGTATACAGTCAGCCACCATGGGTGCATCGAGGGAGATATGTTGCGTAACGAACCAAGAAAATCAAGGACGGTGTATCCAACGCTGTGCAGGATAGCTTGCACTGTGGCAACCCGTGCAACCCATCGATGGAACTGGGAGTAAGTCGTGAAGCTCCAGCCTGTGAGCCATAGCAACACGTTGTTTCGCATGGCAAAGGTAAACATGAGAGGCATATTCGCCGTTGCCATGATTCCCGTCCTGTCAGAAAGCCATTGCCATATCTGCCGTGCTGTACTCCGGTAACTAAACGCAAACCTATGTTTAGTCGGATGCTCAAGACATTGGACTGAGAGGTGCCTTACAAGAAGTAGTCCCCAAATGGGTGATAATCGATGCAACACAGGATCACGTTGATAATGACCCAGAGGATCACTAACAATGACTGTAACCTTGGTGGAATCGTACACCAGCCAAAAGGCTGTGCAGAGTGATATCCCAAGAGCGCCGGGGTTGTGATCCACCTCCTCATCCACATTTTATAACGGAGCAGCCATGCTGGGCTGGAAGAGGAGCCGGTATCCTTTCGTCGTTGCTGTATAACTTGGGCGACGAGAAGATAAAAGCGATATAGGATGCCCAAGGACATAACCAAACCCCAGTAGCCGACCATCGCCCATCTGTGTATGGTCAACACGCTGCTTTTGGAGAAGAGAAAATTGGAAAACTCACCCATACCACTCTTGGGTAATGTCTGTAGACAAGTAAATGTCCTTGAGAGCAGTCAGCCAAATGTCGAGTGCAAAGACAGTCCGGTACAAAGGACCTACTTCAGTCTTGTGGGTGATGTGGTATACTTCTGGTGGTACTTGGGTGAGTTGGTCGAGGACAATCGGATTTTCCTCGCTTTCTTCAGTCCTCGAGAACCAAAACTCGTCTACTGTCATGACTCTATGAGCCTGATCCCACGTGATGTTGTCAATAATTGACCATGGCAATAAAGATACCTCGCCATATTCCTCGCATTGGCTGTTCCAGTAGTGCCAGCCATAGTCTGCCTGTTCTGGGGTGCAGTAGTGGCGCATACACAGGAAATATGATTTCGCCCTGAGTTCGTTCTGACAGTGACTGGCGTAGAAATCATCTTCGAGGGTATTCGGTTTGAACAGAAATTCTGCAAGTGCTTGGTGGCAAGACCAGTGACAGTTGGTTGGATCGCTGACGAAGGCTTTGGCAGCTGGCAGCCACAAGAAGAGGGACAGGAATGCGAGCATATTCGTGAACATATTCATTCTTGCTATGTGCAGGATTGGGAAACCTTCTCTCTGCCCCGGCCACCCGCCATGAATGAAGGGTCTTAAGTATTTCCTTCATCCTTCCAACGTCGCCCGCGGAGAACTCCATCATTTCCCTCGATCACCAGTAGGAACCTCGACTCGACTCCAGCAGCACGAGCGAGAGGACTGTCCTCTGCACAGACGTTCGAGGGGCCTATCATGGCTGATGTCCCGGCGGGATAATGGCCTAGATTAGATTAGATTGATAACTATCGCTTGATAAGATATTCTAGTGCGGGCTTCAATTGGGGGGTGCCCCACGGTCGTTCAGCACCGCTGCTCATGCTCGACCACTGTACGTCTATTCTATTAGGAACTTCTGTCCATCAAAATGACTAACAATTCGAGACGGACCATCGAGAGAGGTCCCACCAGAAAGTATATGCCGCAAGCACGAGCCAATTCAGTCTCGTAACCCAGCCGACCTTGATGGTTGCATAGTACTAAGGGGGAAAATTTTCTCACTACCCTCAGGGTAACCATCTTTTTTATTCGCGAGCGGAATCACCCTTTTCTATGACTGGCGCTCAAATCAAAGACTAGTTAGTGAGGGCTGAAAAGCTTTCACCACGACGAGACAAATCAAGGCAAAAGTAGATTCGCTAGCTGGATCAGAGCCTGTAGGGTGTAGGCAGGTCTGTACGTGGAAGAACAGAACGTCAGGGTGGATGTAGTAGGCAGTGCTAGTCTTGCACAATCTACGCATGCTTTATGTCAATTGACTGACAGGAAAGCTTTTGTTGGCATCGACCTGGGAACATTCCAAGCACCACACTAAAAGTCTTGCTCGATTAGCCAAGTGAAGTCCAAGCTCCCAGGGTCCTAAGCTCTCATAACTAGCCCCAATCGCAGATGGTTTGCGGAATCACGGCGCGATCATTATCATTCGCAAAGCTGTTATACATCGACAGGCTTGTCGATCCCAAAGTCGGTATGTCCCGGGTTCTCATGAGTCCGAAAATTCTTCCAGCCGGTTTTGCATGAATCGGAACGTTCGGCAGGAGCAAGTCGGATACTGGAAGCTGTTACTAGTGGCCGATGTTCGGTGTTCTTCTTTGAGAGGCTTCTCGACGGCTAGGAGCTCCACGTATGTATAAGAGAACAAAGTTCAGCAGAAACGAGGCGGGGGGTCCAAACTCCTCGCCATGTGTAAATTACGGGTCAGGGATTCGCTTTTGCAAAAGCTCCGCAAGCCATACACTGACTTGCCCAGGAGCTCACCTGGCATACCCTATACTCGGTGCTGTCTGATACGTGTATACATGTGTCCTACTGTCAAAAAGCACGTTGCTCCCCCCGCCTGCCCATATAGATTGGTGGCTCCAGTTACAGTGCCGGTGTAGGGTCAACAACGGGACCAAAAGGTTTCTGGTTGAGTTCTACCGCGGCAAGAGAATAGCCATCTAACTGGGCATGGGTCACCTGTGGCCAAGACTCCATACATGCCTTCCTTAGTGACAAATCGACTGCCCTCGGGTGATGCCTTCACGTGATGTATTTGTAGCCCCACAGAAAACCTACCTTGCCCACCGTTCCGCAACCTTAACCAACCACCACCACCACCGGTACGTTTACCGACCTGCACTCGGTACATTAGTGTGCATTTACTAACCCTTTCTGTGTTCGTGTAACCTCCTCAACCAATCGTACGTGCCCCCAAGGTTTACTACGTACATAAAAATATGCTAACACGTCTGAACAATAGTACGTTCAAGCGATTCCTCATTCCTCCCTCCCTATTTCTGGTACAAGAACTGAAAGCAAAGTAGAATGAAAATCAAGAACGTGGCCTAGTTCTCTAGGACCCTGAAGAGGCCCAACGGCAATTAGATCGCATAGTAGTCGATGTTGTGCCCTGGATGTCCGCAATACCGGGGCGTGGTATCGCCTTCGTACGAGGGCGAATCACTCGTCAGTAGATTCGTACCCATCGGCCCTCCTACATCCTCGCTCTATTAAGCCGGAGTTGGGGGGATTCGATCGCCTTTCCCGTGTCGTCAATTTTCGGGGCTAATGAGCGTATTTCGGAATGCGGTCGTATGCCAGGGTATTTCGGTGGGTGCTGCGGCAACTACAAATGGCGAGATCATACTCTCCGTTGTAGCCATTCTTACACTGAACGGAGGGATGCGATGGAGCTTTCATCGTCGTCATCCAACGTTGACCTGCAAGTTGTCCTGGCGGGCCAGGCTATGTATAAACCTATCACCCTTAAGGTACGTACGAAACTTCCTTTGCTTTCCTTGCCTCGCGAGCACCTGCACACTACCCTGGCCTAGCTATACGGGGCTGTCGATAGCACCTGGTCATGCTCTTGTGCCCTTTCGCGGCGACTAGGATCAGTAGCTTCAAGCAAAACTAAACAGGATCCTTCATAACAACGGAAAGTTATGAAAACGAATAGACCGTGTATGAATACGCTTAGAATTCTCCTCTAGAATCTCCATCACACCCATTGGGAATATCCTTAGATTTCTCAATTGATCGCGCGATAGCATGATCCGGATTATTCTCATTCTCATGATCTCTTCGTACGTGTCTTCCTAGCATATTCCATCCCCTTGTTATCGTAACATCAACTCTTGCCCGGTGCAGCCTATTGAACTGGGGCGAGGCTCTTAGCCAGAGGTATCAACTCGTACGGCGGTGGGCATGGAGGTAGGGGTAACGGCTGTCGCACAGTAATAACAACGATAGCATAGAAGGTCCTGATCAGGTAGATTCCATAACTTGATAGATTGATTCCCCTTGAGGGGTCCCTGTTGAAGAGGAAGAAAGAAAAAATAGGACCTCAGACCTAATGCCTGAGATCCCACCAACTAATGACCAAGAGTGCCATCCTGTACACTGTACAGGCAAATTCCACCAATCACGTTCCAGCTTGCCTTTCTCCCCATTACACTATCTCCGTGGATGAGGTGCCCAAGCTTGTGGCTATTGGGTTTTACTATTTCGTACGTTCCGAATTAGCCAAAAACAGCGACCTTGTACGGACCCTAAAATCGCGGTTCGCATTTCTTCGGGTTGCCGGCTCGTGTACCACTGAGACAAGCAGTACTGTTCTGTTCTGGATACATGGTGTGTTTAGTGTGAAATAACGTTTCGAGAGTCTCTTGTGGCCCTTGACCCACCAAGGCCTGACGATGACCCTTCAACCCGTAAAACTTCCACGGATCGAGAGTCACCTTTCACTAGGCGGTAGCCTCGGCGTATCGACCAATTTTGCAAAGTCAACGATCTCTCAGAGTACTGCATGCGTAGGCCTGATCTGCCTCCGACACTTTCCATCCTCGAGTGCTTGCCCTGAGAGTGCACTGTAATGGCACATAGTGTGCGCTCGTCATTAGTTGCTGAGAGATGTAACTGAGATGTCTGGTGAGGTAGAATCCCGCTGTGGGTGGCAGAGCGGCATACCTTGATTGCTCAAGGTATCAGATTCGTCCTCTTGAAGCACTGACAGGGACGTATGGCTGTCCGTCAACGTGGTGGACGGAGTATCAACAGGTGCGCATCGGGCTGTCCTCTATCTATCGCCACCACTTTTTACCCCATCCGCCCTTCCTTGGACCCCAATTCTCCTTTGTCGCAGCATCAATATTGTCGATGCTCAAGTAGTCGACACCCTCCCGGACCAGTACACGCCAAATATAGTTCCGAACCCCAACTGGCCAGGGGGGGATACCCCAATATCGGACCTTGAGGCCGCGAGCATGGGCGCCGTGAATTTGTTTGCGGAGACGTTCGAGTTGGAGTTGGGATAGAGAAGAGTGCCATGGATGCCCGATGGATTTAACAAAGGACGCCGAAGCGAAATAAGAATTGGTCGAAGAGTAGATGTCTGGGTTCTCAGGAGGGGAAGAGATGTCATGATCATGATCGTGTGGGTCGGTCGAGGGAGAGGATGACGGGGCCAAGGAGACGGCAGGGAAAGTCGTCGACGGTAGCGCCTGTGCTGACAAGAACAAAGGCGACATTAGACCCAGAGGCGCATCGTAGAAAATTTCTCGGTAGGTCGAGTTTGCTACGACACGATCAAACGGTGCGTTTCCCGTTGCGACAATGGTGACTGGCCCAGGCACAACCGTCGTTCCGTCGAAATAAGTCAAGTAGTTGCGTTCACGCAAGGGTGCAATGTCGGCCGATAGACGGTGCCATATCATGGTGGGATCGTTTTTAAAGTCCACGAGCAAGGTGAGCGACTGCTTTGGATCGGCCGCAAAAACGCCGTGGACTTCATCTGAGGCAGATCCAATAAATTCTGGGATCCGATTCTGATAGTCGAGGATGTCCTGTAGTTGATCCAGGTATAGGCTTTTCAGGGTCCGATCCTGGCGTATGCCGGGTATTGTGTGCGCGACGTAGAGTTCACCGTCTATATGCCAGAGGTCGGCTTCGACGCTGGTACACCCCGCCCGAATGGCTTGGTATAGAGGCTCGGCGTGAAAATAGTCGTTATGAGAATGACACATGATGGGCTGAACCCCGGCGGTGAGGCGTTCTAAGCTGCCGTCCTCCAGTCGAAGCGGCGGCTTGAAAGGGCCTGAGATCAGATCTAGGCCATCCGGAAACAACGCCTCAAGAAGGCTGTTCAGGGATGAGAGACCTTGGACCACTCCTCTGTGATGTCTCAGCTAACTTGTGCCCCTTCCGAGAATGATAAATACTCACAACAGCGTCAAGGCCACTTTTAGTGGGGAAAAGTTCTTTGCACCCCGGATTGTAAGTCTTCGGAACCTCGAGGCCACATGACGGCCTACCCAAACACTCTTTCTCGAAAAGCGCTCATGGGCGGACGGATTCTCAGGAATTTGGAGCTTTAAAGAGCGTCTTGATGGGCGACTCTGTGTGCGCATCACATCGTCTTTTGGGGGCCGGTCAATAAAGTAGCCCAGTTCTATGTCATCACGACCGCTGGCATGATCGTTGTTGACGTGGGAAGTCTCAAGCAGCTCGACGTCTTGGAGGTTTTCGGGTGCGGGTTCCCGCTCTGGGGCACCAGATTGACAAGAAGTCGTTTCCCAGGCCAGAGAGTACTCAGTCCGCCTAGGGTATGGCGTATCACACTCTGGATGTGTGAGTGGTCGATAATCTCGTCGATATGTTGTATATGCGACCACCAAGCCCAGAAGACTGCCGCAAGAGACATCGTACAGGTCATGTCGATAATCTGCTAGCCGCGACATGGCCACCAGAGCCGCGCAAATTAGCGGTGCCAGGAAAATGAGAATACTCGCCAGATGAGGCCGTGGTCGAAAGATGTGCAATTGACCAGCCAAAAACAAGCTGAAATATCCCAGGCCTGAAAAGGCCCAGCTACTGTGCCCGCTCGGAAAACTGCGCCAGCCATCTAGAAGCAAATCAAGATCGGGCTGCGTGCAGACAGCAACGGTGACTAAAATGTCGGTCGGCGTTCCTCTCTTTGGCTGACATCGGGCTATCAAGTCGGGACGAGGGCGACCTATAGCCTTTTTAATGATATCTGTAATAAGCGCAGCAAGGTATACGCTAAAGAATAGTCCCAGAATGGTGACATGCGCCTTGTACACGCCGGGTCTTGCTATCACTGCCCAGAAAACCAAGACCACCAGCGGTGCTGCCCCGGCAAGGAGGGTATTCTCTTTCGAAGACACACGCTGGACGCTGGCGAAAGGATATTGAATTGCGCGGTCGTCGAGTCGAAACATTTGTTGCACAGGCTCCAGAAATAAACGTATCTCAATATCGTTCGGTCAGCCATTGGTCCCCACGCCTTGCAAAGAACTGACCGAAAATAGTGCAACGACTAGCAGTAAGAACCCAAGATAGTCAATGGCATATGATGGATGCCAGAGGCGAGGCACGGTGGCCGCCCAAGAAGCCCAGGACCGCTTCATCGGAGGGGTCATCGCTCGTCGATAGGAGTTTGACAGAAGTATTCTGAGAGACGTGTCTTGGGTGGCACGTGCGAGAGTGGCGTACGCGGCCCTGTTAATTATGACGTCTTCTATCTTGGGTGGTCTCCGGCGACGCGTACGGCCCTGTTAAACTCCGAGAACAAGCCACCGGAGGCATAGAAAGGAGAAGGATGGTCTACTGAAAGGAACAAGCCACCGCGAGGAGATACAACGGTAAAAGGGACATAAGCTTGGCTAGTAAGAGATCGCAACGTGAGAGGTGTTGCTAGCTAGAATTCTCTCACGGTCCTCTTGCCACACATGGACAGCCTAGATGTAGTAGACCACGCTAGGCAACGCGGAACGAGGCGTGCACGACCAGTGCGAGACTCGTGGGGCGTAGCGTGCGTTAGTAGCCATGGCGGGGGAAGCTCTACCAGACTCGTGGCGGGGTCTTAACTAGGCACCCAGGATCCGTTACCTCGGTGATGAAGCTGGTAACCAAACTACAGTGCAGACACTTGTCGTAGCAGTACCTAGTCATACAAACAGCTCGTTGGCGATGAGATACACCCATGCTAATGAGGCGGGGTTTCTCATTGCAGGACGACGAGAGATATTGCTATGTCAGTCTCATCATCACAACGAATCACTGAGTGGCTCAATAATTTCAACGAATCATTGAAATCCAAGATGGTTCCCCAGCCTGCGTCTCTTCAGCCTGCGTCTTGCGGCACCACTGACCTGAAGCCAAAATTACAGTACATGGAGAATGAGGATACCCCATGAACAAAGAGAACGAGGCCAGCTGGCTGACAGAGTCCACTGCTAACTAGCAATCTCAGCGAGCTTGATCTAGAAGCTGCGCCCGATCGCACTTCACAGTCCTCACACTCATCATGAACGACAAGCTCTCGCAGCTCAAGCCCATCGAAACGTCGTCGCACACTTCCCATACGATTCTCGGGACCCATTCTTCGAGTTATCGATGTTGACGAGGTCGCGAGGTGGAGAGTTGCAGGGAGATCCACCAAGGTGCCTTTGCTCGAGAACCTTTTTTCATACATCGCCAAAATCGATGATGCGTGGCAAAAATCACTGAAAGAGGAAGACTTAAGTGATATTCATGTTGACTTGAAACGATGTCTTCGCACAGATGCTAATGAGGATTCGTGGAGCGATTGGGTGGTACTGCCAACATTACAACTGGCCAGAAAGTTGTCAAACTGGCGGGAATACGTTGATATTGTCAACGTGTATGTGCAACATGTTTAGCTGTGTCGATCACTAACATTCTTCAGGAAATCGATCGATTTTACCCCTACCACCCTTCTCAGTGGCCCCTACAACAAACGGGGGGATTATTCCCTGGGCCTGGAAGTCGCAGGCACCGATACATCCCCCGAGATTCAACAGTCACTTGAGTACTATACTGTGTCGCAAAGTGATCACAGGATGCTCAACGACCGAGCCCTCTTCTGCCACATCGAGATCAACGTAAGAACTCAGCCACGGCAGAATCTCAGCTTGAGGTTTGGTGTGCTGCCGGCTTTTGAAAGCAGGAGAGGATGTATAGACAAGCAAGACGCAATGAAACAATCACCCCGAAACGGGCACCGCAGTCTCTGTGGATTTGGGCAAAAGACAAAGTGCATCTGTCCGTTGCGGCGATGGACTCAACAGAGAACAGGATTTACTTCCTCAATCAAAAGACCTTCTTCGTCGACAGGGATGAACCGAAGTCTCTGCGCCCGGTATTAGGCATGATAGTAACGATTATGGACTGGGGCTACACCCATTATCTGCTTTGGTTCCGAGACTTCATCGGACGAAGGGACTTGAATGACCAGATTTAATGACTTCATGTGAATGGGCTCGATACGAGTAGGCCAAACAACAAACGCGATTTCTATTACTGCCGCTAAGCGTTCTCTACGATGTAAATATGTCCCTCTCCAACTTTCACGTCAATTGTTTCTCGATTACTGAACGATGCTGGCAAAGTCACCGGAACATTTTCGCTTACCAATAAGATGACGGGCGGAATTCAATTCACGTAGCCGGTCGCTCGCTCACCAGACTAGCACCCCAGGTTTCCCCAGACCCATTCGGCTTCGAGAATATTGTAAACCTCGCTCAAAACCCAACTACGACAGTCTCCTATTATGGTTCGAAACAAGAGCTTGATCTTCAAAAGTGTGCCAACCCATGCACCGATTCCAAATGTGCACCTGGGTATTGAGGATCGGGAATTCGATCTCACAACCGATCCGCCTCGGGGAGGGGTAACCGGCAAGACACTCTATGTCAGCCTCGACCCTTACATGAGAGGGCGGATGCGCCCTGCAGAGACGACATCATATTCTGCTGCGTACACCATCGGAGAGCCCATGATTGCCTACGCGCTGATCCAGGTCATCAAATCCAACAACGACAAGTACGTCAAGGGAGACATCGTATACGGTCAATTCCCAGTTGCGGAGTATAGTGTCATTACCGAGGAACTCCTCTCGCGCGACCTTGTCCGCAAAGCTCACCCAATTCCCAACGCGCCACTGTCCAACTGGCTCAGTCTACTAGGCTCGACTGGTCTCACAGCGTACTCGAGTCTCTATGAGCTCGGGGCCCCGAAACGGGGGGAGACCATCTTCGTCTCCTCGGCCGCCGGCGCAGTCGGGTTGTTCGTTGGTCAAATTGCAAAGATAGAAGGCTTGACCGTTATTGGTAGTGTCGGCGACGATGCAAAGCTAAGTCTCATCAAGGAGGTAGGCTTCGATGATGGCTTCAATTACAAGAAGGAGAGTACGGCCGATGCTCTGCGAAGGCTGGCACCCCAGGGCATCGACATTTACTACGACAACGTCGGAGGCGAGCAGCTAGAAGCAGCTCTTGGCGCCATGAACAATTTTGGGAGAATCAGTGGGTACTGCCATTGTCCTACTGGCCCTCTTCCGACTAATTGTCGTTATCTAGTTGAATGTGGCATGATCTCTCAGTATAACAAACCTCTTGCCGAGCAGCATGGTGTGAAGGGCCTTATGAACGTCATCGCGAAGCGACTGAGGATGGAAGGCTTTGTCGTCACAGATCCACGGTTCGGGCCCAAGTGGCGGCAGCAAAGGGACGAGAAGATGCTCCAGGTAAGAAGTCCAGTGGTTATCCCGAATAAATTGAGTACAGTGAGAAACCTGACATGTGCTTTTCGTAGTGGCTGAGCGAGGGCAAGCTGCGAAGCATAGAACATATCACCGAGGGGATCGAAAATGCCGCACAGGCCTTTGTTGATATGCTCGAGAGTAACAGGGCGGTTGGGAAGGCGATCTTGAAAGTAGCGGATCCAGAGTAACAGACAAGGTCCTCCTATCATACAGTCTGAAATTGTTTGATTCTGTGTTTGAATTAACGTCTCCTTATCCACTGCATTCCCATCACTTCCCACTTCCTCTGTCTGTGCTCATTTATAAGTGACAAAATTCGCCTCGTATGCAAAGGATGATTGATCTGGCTCTCGACATTTTAGAAGATGTTCCTGAGGAAAGCAACAACCCAGTCCTTGACACCTCTCTTCTTCTTTTCCTCTTGCAGCTCCATGATGCTGGCGCGTCTCTGCTCGTCTGGGACATTTGGGCCACTGATATCTACTTGAGTGTCGCGCATACCCGTGTAGATATCAATGTCCTTCGCTCTGATGAACAACGGACGGTCTTGTGGTCGGGCGAACCAGCTATACCCCTTCCAGCACAGGTACAAGAAGATGAGTAGAGGGCCGGCGAGGTAGAGCTGGAAAAAAGTGTCGGCGTCCAGGTAAGGACCACCGACGGGATAGAGCGCAACGTAAAACTGGGCAATAAGGCTGATAACGTTGATGAACAAACACACCCACGAACCCCAGACCCCGAAGGCGGCTCGGAAAGGCAGCTCGTCCAAGGAATGCCCCTGTGCTTTCCTGCAAATGGTTAGTGACTCAGGCATGGGCCAGGACCGGATTTGGGTACTTACCATGCCGCACGGAAGCGAATATGAGCCAGGGCAATACCGCCGTAGATGAAGAGAATTGATAGACCCGACAATGACAGAAGCCAATTGAAGATGGTGCCGCCATTGTCTGCCAGATTGATGAATGCCAGACAGCCGAAGAGGAGCTGGAGAATGACAACGGCCACGGGCCGGCCCTTCTTGTCCACGTAGGCCAGAATCTTCGGTCCCATTCCTGTATATAGGTTTAGCGTGATGGAGAAAGTACGAGAGTGCCCACGTACCATTAGCAGCAAGTGCCTGAATTGTTCGAGTCGAGCCGAACGTGCAAGAGTTGGCAACACTCATGACTGCAATCAAGATGACAGCATTGAAGATGGACGGGAGGACTTTGATGCCAGCCAGCTGAATTGCAATGACAAAAGGCGAGTGTCGCGAAGTGGATCCTTCACCACTATACAAGGGGCTGTTCTCCGGTACGATCAAACCAACGAGGAAGAGGTTGACAATGTAGAAGATGAAAATCCGCCACACAACCTGTTTGGAGGCCCGTGGAATCTCCTTCTTGGGATTGGCCGTTTCCGCAGCAGCCAGTCCAGTTAGCTCAGTACCAGTATAAGCAAAAGCTGCGGTGACAAAGACACTGCAGAAGCCGTGGAAGCCATTGAGGAACGCCTCATAAGGGTGATGCCTGTTTCCAATATCAGCCTCGCTGCTGAGAGCCATTACAAAGTGGCGACTTACCAGTATCTTGCACCAATGTAGCCTCTGTCATCGGTTGGGACACCGCCACAGTCAATTATTATTCCAAGAATCATAAAGCCTATGCAAGCAATGATCTTGAGAATACTGAGGGCAAATTCGACCTTGGTTCAATTAGCACAACGTCGCACGATTTCGGGATGAGCGTACCTCGCCATAACCCCTCACACCAAAGAATTGGATAGCAACCAAGGCCACAAGCAAGGGAACGATCCAAGCACTGTTGTTGATACCATCTGACCCATGCCAGTAGTGGATGATATTACAGGCGGCAGACACTTCGAAGGGAAGAACAGTCAACCAACTGATGGCGTACTCCCAGCCGCAAGCAAACCCGAATGAGGGATCAACGAAGCGGCAGATGTACATTGTGAACGCGCCATTGATCGGATACATAACGGACATCTCGGCAAGAGCCTGCATCATGAGGTAGCTAAAAATGACAGTGTGAGCCAGAGATCAATGTCGTGAATGGCATCGAAGACACATACACCATGAGACCTAGGACTTTGTTAGCCACCACTTTGCACTTCCTGCTGTAGCGGACGACTTACCAATGATCATGAAACCGAGAAGTACAGAAGCAGGTCCACCAGTCTGAAAGGCACCACCAGAACCAATGAAGAGACCGGCACCAATAGCACCACCACTATAAGAAAGGCGAGTCAGTATCTGCATTTGGAGCACTCGGGTCCTATACTTACATGGCGATCATTTGCATGTGTCGGCCCTTGAGATCACGGTGCAGCGCGTACTGGTCGCCCTGCACCATAGTCTGATCTTCTGGGTCGACGCTGAATTGTCGACCCCGTGCATGAGCCGCGAGGCTGCTCGGCTCATGGGCTCCATTGTCAGTGGCATATTTCTCGTTGAGAGTATGGGATTTGTTATCGGAACTCATCTTGGCGATTGACCAGAGAGCAGAATGAGAGGAAACAAGAAGACGACCAGAGGACGACCGCGGTGACCCTGGTTTTAAAGCAACCAAGCTTCACAAGTATCAGGCAAGCACCACAAGCACGCTTAAGCTCTAAAACCATTAGCGACAAGCAGGTACGGCAAATCATAGATAGGAGTCCTACGGTGGTCGCATTCAGAGTGGTTCGGGTGGGTTGGATCCTTGCATTGTCCACACAGACCATTGGTGATCGCCACGATAAGGTGACATCGTTCCGGCGCGCCCTCATTTAACGAACCCTGCCTCGGCTTTGCGGAGAGTAGGGCATTCCTGGGTGGGGGAAGACGACAGAAGCAATCGCTTGCATCAACCGATGTGGCGTATCTCTCATGTGAGCTTCGATGAACCTTTCTATGACACCACGAGACCTAATTGAGGGTTTTTCCCGCAGGTCTAGATATGCAGTTTCGTGATGGCGACCAACCGCTGGCACTCACACACACCGCCAACCACCAATGGCCCAGGCGCAACGGAATGGCCAGTCACCCACAGTGTTGCAGGATTCGACGTCGATCGCTTGCCCGGGCATGGTCCGTATGACCAGTCGGTCTTCCCTCGAAGCCATCGACGCCTGCTCGTGTGTCCTGCGCACCGTGATTGGCCTGGCGGAGCGAGTTCTGGGATTGCTGGCAAAATTGCCCCAGGTGGCACAAAGTGGCTCGAAGTGGCTCGCAGTGGCTCAAAGTGGATTGTCAAAAGATAAGGATGTTGCAGTGGCGGGGGGCGCCAAGCCTCTGTCAAGAGCTTCCATGCCTTCTACGCGGTCCGCGTGGTTTAAATTGAGCGAGGGCCCACAAAGAGGAACTTTGATCAATAATGCACCGCGAGGGGTTGGTTGACCAACATCGTCCCGTCAAACGAACAACACCAATGCATTCGTCGGAGTCGGAATGGGTCCGGCCGAAGTTGGTGGTTGTTCTCCAAACCGGTACCATGAGGAACAAGATGATGACGATCCTACCGTCCGATGAAGCTTGCGCTACACAGAAACTCTGACCGCAGATCGACCCTCCCAGTATCGTCATAGCCTCTCCTAGAAATTGATAAAGCGCAACGATGATATCCGAGAAGAGAAAGACATTCTGAGGGAGACTAATGATAGGTGCGATCACCAAGAAAAGGCACAATCATCAATGGTACCAGCCATCGGATACGCTTGCCTGACTAGCGAACAGGTGGACTGACACTTTCAGATGTGCAATCTTGCATCTCTTGGAACAGGCTCTTCGTGACGCAAGTTGCCGATCTGTGATACAGGGCAGATGGCAGAGATAACGGGAACGACGTCAAAAAAGCTTGATGTGGTGAAGGAAACGACAAGACAACGACAAGACAGATAAGCAAAATGACCAGAAGCTAAGATTTAGGGCACCGCAGGCGCACCACAACTGTTTCCTCACCACCCCTTCAGAGTCGCAACAAGCGCATCTGCGTTGCTCAATCGCCCCCAGTACTTGTGAACAGTTTCCTGAGCCTCCATTCTGTTCGGGCCTCTACCGTGGACGACTATAGCCGGTCCACGACCAGCGGAGGGCATTTTACAGTCGAAAGATGTTGGAAAAGACATAAACCAACCCAAAAGGTTATCTACACATACATCCGGTGGTGAGCGGGAGTGGAGAATCAGGCCGGTTCTGCCTTTGCATTTGACACGACTTGGCGACGTTCTTCTGAGCGATTTTCAGGGAGTCATTCCGTCAAGATACGAGGTACATAAATCGGGTGAACAGTGTTCCCCGGTTGCGCCCATCGAGGTGCATCGAGACGAGTGCGACTCCTCGGTTCACCTGGGACTGCCTTGGAACCCTTCACAAGTTGACAACAAAGACTCCGCTGCCTCTCCCGCAGCAGTGACAACACGTGTGGGTGAGTGGTCATCTTCTTTTTCCACTGCCATGGTGTAGATGCACTGTTAGCAACTTATACAAGCACTTGTAGACCTACTTGGAGGCGTGGAGATGAGGGGAAGGGGCACCCTCCTTGACCATCTCAAATAGGACAAATCCCCACGATCAGCTACAGTTTGGTTGTCAGCAATGCAACCATCAAGAACTCCCATGCAAGCCAAACGAGGTTTTTTGTAACAGTTATGCACAGCTTACACGATACACCACTTGCCAAGCGTCGCACCTGGTACCTCATCTGGCATGTTCAACCGTGAAGCGAGTTTCCTGGCCTATTCAGGTTTATTGGCCCGGCACGATTAGGCACCTTGGCACTTTTCAAGCGAACCTGCCTTGGAAGGACCATGGCGGCGCACGGCATGCCCCGATTGACGACTACAACTAAGGGCCATCACAGCACCCAGTACGAGAACAAACAACATGGGCCGCTAACAGATCCAGAACCGGCATCTTCACGCGTGACCCGGGGAAAGCGATCTACTTGTACAAGTATGGATATCACTCGGCCCTCACACCACCCCAAGTGGGGGCAAATCTTCCAGCGGGGGCAATTGTGACCATGTCTTGCCCAGGTCTCGACCACCTCCTAACCCATGCTAGCCCTTAGCTTCGGGCGTCCAGTGGGCCGGTTACATTGCAAAAATGACGGCGAGACAATCCAAGGCCCAACAGGGACCACCTCTGACAATCACAGTATACTTGTTCTGCTTGTACATTTTCCGAGTACGAGGTCTAAGTACGTCCCATCAGAAGATCCACAAGCACTCTTGACCATTGAGCAAATCATGTGCGAGGCTGTCAGATGGGACTGTCAGGGACCTAAGCTCAGCCTTACTGGCAACAGTGCGGAGCTGATATGGTGGATGGTACCCACGGACGGGGCGAGCTCCAAAGATTCCCGATCGCCCGGATGACCAGCGCCTTCTAGGTAACTCGCTGAGGGTCCACACGCCTGCGAAACTCACAGTATGGCATACAAGTATGTGCTGGCTACATTTGCCGTCAGCAACGACTTTTCGAACAGTGTCTAACCTGAAAAGGCGTTCAACCAGGCAGCTCAGAAACGAATTCAATTCGTCAGGACTAGAGGATGAAGAGTCTTTCCAACAGCATAGGAGACAGATGTTGCGGGGGACCAACGCCCAAGAATGGATTGATCAGGCTAATCGTGCCCGCTGGATCTTTTAGGGCCTCCCCATGATATTTGTCTTTTGCAGAAACCAACCCAACAAGGTTGACCCACTTGAAATCTTCCTCCTTCCCGTACCCCTTCGAAGCTTACTTGTACATGCCATGATATCTGGAAATCTGCTTGATTTGTGATCCACTACTACACATTCAGCTATTCCACAGGCTTGGCCACGATGGTCAAGGTAGTGAGTGATACATCGATCACCTGGTGAGATTCATTCGAGAACTAAATGCTGGAACAACCATACCGCTCCATAATCAACTTCGTCTTTAAGGAGTCTTCGGGGAGGAGCCAGCCTTTCTTCTGGAAAAGTTCCAGAATCTTGGCACGTCCCTCTAGAGCTTTTTTGACATCAGCCGTCTTGAAAGACACCTCAACAATTAGTTCAAGTGTCGCGTCCGTTTCGCTCTTTCGAATTGGCCATACTTCAATGAAGAGCTTGGATCCGTCCCATCTGCCTTTGAACCGCTTCGCGTGTACCGGGCCATAAATGATGGAATTCTGGACATGATCCGTACCCCAGCCGTCTCTCACCCAGTTCTTGAATTTGCTGGGCGCGTTGGTGCTGAGAAACATGCGCGAGTCGTCCACACGTGGCAGCTTCATTCCGTCGAAATTCTTGTCGGAAACTTTCACGTCGGAGCTGACGGAGAGAGTCTGCTTCTGGTATCCTACTTCAATCTGGGCTTTGTACGCTGTTGTGGTGTCGAACCCTTCCTGCAGAGCCGTCTCGAGTGCCATGTCGATGCTACCTCCCGCGATTCTCGCATCTCCCTCGTCAATTGCATAGCGCTTCTTGTACGTCAACTCAAAGTCCTCTTCTCCTTCTTCTTTGCGAATGCGAAGATTCCAGCCACTGGTATAGAGGTCTCGTTCCTTTGTGTCGAGAAATTGGATGTTCATCTTCTTGGTGCTCGGCTCGACATGAAACTCTGTTACGATGGCGCTGTCGAGTTTGTTATTTGAGGTCAGCACTTCCGAGGGCTTGAGCAGAATCTTGACCTCGTAGTCAGGGACAAGCTTAGGCGCCATGATGCTGCATTTGTTCAAGCTGTTGTGGAGGATTGCGAGGCTGCGCTTTATTCGACGGCACTCGAGAGTGACCGGAAAAGAGTTGATATATACAACAGACTCTCATCTCCTATGGGAAGGGGCCCGCTGGCCACTTTTGATCCTGACGAGGTCTGGATACTTCGTATCAGCTGCTTGGCTAGTGAAGTGGTTGTTCAGCTTGCTCTTGAATCGCCATTCACGAGACGCGGCTATCGTGGAATCCATACCTTTCACGACCAGGCCCGGATATGTGCGTGTTTGCTACACTCGAGTCCGCCATCGCCGTCTCAACTGTACAAGTACACACTTTATTCAACGCAATAGATTATCCCGCAGTCCCTTGTGTCGTGCAAATTTCCATGAATGGGGACATTACCCGTGTCAGGCACAAATGAGCTCAGCTCCAACCAGTTTATACCCCTCCTCGCCATCCTTCACCCCTTGCACCACTTTTTACAACTCTGGTTCAGTTTGCCTCCTTGGCTGACCCCATCGATCGATACAAGCAGGCGAATCTCAGCTCAAAAGCTGCCAAGGGAGCTGAGGCGTCCATCGAACCCGTATTCTTCAGCCCGGCTCAGGGCACTGCCTCTTCACCATCACATTCTGGGTCTTGAGCCAACATGCATGAGTCTAGGTGATGTCCCCAAGAGGAGCTCGATGTCTATCCCTTGACACAAACTAGTGGGCAACCGTTTGACGCGGGGCTAATAATCCAAGTCCAGACGCTTGTTTCACCACGGCGATATTCAGGCGGAGAGTAGCCGAACTGATGGAATTTATATCCTTCCACATGCTCATGCTATGATTGATTCGTTTATCCTAGTGTGAACAGCGCTCAATGAAAGCAAACTATTGGTGGCCACCCATACCAACATCCTTTGGTTCTTCAGCCACAAACCTCACAAGCATCAACTTCTGTTCCTCTTGTCATGAACGCGCCTGGTCAAACTTCCTACCAACCTGAACAATGAGTCTGGCCAATCGTGCGTCCTAATCACCTCCACCCAATAAGCTCAGTCTGCTGCATTTCGGATACTGGCCTGGGCCGCCTGATGTCTTCCAGCCTTGTAGTTACACGACAGCCAGGATAATCCAGGTAATGTGGGTGGCCCTAGTATCGCTTGGTCCCAACTCGCAAGTATCTCGCTCATCGTCTCTCTTTCCTCGCCTTCCTTGTCGCCAAGGGTAACCTCGTGTCTCATACGAGACTCCCATCGAGATAATTGGTGGCCGAGAGACTCCCTAGCCCTCTTGGTCCAAGCGAAATGGTCTGCCACAGACACTACTTATAGCAACGCGATGACTTAGTAACCCATCACTCCGGGGCGCAATGGGGCTCTATCCTTCGCTGACCACCCTTGGCTGCCCCATGATGTGCACTTCGGGTAAATCTGATTCTCGATTACCCTCACCTTCGTTCGCGTATCGTCCTTTACACATTTTCCAATAGTGGCAAGGCGCTCGAGAGGAGAAGCTTGGGCGCTGCGGCTCGATTAGCTGTTTCACGGAGACATGCCGTTTTTAGCTTGAAATCCTCATTCCTGGCTTGGCTCTTTGGTGATCGATGAAGCAGGTAACATATCCCTTCGACAACATGGGACACGTCGGGACATCTCAACGGAGAAGACAAGAAGTCTTTATACGACGCCGAGAACAATAATGCAAAGATGCTCTGGTTGCTGATCGGCATAAAGAATTCCAGAAGCAGGTTGGTTTCGCACTGAAGTTGTGCTCTGATTGATTCCTCGAAACTATTCGACCTTGGCTACCCCCAATCGGGAAATTCTAAATTTGGTGTTGTTTTTGGTGGCTTCTAGCGGCTCAATAGGGCTGGGTTTATTGGTGCACAAGACGAGTGTTTGTCAACACTCTTCCCTGTGGTCAGCCGCGCCAAAGATGATGAGATTTCTCCCAGGACCCAGAAGAATAAGTCGCGGGGTGGCCGGACGCAACCACGGCACGGGCGGGAACAAGCCTATTGGGTTCTCTGGACGAAGTAAGAGTTGTGGATCACGAAACTCGAGTTCTGGCTATCTGGCAGGATGACTCTCATGCATGCTCAGTGATCTGCTATATCGCAAGGATTCCGTGATAATTTGGCTCATGCAGCAGTGAGACTGTGCGAGGAGTTGTTGGGGTGATGAGTGGCTGAAGCATGGCGTTGGCATGTTCTATATATCCCTCGAGGTCTCGTCTCAAGGGGACCGCCGGCTGCTGGCCTGGTTGGAAGCATATCCAAGATGGCATTGTCAGACACTAACATCTCAGAACTTGAAGCCGTCGCTGCCGCGTGTCTGGTGAAGGCAGGCTTGTTCAACCGCAATCTCGAAGCCTCCAAGCTTGCTAACGGACACTCGAAGTCTTTGTACCAGAATGGAGCGGAATTACGAGATATGCGGCTGTCGTTGTTTGAATCAGTCCAAAATCTTCTTCTGATGGTCACTCCGCCCGAATATATTCTGACCCAAGGACTCTCTGCAAGCGTGGGTGCTCATCTGCTCATGTATCGGGTTGACAGCTGAATCCATTCCAGATCATGGACCTTACCGCGCTGCGGTATATCAACCGCTTCTCTGTTGCCAAGGGGGTCCCGGCCGACGACAAGATATCTTACGAGGCGCTGGCTCAAAAGGTAGGCGTCGACGAGTCGCAAATGAAACGAGTCCTGCGCTATGCCATGACGAAAGGTATCTTTGTCGAGGTCGATGGTGGAGTGGCGCATACCGAGACATCGCTGCTGCTCCTCCAGGATGGCATTGCCACTTTGAGCCGGTATTCCAGCGACCGAGGATGGCCGATCGCAAGCCGTTTCAACGATGCGATCGACAAATGGGGCCACGGCTCGCCAGAGCCAAACGAGACGGCGTTCAATCTTTTCAAGAACACCGATTTGCCCATGTTCGAGTACCATGAGCAGCATCCTGAATTTGGCGCCGATTTCCACGCCGTCATGAATCAGTTCACAAAGTCGCCGCCACTGTCGCATCAACACATCAAGTCGGCCTATGAATGGAGCAGCCTATCCCATACAACAATCGTCGATGTGGGCGGTAGCCTTGGCCATGCGAGCATTGCCATTCTCGAGACCAACCCGTCACTCACATGCATTGTCCAGGATCTCCCCAAGACTGTCGCCCAGGCCACAAATCCCTCGACCTCGATCGTCCCTGCGCATATGAAGAGCCGGATTAGCTTTCAAGAGCACAGTTTCTGGGATCCTCAACCTGTAGTCGCCGACATTTACTTCCTCCGCATGATCTTCCACGACTGGGCAGACAAGTATGCCAAGAAGATCCTGCAAGCTCTTCTCGTAGCCATGAAACCTGGTTCGAAGCTACTGATCATGGACTATGTCACCCTGCCGTACGGCACTCTCAAGATCGGAGATGAGCGAAGAATGCGCATTCGGGACATGCAAATGATGGTGATGCACAATGCGCTGGAAAGGGACGAAGGCGAATGGCGACGTTTATTTGCTGAGACGGATTCTCGACTGAAACTGATCAAGATACGCAAGCCCACCGGGAGCGCACTGTCGCTGCTCGAAGTGGTGTTGGAGGAGCGCAGGGATTCTGTGCTTCAGTCTTGAGTCTCTCCTGACACCAGGGAGGTATGACGGAGCTGGCTGCAAGGATGTTGTGGATGTGCAGCAATCCCTGGCTTGGACTGCAACGACGATATAGGTTAGAGATGCCATGATGCTTGGGACTGGGTCAGATTGAAGACACCCCTTTATCGACGCATGCTGCCGTGCTCATTTTTGTTTTGTAAAATATCTAACCTCGATTCACCGGACGGAATAAACGTGTAAAGTTGGCAATATCCGCCACATTTTCAAGGCTCCAGGATGCTTCAATCGCCTTTTGCGCAGTCTGTTTTCCAAGAATCGGTACTGCCTGGTCCAAAAACTTGTCCTCGAGTCCCTGTTTTGTCATAGGTTTGGTCAAGGAGCCCGTTGCATGTTTGACATGGATCTTCTTCTCCTGGGAGCCATTCGAACGATACCTCAATGTCAAATGCGCTTCGTCGTCACGAATAGCTTCGTTAGTTACCACCTTAACCCTGTCTCTCACCGACGCGACCGCATCATCATGGCATGCCTGATCCGAAAACTGCGTAGGCCCAGCACGCCCATGGACTAGTGCGACCGCACATCCGTGATACAACGAGAAGATGGTTTCGAGGCCGGCTTTTGGATGCTTGATCGAGCACAGCCGCACGCATTGGGGATTCACCACCACCTCAACAGCCTCCAGCTTCCCAGAGATAAACTTGTCTTCCGCAAATGCTTCCAAACAGCCATCAATTAGCGGATGAATGACGATTCCACAGGGATAGGGCTTGAAAGTGTTCTCGAGGATCTGCCATTTCCGATCTTGTGCAATTATCGAGATCAGTTGTTCGTTGACCGTCGACGATACCAGCTTTGCCCATGATTCAAGAGACCTTTCACAGCTCTGAAATTCATGGAATGCAAGATTCGCTGCAAGAATACCATTTTGTGCCGCTCTCCCCATGTGTAAGGTCTTCGTATCAGTCCCGAACATGGCCCTGATCCCTCCTGCCATACTGCAGGCATGCCCGAGCGCCGCAGCAAATCGGCTCGGATCAAGTTTTAGTGCCTTTGCAATCGCTGCCGCTGCACCAAAGGACCCGGTTGTGCCGGTGATATGCCTGCAACACTTAGCTTCCGTGTTTCAGGGCTGGCAATGTGCCTACCATCCATCGCGATAATGTCCTGGAGATATTGCATTTCCTACCGCGCATTGCGCTTCAACCCCACAAATGAAGGCAAGTAAGAAGTCCCTGCCTGATAGGTGATGGTGTTCCGCCCAGGAGAAAAGCGCTGCCAGTGGTGTTCCAGAAGGGTGAATCACCGTTCGCAGGTGCGTATCGTCATAGTCAGCTACTGTGAGGGCAATTCCGTTGAGCAGTACAGCATCTTCAACGCTCGCGCGCTCAGCTCTGCCCAAGAGACTGGCTTGATCAGTCTGTTTGATCAAGCCGAACACTTTCTGCGTCGATGATGCTTGGGAAGAGCCCACTCCGCATCCTAGGCTATTAAGAATCCCACGTTTTGCCTGCTCAACGACCTGTTCTGGGAGATCGTCGTATTCAAGTTGGGAGAGAAAGTGTGCAAGCCGGGCGGTGTGGTCGACCACGGCCATTTTCGATGGATTATCGAGGCGAAATTCGACTCCAGTGGGGGGCAAAAGGGTTGCTTCTCATGGATTTTTGGATCATGGGGTTCTCCTGGTGGTGGATGATTCTTCTCCAAATAAGTCCGTGAGTGGATTTGGGGTCGCCGTTCCCCAAGATCATTGATGGGCGCTACCACATAGCATCCCCTTGGTGTCGAATTTCCACAAAGCAACAATCCGATGACCAAGCCTGGGACATGCTATACTGATCCCATGATGCAAAGCAGGGAGAAATGGCCCATTTACGGCTGCCATTCGTTCAACCGGGACACCGGGCTCCTCGGAGAAGACGAGAATTGCGGACGAAACACCTCTGCATTTACATTGTCAGTCGAGCCTGCGAACAGCCAGTCCATGGCCGATAGCAAGATCAAGGAAAGAAATCTTGAGACAATAGAACCCTGGTGTGCGCGAAAGAGCAGCAGTCCTAGAATATGGCGAGTTGCGGTGAGGTCGAGAAGAAACTGAATGTCCACATCTTGTGTTTGTCCCGTCATTCCCCTCTCTTTCTATCTTCACCATTGCGACGACTAGGTGGTGGGCAAATGTGGTTTGACTTGGCCACAATCCCCTGAGTTCCCCTTGTAGATGCGGTTTATGGCACAGTAAGACTAGTTGGAAAGAGGTTTCTTCGGAGAGGACTCGATGGGATCTTTGGTTGTTGGCACCGACACGTTGAAAGAGGGTCTTTTGACAGGCTTAAGTTCATGATGAGCTACTCTGGTGCTTTTGATGCTCTGGTGTGTAATTTTCAAGCTATTCTGGACTTGCAAATGGAGAGCAGCCCGAACTGGGAGGACCAATGGCAAATTGTTGAATGAAAGTGTGCAAAGAACGTTGTGTTTTCTGCTCGCTACGACGACACGTGCTGCCTGCGTCTCCCACCCACAAGCCACCGTCATTGACTGCCGAGCTACTCTCGGCCCTTTTCACTTTCTCCCATCAACCACCACTACCTCTGTGCAAAGGGTACGTTTTACAAGGAAAGCGCAATGGAACAGGACGAGCAATTCATTCCCTAAAGGTTATCTCAGGCGACAACAAGACAGTCGTCCGTGACTATGGAGCACTGACCTCCGGGAGGAAAGTATCACACTGCAAAATGAAACAATCTACACCCTCGGAAAGGAATGAACACTTTAAAAGCAACAACCATGAGTCGGGGCGCACCCGAACCCTGATGAAGAGAAATCTGCGCTGGAAACAGATACAGAAGGCTGCCAGCGACAACAACTGAACGGACCCCTGATTATCAGGTCTGAATAAGGTGAGAAAAAATGGCTGGAGAGACACTCCAACAATAAAAGACACTATCTGAGAAAGCGATTCAGCGAGGGAGCGGGCTCAGCAAGGAATCTATACTAAGTTCGAGGGCTAGACGCAAAGATGAAGGTGGAAGAAAAATGGCAAGTCCCTGCCATTGACAATGCCCAGTCTGCACTCGATAAAGACGCCGCTGCGATTTTCAGACCTGAATTGGGACCTGATGGTGAAATTCACGCAAAACTCGCATGGGGATGGACTCATCCTTGCAAAGGAAATGAACTGACCAAAACCTGTGCAGCAACTGCACTAAAATTGTGGGGTTTTGAATACATTCCAAGCACGATTACATGACATGAGACAATGCCTCGGGGTTCACCTGAAGTGACGAGGTTGAAACAAGGGTATGGTCAGAGCGACACTGATGACCACTCACTTCGGCCTGATGTGCTTTGAGAAGCCCTTGGGATGGGACAGAATTTTCATCAACATCTGGCCCTAATCCATCCATACCCCAGAAAACGCGAAGTGGCTTTGCAAGCCGTGAACCTTGCTTCAGCTCCTTTGAAACGGTTGCCCTTTCGGGGTTAGTGCCGTCGACCGTGGCCGAGGAGTAAACCGCTCTGCCTTGGTGCCGAATTCATGCTACTCCGCTTCTAACTTCCAAGAATACAACAGCACAATCTCTGAGGTCACTGTCCTGGACACTGAACACATCATGGGGAAGTCCACAACATTTCTCGAGGAGCCTTTGACAAGCAACCTTTGATGGAAACCTGCCTATGTCTATCCCAAGAAGATCGCTCTCTGTACCACGTTCAAGGTTTTGGTAGGATTGGAATGTGGGGTCGTCGAGATCCCCGTGGCATATGCGGTAATGACATTTTGAAAGTCCGTATACTTGAGAATGGAGGATTCGGGGGGCCCCATTTGCGACTTGGCTGCCGTCACACGTTTTGGAAAAGAACTTTGTTCACATGCTTGTCAAGTCCTTCATGGAGTTTGAGAAAGCCTGCACTACCTAGGTGCTGAGGAGCGGGCACTAAACGTGGTTTGAACATAGTTTGTCACGACGCCAGGAGAGTATCCTCCTTCTGCATCCTTCTTCATGTCCCGTGGTTCGCTTTGCAGAGTCGCATTGAGGAGCTAGATTGGTAACTAACAACTACAAGAATTTTTCAATGAGGCTTGGTCTGGTCCAACAGCTGTGAAGGAAGAAGAAAGAAGAAGAAGCCGGTATCTTTTTTTGGCAATTTTCGGAATGTGTGCCGAGGTGGTAAGCGAGACTAGCGGGAGCTAGTAGGCGCTAACTCCGCTAATGTTCCGTATCCGCATCTGCTTCACTCGTGCGGTAAGCCATGCGAAAAATGAAGGGGAATAGCAGCCAACGAAATATCGTTCTGGGTTCGAACCTTTGAATGTTTGGATGGAGGATTCTTTGCATCTCAGGTACGAGGTGCACACCATCATCTCAATAAGCGAGACAATGTCGCAACAGTGCCTGTATATGTCAGCCTCCCCCTCGGTGCCACCGTGCCGCGTTCGTATTGCACGGATACGTCAGTTGACATGCTCAGAATCGTGCCCAGTGCACGGAGTATATTTCAGTGGACGATGTCCTTCATAAGGATGGGACCAGGTTGGTCCTCACTCCAGTCGTGGCGCCTTGGGCAACCCCCTATTCCTTGATTTTTGTCCAGCAGACTTTGGCTGCCTGATACATGAGCCGTCACACAGGGAGACTCATCCTAATAACACACAATGGAACGTCAAACCAGCCATGCATCAAGCACCGAAGAAGAATACCGGGATGTTTATGAAGCAGCGATTCATGATAGATTTCGGGATGGAATCCAAGCCCTTGCTCGGCGGAAACGGTCTGGCCGCCGTCATAGAGCTCTTCACATCGAGGACCAGGATCCCGAATTGACAAGAATCGCAACCAATATATCCAGGGACATTGGAATTACACCAAAGGCTCTCGCAGACGTTGATCCACGCCTCGACCCCGAAAATGAGGAGTTTGATTTTCGTTTCTGGGCCTCCACCATCGTTCAGATGATCAGAGAAGACGGTATCCAGAGAGCCAATGTTGGTGTTTGCTTCAAGTCCCTCACCGTGTGTGGCACAGGCTCGAGTCTCGCTCTACAACCAACTGTCGCAAGCCCGTGGCTGAGTCTTGCTCGAATGCCCATGCTCCTCTCCAGACACAAACAAGAGCCCAAAGTGATCATCCACACTTTGAATGGCTGCGTGAAAAGCGGTGAAATGCTGCTCGTATTGGGCAGGCCTGGTAGTGGGTGTACAACATTTCTGAAATCGATATCAGGTCAACTGGGTGGCTTGACGAGAACATCCGAATCTGTCGTCCACTACGATGGAGTTGCACAGGATCTTTTTACCAAGAGTTTCAGAGGAAAAGCACTCTACAATCAGGAAAATGATGAACACTTCCCGCATTTGACTGTGGGACAAACACTGCATTTTGCCGCACAGGCGCAGACGCCAGAAACTCGAATTCATGGAATCGATCGAGCAACACAAGCCAATCACATGGTGGAAGTCATGCTACGCATTTTCAGGCTCTCCGCTGTCCGACATACCAAAGTCGGCAACGACACCGTTCGCGGCGTCAGTGGAGGAGAAAGAAAGCGTGTGAGCATCGCGGAAATGGCCCTCGCGCGCTCGCTACTTGCTGTCTGGGACAATGCCACCCGAGGCCTGGATTCTGCTACGGCATTGGAGTTTGTACGGTCCTTGCGCACTCTGGCTGATGTTGCCGGGGTCACCCAAGCTGTCGCACTTTATCAGGCTAGCCAGAACATCTATGATGTCTTTGACAAGGTCATGGTACTGTACGAAGGACGACAGATATTCTTCGGTCCAGCGGATTCCGCGCGCTCCTTTTTTGAGAAGATGGGCTGGTATTGTCCTCCGCGTCAGACAACCCCAGACTTCCTAACCTCCGTTACCAATCCATCGGAACGGCAAATCCGTGTGGATTGCACCGACAAGGTACCTCGAACTGCCGTTGAGTTCGAACAATACTGGCTTAAGTCGGAGGAGTACCACGCCTGCATGGACGAGATCGCCCAGTACGAGGAGGATGCAACAGACAACGGCCGCCTCCAAGCACTCCGGGCCGCACATCACGCTGCACAGGCCCATCACACTCGCAACTCGTCTCCGTTTCTCATCTCTGTGTGGATGCAGGTCTGTCTATGTATGAAGAGATCCTGCCAGTTATTGTCGAACGACAGAACCTCCACGATAACACTGGCGATGGGGCGAATCATTCTTGCGTTGATTATCGGCAGCATCTTCTTTGATCCACCCAACACCACAGCGAGCCTTCAGTCCAGAGGGTCGGTGCTATTTCTTGCCACCTTGATAAATGCGCTGATGGCCGTTACTGAGATTGGCGCGCTGTTCGGCAAAAGAGGTGTTATTCAGAAACAGAACACCTTCGCATTCTGCCACCCGTTCGCAGATGCACTCGCGTCGTTCATTGTCGATATCCCTGTCAAGTTCGTCATCTCGACCTTATTCAACTTGGTCTTCTATTTCATGTCTGGGCTCCGACCCGATGCTTCGAGCTTCTTTACCTTCCTGCTCTTCAACTTCGTTTGCACCCTGGTTATGTCCTCCATATTCCGCAGCATTGGCGCCGCATCGAAACAGCTTGCCCAAGCTTACGCAATCGCGGGTGTTGGCGTCCTCATGATGGTCATATACACGGGGTTTACGCTTCAGACCTCATACATGCATCCTTGGTTCCGCTGGATCAACTACATCAACCCGATCGCCTACATATTTGAAGCACTGCTTGTCAACGAAGTCCACGATCGAGAGTTCCCTTGCGCTCCACAAAGCCTTGTCCCTCCCTATGCTCGAGGGGCATCCAACTTTGCTTGCGCCGTCATCGGAGCAAAGCCTGACCAGCGTATCGTTGCTGGAGATTCGTGGGTACAGTCCGGCTACCAATATAGTTACTCCCATATATGGCGAAATCTCGGGATTGCGTTCGCCTACATGGTGTTCTTTCTCGCGTTCTACCTCATTGCCACAGAAATCAGGTCGACCGTCAATGCTCAACCACAACGACTCGTCTTCCTCAATTACAAAGCAGCACAGAGCCTGAAGCCAGATGAAGGTGACATCGAGGGAAACGCGACCAGCGACCAAGAAAACCCCTCTCCAGCCCTCTCTAGTTCAGGGGATGCTGCGTCCATCTCAGAGGCAGGATGCACGAGTATCGCCAGGCCGTCGAATGAAAAGGAACGTGGACAAAAAGGGACGCTGTCGTGGGAAGACCTGACACTGGACATTGCAGTTCAGGGCAAGAGTAGACGTCTTCTGGACAACGTCAACGGTTGGGTCAAACCCGGTGTAATGACCTGCCTGATGGGAGTCTCAGGTGCTGGAAAGACAACTTTACTCGACACACTTGCACAGCGTCACAACACTGTCGGAAATGTGTCCGGTACGATAAAGGTAGACGGCATGCCACTGAAACCCTCATTTCAGCGAAAGACAGGATATGTCCAACAGCAAGATCTACATTTGCTGTCCAGCACAGTCCGCGAAGCTTTACGTTTCTCGGCGCTTTTGCGCCAACCTGCCTCGGTGTCGAAGAAGGAGAAATTCGAGTATGTCGAGAAGGTCATCGAAGTGCTCAAAATGGAACACTTCAGCGATGCAATGGTTGGGCAACCAGGCGAGGGCCTAAACATCGAACAGCGAAAACTCTTGACAATCGGTGTCGAGCTAGCTGCCAAACCGTCAATCCTCTTCCTAGATGAGCCCACCTCGGGTCTCGACTCGCAGAGTTCGTGGACGATCGTGTCGCTCTTGAGAAGGCTAGCAGACGACGGTCAGGCGATCCTCGCTACCATCCATCAGCCGTCGGCTATGCTCTTCCAGCAGTTTGATTCCATCCTCCTGCTCGCCAGAGGCGGCTGCACCACTTACTTCGGACCGCTGGGTGCGGATTGCCAGACGCTGACTCGTTATTTCGAGGAACATGGGGCTCGAGCTTGCGGTGCAGCAGAAAACCCTGCAGAGTATGTCTTGGATGTCATAGGCAATGCTTCCCACGACTGGCCCCAGGTTTGGAAATCAAGCTCCGAGTTTTCCACTGTCAATGCCAGCGTCTGCAACATGTCGCCAGGTTCCTCCCACCAGGAGCTCGATGCTGATGATCGCCTCCAGTTTGCGGCCTCTTTTGCCATGCAATTCCAATGTGTGATGCAACGACTCTTTCAAAACTACTGGCGAAGTCCCGGCTACATCTACGCCAAGCTGCAGTTTGCGCTTCTCTCCTCTCTCTTCATCGGATTCACTTTTTATCTGCAAAATGCTTCGGCGACCGGCATGCAAAACGTCATCTTTGCCATCTATATGCTCAACGCCACATTCTCATCCGTGGCCAACCAGGTATGGTGCTTTCATTGACCGGACCTTTCGTGGTTGCTAACTCAATTCCCAGATCATGTCCAGGTTCCTCCCACAACGGGCACTGTTTGAAGTCCGCGAGTCTCCATCAAAGATGTACAGCTGGCCGGTGTTCTTGCTAGCGAATATCCTAGTGGAAATACCCTATCAAATCTTCCTCTCGGTGGTCGTATGGGCGTGCTGGTTCTTCCCGATCTTCGGGCTTGACAGTGACTCAACGACCCGTGCGGTAATGTGGGGATTCTGTCTGCAATTCTTGCTCTTCGGATCGACCTGGGCACAGATGCTCATTTTCACGATGCCGAGCACCGAGACGGCGGGTGCCCTGTCAACCATTCTGTTTACGCTGAATCTGCAGTTCAACGGTGTGCTCCAACCGCCATCCGCGCTCCCAGGATTCTGGATCTTCATGTATCGCGTCAGTCCCTTCACCTACCTGATCGGGGGGTGGGCTGGAACGGGCTTGGCCAACAGAGCGGTTGTCTGCGCGAAGAATGAATTGGCGGTCTTCGATCCTCCAACCGGACAAACTTGTGGCCAATATCTCTCTGCCTACCTCGACGGTGGCGCACCAGGATCACTGCTCAATCCGTCCGCCACGGCAAGCTGCGAGTATTGCTCGATCAGAAACTCCAACCAATTCCTCGAACAGTCGTGGATCCACCCCTCGGACAAGTATCGGAACTTGGGGATAATGTTTGCGTACATTGCTTTCAACATCTTTTCTGCGTTCTCACTGTACTACATCTTTAGAGTTAGGGGATTGTCAATCAAAAGCCTACAGAAGCCCAAGACAAAGAGACATGTGGCTGAAGGGGAGAAAGAGCAGGAAGAGAAGCCACATCCGAAGCGAGGCTTTTACGTGGGGTTTTACTACCATTTGGCGTTGAGTATTCTGAGAAATCTGGTTCGCTAGACTTTATGTTCGGTTTGGGTTCGGGCATAGACAGGGCGAGGTTTTGGGTAAACAATAGTCTAATCAATGCATTTTCCTTGTGCTTTGGACAGACTCTTATCTGGTAGTGATTGGGAGAGAGGGTGAAATTTTAACCCATGACTACCAAGAGCATGGCGACCGAGAGGCGTAGAGGTGTACAGCCGCAGCTGGATGTTCTCCAGGCCATTTCAGAGGGTTTTTTTCTGGTTCCACAAGGCATGCCAGGACCGGTTTTGCCACCATCTCTTGAGAAAAGAAAAATTGTGGTATCCCTAGACATCTCTTCGGTTGTTGTAGTAATTCATTCGTCAACATGATCACAGTTAGGTATCGACCAGGAGTGAAGGTAGATCGGAGAGGCGACAGTGTTCTACCCTGTCTCAAAGTTTGGCTCGAAGTCAGCACTAATATCTCGAATGTTGCCCTGACCATTTGATCTCGTGCTGAGCAAAGATCATTGGGACGTTTGTGCGTGGTTCTGTGGGAGGTGTTCTTTGGTGGCCTTGACCGGCGGTTGTGGTGCACCTCCTCGTATGCTGGCGTTGACCTCGCCAATCTAGGGTGCTAGGTTCGACCGTCAATATGAGAACAATGGCGATCGGCCACCGTGGCGCTCATCGAGGAGATTGTATGCCACGCAACATGTTCGAGAAGAAGGAAGAGGAGCGTGTTAGGGGAATTGCTAACTGCGCGCCTGATGGGCCTGGTGAGCCTCATCGGCCGCACCCTCTGCGGGGCCTGGACCAGCAACGACAGCAACGACAGCAACGACAACAACGTCATCGCGGCCTCTCGATATCGAAAGTCGATCCCTCAGTCATGGTCTTCCTTGTCGACTACGCGAAATTCTGAAGAGCTGGGCCCTGGCCGCCAGCTACATCCATGCGCTCGAGCTGAATCCGACTTTCAGCGCCGCCATTGGCCTTAGATGCATTTTGTCTTAGGGGCTTCGTTTGGTTAGTAATCGCAGCCGTCTCACACACTTGCCATAAGTATCTTCTCAATCAGTGACGTTCGAGCAAGTGATCAGAGCACATACACCACTAACGACCCGCACGGTCTAAGCTGATACCTCAAGAGTACTCCTGCGGCCTGAGAACGGTTAAGACGATATGGCAGGTCAAGGTGACCTGAGCGTTAGCACTTTCCATGTCAGGCCAACTACCCTTTCCAGAACTCCTGTCGTTTACGGCCATCTGGTAGGGATACGATGTTGTGTGCAGGTAATGGGACGTCGACGATGTATGAAGAGCACATAAGGCGAGCATTTTCCGTCTCTGGACGTCTGATGGGAAAATCTCAGAGCACGTCGAGTTTCTCCTCCCTCTCTAGCTTCCGCAGGCACAAGTTCTGGACAGTATGTTCACAGCCTATCATAACTTCACACTCACCATGTCTCTCCGCAACACAGTCAAAGACCTTCGGCGAAGTCTCCCGAGCCACACAGCTTCATCTCCTAGCTCGTGCCTCGAGACAGAAATCATAGAGCACCTCAGGACATGTCCAGCATATGAAGCCCCGACATCCTCGCACATACAACCCATGAACTCGGACTCATCACGCAGCTTCGTCGAGTGTACACTCGACTCGGAGCTAGCATCGGGAGATGCGCCTCCACCATACATGAAGCTCTCCAACGGGGACAGAAAGCCCGAATACTCGATATACGACCCTGCCCGGACTGCAGATGCGAAGCTTTCTCGAAGCGATGGTGCATTGTGTCTCCGGTGCAATGCACGCAAGGCCAAGGCATGGTATCTCCGGCAGACGGCGCGCACAAGCCAGTAGACGGGGCGTTTTCTAAGATCATGGGAAAGGACAACTTGGTCAGAACATGTGCATCGAAGGCAGCTCAAAGTCGGTGTATGAGGATGGCGTCGGGAAGGATCTAGGCAGTTGCAGTGTTGTTCATGGCCATTATGACCCCTTGTTTTCCATATGGCGTTGATGTGTACTCGGAGTCGCAATATGAACCTGCTCAGTTACTCAGTCGAGCTTAGGTCTTTAGGATAATGTCTGCTTGTCCTCATCCCCTCAGGTGTAGCAGCAATGGTCTACCCTGGTAGAGCAATCGTTGTAGCATCCGCACATCCGATATCAAACCAGGGCACAGTACCGAGTCCTCGTACGAAGAGCTCGCTGGTACACAGAAACACATTTCGCGGGTACGGGTGCGCGGAGTTGGGTGTAGTAAGAGATACCCACCAGCTGGACGATGGCTGATACTGTCCTATCCCAATTATGTCTCTCTCCGACGGGTACCAATCTGTGCCGACGTCGCACAAAAGGGCTTTGCGTTGCGTGTAAGTGAGGTCATTTTTTGGTTGTTAATTCAAGGCGGTTGGTTGGAGGTTTAAACGACGTGACCAGCCACAACAGCCGCGGAGAAGTAAAAAGCAGATACTGAACCATCGTTGGGGCGAGAGATGGAGTAATAATACATCAGGACCAGGCAAGGATTGAAAAGGACCACTGACCGCTTCCTAAGCCGCCACCACTTGCTGCATGGCCGTGACTGTGAATCCACTCCTTTGCAGGAGTATTGCCCACAATCGCACTTCCGCATGCCAGGTACAGGACCAGCAGTTGGGGCTGGCGGTTTTATTTCAGAAAGCAATGGAAATAAGCGAGGGCAGGCGAACTGCGGGAAGCGGCCTCGGGGCTGCTCTCTGGGACGACTGGGGAGGCTTTCGATATCACTCACTGCCCGCGGAAATAATAAGCTCCATTCTCTATCGTCCCCAGTGGTAGAAAGCGATATAAGATAACAGAATCTTTGTGCCCCGAAGACGAGTGACATGCCCCTCACCCACTCATTTTGAAACATCGACGACAACGAGGGCAATAAAAAAAAATATGGAGCACATCGACGGGAACGTTATCAATCGCGATCTCACTGCTCGTATGAAATACATTCAGTCCTTCCTTGGTTGGGACGCGGCGAACGATGGGAAGCTCATTGAAGCATGCAAACCGGTGCTTGCTCCCATTGTCACCAATGTCGTCGACGCCGTCTACGACCAACTGCTCAAATACGACATCACGGCCTCGTCTTTCGCGCCCAAACAGTCACAGGAGGGAGGAGCCACTGTGGACGCCAGCGTTGGCGACCTTCACGCCGGTCACGAAAATATCAAATACAGAAAGGACTTTTTGAAGGGGTACCTGGTCAGACTGGTCTCGAACCACGACTGGTCCCCCGAGAGCAAGTTTTGGGAGTACATTGACATGGTGGGCAAAGTCCACACGGGCTCGACGGATTCGGGCTTGAAACACCGCAAGAACAGACCTGCACTGTTTGTCGAGTACCGCGAGATCAACCTCTTACTGGGCTGGGTCGAAAATGCCGTCACCGATATTGTCATGGGTGTCGAAGGATTGGAGCTGCGGACAAAGGTGGACATCCTGAAAGCCTTGAACAAGTTCTGGTGGATCCAGAACGATCTCTTTGCGAGGCACTATATCCCAGGTCTGAGGGAATCGCGGACACAAGACGCAGAGCGCCCACTGAACTGGACTGACAAGTTGAAGGCTGATCCGGTATTTCCCATTGTCTCTGCGCTGGTGCTTTTGGCCGTTATTTTCGGGTGGAAATTTTGAGGAAATGCTATAGAGGGAAACCCTGGGTATTGTCCTCGCTTGATAGATATCATTAAAGAGTACCTGCGAGAGAAGGAGAGTCGTCGAGAAAAGTGGTCGTGAAAGGATGTATACAGGCGGAATTGGGCAGGACTAAACCGAGACAATGTGTAGATCACAACTAATGGTAGAATGCGCAAGGGATGACGCTGTTAAGGTGATAGATACCTAAGTACGCTCGACCTAGACATGGACTCTGGTCAGACTTACCGAAAATCATCAATCCCTAGGTAATAAGTGCTGTATCAAAAGTTGCGAAGACAAGCGCAGCATTCGATGGGTTTTGGAGCCTCGCCGCAGCCAAGCCTCCTTGCCTGCGAATTTCGCAGACGGAGTTCAATCTGTCAATTATTTTGGCGTCTCAATGCTGAAAAACAGAACAACTTCAACTCCATCCTGCACACTTACAAACCACTCACGAATACCTGCATACGATTCCTTCGACCTTCCAGCTTCATCGCAGTCGACATGATCTGTTCGAGTTGTCGGCGGACGTTTCTCACACGCATTCGCGCCCTCACCCCCAACACCACCAATGTTTCCGTCTCTTCTATCGGCGGCTTTCGCTCTGCGTCGACAGTCCCTGTAACTCCGAATGCCGCTCCTGTGCCAGCTCCTGCGGCCATCTCGATAGACGGACCCAATCCCACTCAATCGTCAAACACATCGGGAATCTCCCAGCCTCTCTCCGAACAGCACACTCCCTCGACGTCGACGGCGAAAACTTCGGCCGCAATCTTGACCAAAGACTCAAAGGCCCCGGCAAAGCCAAAGAGTTCGATACCGGGAGGCAAGGAGCTACGCGGTCTGGGCTACACAAAAGCAAAGCCGAAAGTAATGGCGATGGAGGACGACGAGTATCCTGAGTGGCTATGGAAGCTGCTGGATGAGAAAAGACTGGGAACTGATGCGGAAAAGGTCGATTTAGCAGGTACTTGCCATTCCTCCATACACTGTTGACCCTTATAAAACTACCGCCTCGCTAACACCTGTCCAAAGCAATGACCAAAAAGCAGCGCCTGCGCTACGAGAAGAAGCAGGAACGTCTCCTAAAAGACCTACCCAAGGTGATTCCCGTCCACGAACAAAGCAAAGACCTGACAGGTCCTGGTGACGATGCTGTGATAAGTTTACAGCGCCGGCAAGAGGTCACCAAGAGCGCAAGGTCTGCGAGACGGAGGAGCATCCGGGAGAGCAATTTCTTGAAGTCAATGTAGCTTTACAAAGAGGCTATTGCCCTGTACCATACACAATTACGGCACCGTAAAGAGGTGGCTTTTAGCATTTAAGACATCGAAATATACTCAGCGAGTCATTTTTTCCTTATCAATTGTGAAAATAAGTCCAAAGTGCCATCGGAACTGCCCTTGTATTTGATATCTATGTATGCTATGCGGTCGGTAACCGGTTTGCACCATTGCCTGGCGCCTCTCCAACGCCGGGTAATCCGAAACCATGCCTGAAATATTCCCATGCCCTCGTATGCTTTCTGCAACATCATGTGCGTCCAAGTCATGCAAACAGCTGGTATCGAAGATTGGTTTTCCGCCAGGGTATCATGATCATTCGGTTCGTCCAATTGCCCATTAGCAGATTGTCCATTCCCATCGTGTCTGTCATTTGTCATTTCTTGCTCCTCATGATGCATTACCAAACGCCAATCGCAAAAACAAAGCCGTCACTAAGCGCGTATACTGCTGGCGGCTGAACTCCATCTCAGTCTCCTCAGCCCGGTCCCGCTCGACCTCACCGATTCTTGTCCACATCCTCCGCCGGGAAGACCCAACTCGCCCTCGATCCTCCCAACCTCTCGGCCCCAAGCGTATCCTGCACTGAAACTGATGGCCGAGAACACGAGCACCACGCCAGCTGAAATCATCCATGAAGCAAGGGTTGGGCTGATTAGCTCTTCGCCAGTCGCAGTGGCGGTCGCTTTGGCGCTGGCAGCCCGGACTTTCTTCGCAGCGTGTCGATCTTTGCTTGATTCGCGCGATTTACGCTTGGTCTGCTTGTTGGGAGAAGAAGCACGTCTCTGTCGTGGTGGATTCACCAACTCTGATTCTGGGACAAGACGCAGAGCTGTCGGTTGCGTCGACGCTCGTTGTTGGGGTGGTCGGGCATCAGGACCTTTGGGCCGAACGGCTGCGGCACACGAGAGTAGGGTTGTCAGCGATGCCCGCAACGCCGCGTCATGGTCCGGCTGGTATGATGACGCCGATGCAGGACGATTCCTGGATTGCATTTGACGTTGGTAACTGCGTTGAGTGACTGTGCGGTCGGCACGTGGCTCAGATGCTGCTGCCACGCCAGGAGGGAAATATGAACCCGGTGCATTTCGAGGCTGGGACGAAGGGGGGTGTGAGAATGCATTCGGCTGAGGCGTGAATGCTTTGTCTAGGCTGCCAACACCGAGCGCTGTCGAGGTATCGTCATCATCCGCTGAGTCGCCTTGACCGATGTCTTCATTGGAGCTGCTCAGGACCCGATCACTTTCGCTCTCACTCTCTTCGTATTCATCCTGGCTACTTCCGGCAGTGCTCGAAGACCGTGGTTGAGGATGGGGGACATGAGGGAGGGATTGAAGTTGGCGCGATAGCCGCTCGTCCTGGGACTGCAGCTGTAGCCCCGTAGTGATAATATCATTGTTGACGGACGATAAGGATGCTGTTGAAGCGTGAGAGGAAATTTCCACCCACGAGTCTATGGAAGTGTTAGCGAGGTTTGGAAGTAGATGTCGCTAGGAGCAGGCCTTACCTTCGGAGCGTATGCCTCGGACGCTCGCATTGACCTGGGGTCCTGGATGAGATTCAGATGCCCAAGAAGTGCGAGGTTCTCCTCGCTCGCTCCTGAGGGACGCGAATGGCTCTGCTTGGGACGGCCTCATGTTTGAGAAAGACGGCGTTATCGGCTGTAGGCTAATGAACTCGGGGCTCTTGGCCGAGCCTGGCTGCGAAACTGTTTCCTCGGCTGCGCCGTGTTGAATCCCAACCGTTGCTGATTCAATAGTTTGGAAATTCTTCTGGAGGAAGGATTCAAGGATTCAGGCTCAGACGTGTATAGAGCGAAACACGGAAAGCAGTTGTATGAAACCGGGAGGTGCGTTGCAGAATAAATGTGCTCGGTAGAGTCCTTCGCTGGGTCTCACCGCTGACGGATGATGGTGGGGATCTTGTCTTGGTGGTGTAATTCCGCGACTGCGACGATCAGCCACGGCGGTCTGGTAGGAAGGCGGGGTAGTGGCTTTGGGCGACCTTGAAGTTGACACGTCTTGTATCGAAACCAGAGTGACTGTAGTGACGAGAGTGAAAGGAAGAATGAAAGGAGGGAACAAAGGGGAGAGACTGCGGAATGTTGAGTATCGCGGGCAGAGTCTATCCTGCCAAGGGCCAGGTCACTTTCAACCAGGCTTCTTGCTAGGGAAGTATGCAAGTTCTGAAAGGCATTCAGGCAGTCTAACTAAGAGACATGCCACTCAGCAGGTTTCCTGAAAAGGCGGCATCCAGAAGGGGGTGCTGATCCCTGATTTGACGAACACGTATCAGGTGCAGGGGATGGTTGAGCCACAAGTGCTGATCAAGGGATGGAATCACGCGCTCAGGCCTTGTTGGCTGCGTCTGGCGGTATCTTGGGTGGTGCTGATGGTGTCAGATGAACCCAATCAATGACGGCCGTCTGAAGTCACCACTTCCCAAGGCTTGTATTGCCGTATCGTGATGTCTCATGTGCCGACATCGGGGCGCGGCACACCTACTTGTGATCAACAACATGCGCACCAAGAACAATTCGGGTACTTGTACAGGGGCTAACAAAAGACAAAAGAGCCGAAAATCTAACTGGAATAGAAAATGTTGAGTGTTTTCAGTGTGGATTTCCATTGAACCTTGACAATCTAGGTTGAAAAAAAAAAAACCGACTCCCTCTATTAGACCCAGGAACAAGATCAAAGGAAAGAAAAGCAATTTGTAACTTTTGGGGACATTAACCTTTGCATCCTCCCGCCGTGATGGTACATGTTTGTCGCATGCATTCCACGCACGTAGGACAATGCTCCAGGGACAATCATGGGTTGAACAGGCAATGAGACTCCAACCCGAAACACCATCTCCAGTGATCCATATGCGACCGAAGCTGAAGGCACAGGGAGGGTATCACAACTCAGAAGGTAGTCTTCTTGCCAGAGAAGTCACCGAAGCCGCCTCGGTTGGTGGTGCCGCCTCTTCCACCGCGAGCACCACCGCGAGGACCACCACGGCCTCCTCCTCGTCCACCACGTCCACCAAAGTCCCTGCCGCCGCCACGGCCTCCACGAGGACCTCCGCGACCACCACGACCGCCGAACCCACCACCAAACCCGCCTCCGCGAGCTGGTGCGTCACCATTCTGTTGACGTGGTTGGGCATAGTCCACACGCATGGGTCGGTTCTTGACGTAGGAGCCCTGCGCACCCTCGAGCGCACTCTTGGCCTCGTCCAATGTCGCAAAGGTCACGTAGCCATATCCTTTGACGTTGCCAGTGTCCTTGTCGGTTGGGATGCGGACACCGGTGGGATTTCCATACGGCGCAAAGATGTTGTAGACATCGTCCTCGGTGATCTCGAAAGACAAATTGCCCAGGAACAAAGTGTCGGAGGGTTCGCTCAAAGCGTCTCCATAAGACTGGCGTCGTTTCTCCTGCTTGTCGCCTGCGTCGGGCTTCTTGTTGGCAAAGTCGACGTTCATGACACGCCCATCGAGCTCGTAGCCTTGCTTTGCAACGTGGGCCTTGGCGGCATCAGCGGCGTTGACAAACTCAACGTATCCGTAGCTAAAAATCTCATCAGTCACGACGCAATGAGTTCGAGATCGTGGTATCGACTTACCCCTTAGATCTACCATCCTCGCGTTGAGTGATCAGCCGAACACCGCCGAGCTCACCAAATTGTTCGAACTCCGACTTCAACCATTCCTCGTCGACGTTCCAGGAGAGGTTGCCGACAAAGAGGATGGATCCCCTTGAACCATCCTCCTCGACCTTTGTCTTCTTAGCGGCAGGCTCTTCGACATCTTCGGCCTTGCGTTTGACAGGTTTAGCCTCCGCCTCTTCATCACTGTCCTCAGAGTCATCGCTGCTCTGATCTCCCTCGCTGCTGTCGTCAGAATCCTCGCCATCTTCGTCGCTGCTCTCAGCAGCTTTGACGCCATTGGCCTTGGCTGTCTTTGCCGCTTTGGGGGGAGCAGCTTCTTCGTCGCTGTCCGACTCGTCTGAGCTCTCCTCAGACTCGTCATCTTCTTCCTCCACAGCAGACTTGCCAATCTTGGCACCTTTGGCGGCGGGCTTCTCTTCCTCAGACTCCTCTTCGCTGCTATCCTCGTCGTCCTCCTCGCTTTCGGAAGCTTTGGCAGCAGACTTGGTCTTGGAAACAGCACCGTTCGATTTGGGAGCTTCGTCCTCGGACGACGATGCTTCAGAGTCGGACTCTTCGCTTGAATCGTCCTCCGAATCATCCTCCTCATCGACCTTCACTCCGTTGGCGCCATTGGTCTTGTCATTCTCCTCAGTCTCGGAATCATCGTCTGAACTGGCCGAGTCCTCGCTCTCCTCTTCCTCTGAGCTCGACTCTGGCTCCGGAGTGGGCTCTTTGACAGGAACCTTTTTATTCTTCTTATCTTTCTTCTGCTCCTTTGCGGCAACCTCCTTCGCGATCTCTTTGCTCTTTGCCTTCACACTTTGCGATGGCTTCGACACGGCTGCGCCCTTGACCTTCGACAGGACACCGGGCTTAGACCCCGTGCTAGGGACGGACTTGGACTTGACTTTGGACATAATTAATGTAAACTGAAAGAATGGCATGGTCAGCATGAAGCAGTAAGGAAAAGGATGAAGGAGACGTTACGAACTGAGAACCCTCGAGTTTGAAAAATTCACTCCCACGGAAGTCACTGAAAGAAAATTTCAGCGAGTGCGGCAAAACCCTCAACCCACGAAAATGGAATTAAAAGCCCTCGACCTCACTTAGTCACTTGCTTCTGCAAAGGACTGGCAGAAATGTGAATTTCTGCTGGAAGCGCAACACCACAGACGGACCTGGAACAGAACTCGTCGGCAGGATGAGACAAGCAGAGACCTGCGATGAGTTTTCGGGATACCCCCAGTAGCAACAGACCCACAGAGCCCTCGATAGACCTCAAGTACAGAGTAATGATGCCCTCGAAAATATGCCCACAGTTGTGAATGCTGGATGATGGGTGCAGCAGAAAAAGGTAGCAGGAGAGAAAGATGGCAAAGGAACCAAAATATGGACCTTCACTTTTTCTTTTGAAGCCGAAATTTTTCTCCAGGCGGCGAGGCGGTAAAAAAGCTTATCTTATCAAATGGATGGCTGGGTCTGGGCATTTAATCCTCTTCGGGAACCAATCAAAACGTGTGTTCATCTGGCCACGGTGCCACTCTGCAAATCTCCAACTTCAGAGCCTGACAGGACCAGCTTTTGCTATTGAACTCTTGCTTCTGATCGCTGTCAAGCTGCTCGTCTGCTTCCAACCCAACATGTCGAGCCCATCGAACAACCACAGACCCAGGAAAAAGCGAAAACAAGCTCCTAGTCTGATTCGAAGCAACACCATCACCGACATTGTCAAGATCGACCCGGATGACAGCAACGCCATCAGCCCCGAGTTTCCCCTGGTAGCTTTTCTCTGGCCAGCCCGGGGCACCACATCTCAATGGATTCTGCTGCCGCTGATTCTGATGATTGTCGGTCTCTTCAGATGGAGTGTTGGCTTTTGGGGCCACTCTGGATATCAGGCGCCGCCAATGCATGGAGACTTTGAGGCTCAGAGGCATTGGATGGAGATCACAACCCATTTGCCAGTATCGAAGTGGTACTTCTACGATCTTCCGTACTGGGGTCTCGACTATCCTCCTTTGACGGCGTACCACAGCTGGCTGTGTGGCAAAGTGTACGTATTTCCGACTTGGAAAGAAATCCGAGAGCTGACGAAACATAAGCGGTTCTTTGTTCAATCCAGCCTGGTTTGAGCTCGACAAATCTCGCGGCATGGAAGAGGCCGATCTCAAGGTGTTTATGCGCGCTACCGTTATTCTCTCAGAATACCTCATCTATGTCCCGGCGTTGATTATATTTCTTCGTCACTTCGGCAGGGCCCACGCTACGGGGACTACCTCAGCATCGATCGCACTCGTGGCGATCCTCATGCAACCAGCGAACCTGCTCATCGATCACGGCCACTTCCAGTACAACTCAGTTATGCTCGGCTTCGTTGTCGCAACTCTCTCGAGCATCTATGCTGGTCGACTCTTGTGGTCTTGCATTTTCTTCGTCGCTGCCCTTGGGTTCAAGCAGATGGCCCTATACTATTCGCCTGTCATCTTTGCTTACCTGCTAGGCTCTTGCCTAACTCCGAAAATTCGCCCTGGTAGACTCTTTTCGATCGCTCTCGTCACAGCTCTTGCGTTCACCGTGTTGCTGGCTCCATTGCTCCTCGGATCACTCTACGACATATACCAGAAAGTTTCCTTCTCTGAGATGGCCTCACCGCCGTTTCTTGCCGAGAGGAGCATAGCTCTTGACCCTAATGCTCCTCTGGATATGGTAGTGCTGCAACTCAGCCAGGCCATCCATCGAATTTTTCCATTTGCCCGTGGCTTATTTGAGGACAAGGTGGCAAACTTCTGGTGCTTTACAAATACGTTCTACAAACTTGGCAAGCTGCAGGGAATTGTCGACCTCCCTCGTGTTTCAGCGATCGCAACTCTTGGATCTATCCTGGGACCGATGCTGATCATCGGCGCGGTACCTCAGAAGGCGCTGCTCCCATACGCACTAGCCACGTCGGCATGGGGATTTTTTCTCTTCTCCTTTCAAGTTCATGAAAAGTCGGTACTGCTTCCATTGCTTCCAATGACCTTGCTACTCGGCTGCAAACAAGGCCTTAGCAAAGAGTATCGAGCCTGGATTGGGTGGGCAAATGCACTCGGCGTCTGGACCATGTTTCCGCTGTTGAAGAGAGACGGGCTCACAATTCCCTATGCCGTGGTATCTCTTCTGTGGTGCTACCTGCTTGGGCTTCCACCGACCAGTGTGGGAGCGTATTACGACCCTGAGCACGAAAACATTACCGGTCGACCACAGGCTCCCGATGATTTGGCGACACCGACCAAAATTCTACATTTCCAGACCTACATTGTCATGGCATTTTGGCATCTGCTGGAAGCATTCGCAACTCCACCCGAAGATAAGCCTGATCTCTGGGTGGTGGCGAATGCATGTATTGGCGCTGCTTGTTTTGGGATTTGTTATCTGTGGTGTTTTTGGAAATTGATATTGGAGAGCGGCTTGCTCGATGGATACTTTGAGGACCGATCCAATGTCGATGAGACCAGGCAGTCTCTGAGAGAACAGTTGGCTGTGAAGGAGAAAAAGAATAGATAGCCTGTCTATGTAGGAGTGCTCCCTTATACCCTTTTCGATGCCCCCCCCCCGAAAGAACGGTGTCGACTTGATAGACGGGCATCCATCGGATGCCTAATTGTACATTTACCCATCCCCGGAAGCCTGGGGAAACCTCGTAAAGAAGTCTTAACTCGTATATTCATCAATAGTGCCGTGGTCATTCATGCGTAGTTGACCACTCCCCTGACCGCCCAAATCTCGCCGTTGCCCACCTTTCCCACAACACCGTCGACAATCAAATTTCCCGGGTTGATCACTCTGTCGCCGTCTTCATTTTCCTCCCACCACAGCTCCTGTCCACCCAGTGTCTTGATTTTATTCGACTTGCCCCGCTTCCAAGGACTCACGGCCACCACATGCTCCTCGACAAATCTCTGTAAATTTCGGGCGGCTTTGTCCTCGTCCCTCTCAGCATCCACACCCGAATCGTCACCCGGTCTATCTTCCCAAGGTTTGCGGGGCAGAGCTTGCATCGCACTGTTCAAAGGAGCCAGGAGCGTCGTGTTGTCTTCTGGCTTGGTGGATTCTAGGCGTGAAGTGACGGCGGAGATGTCTCGTGTCAGTGATGCAAAGATATTGATCTTGCGGGTCTGCGGCAGTATATCGGATATCGACAGAGTATTGTCGCCGATGTGACCGCCAGGTTGTCCAGGTTCATCCCCCGCTTGAACGGGACCGGGGTTCATTGTGTTCTGGTCTGGGTTGAGATAGACCACCGAGGAATCCTGGATCGATGAGGGATTACCGCGAAAGATGTCCAGTGGCGAGAGAGCGGCGGCGAAGGATAATGTGGAGAAGAGAGAGTACAGAAGAATTTTGCGATGCATGTCGGCGACAGATGGAATGTAAATTTGTCGGGTGGGATGTTCGTGGCACAGAAAGTGTGAATTCAAGGAATGCGATGATGGCTGTGACGTTGTCGCCGCAGGGAAAGCGGGTGTTGGCGGGCAGCTCTCGGGTTCATTCCTGCGCCCGCATCCCGTGACATTCACCCCCATTGATGCTTTCCCGCCAAAGATCAGCCATAAACCTACAAGTCACCAAGGATATGCCTACAAATTCTCTAGCTACCCTGCTTGGCTTGTTCCGAGTTCCCCATACGAATGATACACAAGGCAACCCTTCGGACCTATTCGAATCTGAATGCCAGGGAACGATCTTTGCCAATCGCCATCATACAACTGATACGCCCCTTGCCGTCAGGATTACGATGACCTTCCTAAGAGCCTGTGCATAACATTTCGGCGGTTGGAAGTGCGAGGATGCTCTCCTCAATCGTTGACCATCCGCCGACAGGGCTCGACAAACTGTGGAAAAGCCTAAGGGCACCTCGGAGTCCAAACTCCTTACTCCACACCTCTCAACCGTCCTCCTCCAGGTTCTGGCATATGAAGTCCATTTAATGGTTGACATTGGAAGTCCCAATGCCCGCTGAGTGACCCAACTCTCCCAGCTCTTCGGCAGCCACGCGTTTCAGGCACATCAAGAGATCCAATCGCTCTGTTTGAAAACGGCAAACAGGAAAGCAATACCCATATCCTACTATGTCGGCTCCCTATCTGTTTCGTGTTCTCTCTGAACCCTCCGGATTGGACCGTCAGAGTTGGGAGAAATGGTATTGTTCCGAAAACATACCCAGCCTGGTCAAAGCAAAGGCTGTTACACGGGCAGCATTGTACGAGGCGTTCGATGACTATCCGCTTGCCACCAAGACGCCGATTCAAGTGGGCCAGACCGCTTTACACGATGTCAAAGTTACGCACACCAATATTGAGCCTCCGACCGAGAAGACTTTCCTCGCAATGTGTCAGGTCGAGGATCCGGCGTCAGCAAGAGAAGAACACTCGAAGAGGATTGCTCAGACTAGTGAAGTCCTTGCAGGAAAACCTCCAAAGTCTTGTGCCACATGGGATTCACGAATCTACAAGCTAATCCAGGACTTCGACCCGAAAGGCCTTGGACACAGTAAGTGTTATCCTTGTAATCTTGTCTCGTGCACCCCCGGGAATTCCACGCTCGCTGACGTTCGTTTCACCCTTCTTGGTGGATGCTCAGCGCCCGCGCCTTACATTCTCAACGTCCAAATGGAGCCAGCTGATGATGACGATTACAACACGTTTTACCGGGATGAACACCTATACATGCTCTCAAGAGTCCCCGGCTATCGTCGCTCGCAGCGCTACCAGTTGGTGTCTTCGGACGATGTCAACCTCTCGGCGGTACCTAGATTCATGGCAGTCCATGAATTCGAGTCTCTGGATGCGTTGGATGGGCCTGAACTCAGAGAAGCGGATGCCAGCCCAAATACACACCGGGTCATTGGTAATGCTAAAGGGGTGAGTGTTAGGGGATTCAAATTTGTCAAAGGGTTTGGAGATATGAAAGGGTAGAAAGGCTTTAGCACAGCTTCCAGCGCCGCCCCCTAGGTACTCGGATGTGATGATGGTGAGCTTTTATTTGGGGAGCCCACAACATAGCCTAAGCGCACCTCCATATCCACAGTCCGGACATAGAAGTGCTGCCCTGTGGAGAGAGGTTAGGTGAATCCATCAACTTGTCTCTACCGAAGGTGCGGTGCCCTTTTTCCATGTGGGCGGTTCACCTGAAGTCTAAACGCGAGCTTCCCCGTCCTCAAATCCCCTCAGCCTTGGCCCGATCTCCGCATTCTCCGTCTTCGGCCATCATTTTCCAGGTTGGAGAAGAAGAACCACCATGGTAAGGGGCAAATAAGCAAGTCAAGACATGGCTCAGTGCCACGAGTGCCTGAAAACGGAGGAAGCAGGGAGGAAACAGACGTCGAACTACCAAAATGGCTTCCCGCAATAACCACGCCCTGATCTTCGGCGCTTCCGGCGTCTCTGGCTGGGCCGTCGTGGACAAGTTGTTAAAGGAGTATCCAAAGGCAGGAACTTGGAGCAAAGTCACCGCCTTGACGAACAGGCCTCTGGACATCGAGACTTCGCTGTGGCCAAAAACAGATAGACTCCAGATTGTCTCCGGAATCAATATACTGAAAGGGGAACAGAAAACGCTTGAGGATACTATCAAAAGCAAGATTCCAGGCATCGAGACGGTCACACATGTTTTCTATTATGGTAAGTGAAGAGTGAAGACCCTGGTTGAAATCCACCAAGTCTCTAATCCCACTCTTCCCCAGCCTACAAAGCGAATCCCAACTTTGAGCAAGAGAAGAAAGATGCAGTGGACATGCTCGCTCGGTCGATCACCGCTGTTGATCGACTCTCTCCGAAGCTAGAATTTGTCGCCTTCCAAACGGGTGCCAAGGTACGTAGTTCTTGTGTCTTTTAGGCAAAATACTAATTCTTCCTATCCAGATGTACGGATTTCTTCTTCAAGAGGACCACTACTTTCCTGTCCCCCTCAAGGAGTCCCTCCCCCGACTCAAGCCACCCTATAGTGACCAGCTCTTTTACCACGCTCAGCTCGACTGGTTGGGTGATTACGCCAAAGGGAAATCATGGACGTGGTGCGAAACACGACCCGACATCATTATTGGATTCGCACCGAACCACTCGGCGTACTCGTTGGGAGCATCCCTGGGCATCTACTTTTCGCTCTGGAGAGAAATCAATGGAGCCGGCAGCGTTGTCCCATTCCCTGGAACCGTCAAAAGCTGGAAAGCCAAGCACAACGAGGCTGGTAGCGACATGATCGCGAAGCAGACCATTTTCCTTTCTCTACATCCAGAAGTGAGCGGCAACGGAGAGGCGTTCAACGTGGCATCGTCTCCCGAGCCCGAGACTTGGGAAGAAAAATGGCCACAGCTGTGCGGATATTTCGGCCTGAAATCCGCGCCTCCGAACAGTGACTCCAAGGAAGTTCGAGCATACATCAATGACAACCTAACCCAGTGGAAAGCTTTGGAAGAGAAACACAATCTTCGCAGGGATATTGCTCAGTCGGGCATCACGATGCCAGGATTCGAAATCCTCCACCTGACCCTGGCTGATTTCGATCGACAATACGACCTCTCCAAAATCCAGAAAGCGGGATTTAACGAAAAGAGTTCCATCATGGAGACTTGGGGTGAGACATTTGATCGGATGAGGAAGGCAAAAATGATTCCATAGATGGCGGCCTGGATGGATGAAGGCTGTACGGAGAAAACCCACAAAAGCTGTCTCGCAGTGACTTTGATTACGGATCAAGATTGAAGTGTTAGTGGGAATTATCTTGGAAGTGAGGGAGCATGTATTCGAGTATATGCCCTAACCATGATCAATATGGAGAGAGAGAGAGAGATGCAGGACCTAAAACACCACGCTTTCCATGTCTGTGATTTGACGTGATCTATGAGACGAAGAGCAGGTTTCTATTTCTGTTTATTCTCAGCCTCGTCTCCGACATCATCGATTTGCTGGACGTTCTCGTTCTTGACCGAACCCCCCTTTTCCAATTCGTTGTAGCCGACGGGGAGATGGTCTGCGATGCTCCTGTCGAATTCGGCCCTCTCTTCCTCGGACAGGTGAGTCAAGTCGAGGGCGACCTCGTCTCCGAAGAGCACGCCGATCTCTTCCAAGCTCAGACCCTTGGTTTCGGGGAAGTAGAGGATGACCCACGGCACCATGAGAGACGTCACGATGATGAAGACGAGGTAGAACTTCCAGCCGATGTTGTTAAATGCCGGGCCTGCCGCGGTCGTGTAGACTGTGACGGGGGATTCATTAGTCGAGATGCCGCGTGCGTGACAGAGAAGATTTCATCTTTGACTTACCGGTTGTCATCAAGAAGAGCCCACTGACGGAGAATCCGACTCCACGGGTCCGCATGTGGGTTGGGAAGATCTCAGCACAGTAGACGTAGCTGGTGACATCGACGCCGAGTCCGTAGCAGGTGACGAACAGGAAGATAAAAGCCACTGCGGCGCCAGAGCCCGCTTTGTTGGTGTTGCTAGGACCGCCATAGTGGGCGACGAGGGCCGTGACGATGCAGACACAGATGATGGCTCCGATCTATTGCAAGAGAATTAGAATACTGGTCCTACATACCATGATTTCTCCCTCTGGGGAAGGGGGAAGCTCACCACTGCAGTTGTCACAATCCTGATACGTCCGAAGCGGTCGAGGATGAGAGCATTGACGTAGTTCAAAATAGCTGCCCATGAATTGTAGACGGCAAGAATGAGAAGGGGAGTTGAACCACTCAATCCCAGATTGTTCAACGTGGTCACCTACAAGGCCCGAGCGGTTAGAATGTACATGGTCGGGGCCATTGCTTGAGTATCTCACCATGTAGTTGGATATAACAAGGACACCAGTACTCTGGCACATGGCCTGAAGGAAGAAGCCGTAGAACAGGCGCTTCCTGTAGGATGGGATCGTGAACATTTTGAAGAGACCCGGGACTCTGTTGGACCGTTCGAGGAAGAGTTGTCGTTGGATCTGGACAAACTCCTCTCGCGCTCCGATATCGTGGACATCGTGCTTGTTCTTGTGAAGCCGGATCAGGATGTCCAAGCCTGTAGTTCATTTTCCTCAGTAAGGGCACGTCGTCGGTTGGTCTTTTAGAGAGAGAGATGGTTCATACCTTCCTGCGACCTTCCGTTCTCGATCAACCATCGAGGTGATTCGGGGATGAGGGGACTTCCAAGAAGCAGTAACAAAGGAGCAACGATCTGAAGGGCAACCAAAAGTCGCCATTGGATGGCCGGGTTGTCCTCATAATAGATGCCAAAGCCAGCCCAGCCGGCTGCGCCCTGTGAAAGATGTCAGCTTTTTTTCAGACCCGCGTAGACTCTCTCGGGGAAGTTGAACGTACGTATGAGCAACAGATGATGAAGCCGTGGGAGCCCACAACCAGACCTCTCTGAGCAGCTGGTGAGATCTCGGAAATGTAGGTGGGAATGGCACAGTTGATCATGCCCACGCCGAAGCCGTTGAGGAATCTTCCCACCAGGAACATGGCAATGTGCACAGATCCAGCTTGAATGGCAGCTGATACAATGCAGATTGCCGCAATCACCTGGATCGCAACCTTGCGGCCGAACTTGTCTGCAAACCAGAAGACAGCCCAACATCCCAAGACACCAGCGCCTGCGTAGAGCCCGTTGCAAGCACCGATGATGGAACCACCATAGGAGCTGGTGGCCACGAAGTCAAAGTAGGCGTAGAATGATGGCATGCCAATTACGGAGCCGATGATGGCCGAATTGAAGCCATATGTGAACGAGCCCAAGGCGACATAGAAGGCCACGGCGAAATTGTATCGCGTGGCCTTTGCCCGATGGTCAGAGGCTGTCATTTTGGTCTCTTTCTCGGGGAGGATGCGAGAAGAAGGCCAGTCACAGGATGCTGATGATCAATGGGAAGAGGTGGAGATGGAATAATATATGGATAGGTCTCCCAGGTTCCACTTACACAACGTTCCCATGCATTCAGGGGGTGGAAATCTCGCACTCTGTTTTCCGACAGCCTGGCCACGGGTCGACTGTACAAGCTATTGTTGCACTGTGGGTGCCTCGTCACAGATCCGAAGCCATGTGAGGCCTAGAGGAGGCAGGCTTGGGCGGCCATCGCTCAAGGAGGTGAGACCTACTGTATAGCGGACTCAGGTTATGCTCCTCCACAAAGGGAGCCCCAGACTCCACTGTGCTTGACGCCTCCAGCTAGGACGTGCTCCAGGTTTCTAGAGCCACGTGAAGGTAGTATCAGAGGAGAGCGTGGGACGGTAAATGAATGCCGTATAGCGACAGATCAGGGACTAATCTGACTAAACCTGTCGTTGTTATGCTGGAACCCTACAAATAGTAGGCTTGAGGCATCCGATCTAGATTTTATGCAATTGCAGATGGAAGGGAATTCAACTACTATATAGAGCATTTGGGACCATGTACCAAGGAGTGGTGGAGTAAGTCAATACGAGAGTCTGACGAGGCTGAGGTTAGATGAATCATTTCTAACTGAACTTGGAGGAAATACGAGGAATTTCTCATAAGCATTTCAATTTCTTATCATTATTATGCCTTGACTGCACAATCAAGACCGGATCTTTCACTTCCAGCCTCCCACCCTCCCTGCTCTAGTGTGTCTCAAAAAAAAAAAAAAAAAGGCACATCGTATCCGAAATACTCCACCAGCATGCAGAACAGATGAACCGAGGTGAAGGTAACCTTGATCCGTCTCCTCTCCGCCTCTACGTCGACCCCTCGAATTCCAAGCCTCGTTGTTGGGGAATTTCCCCGCAAACAGCGGAGATCAATGGCCGAGTCTTGTGAGCGTTGAGTGTGGATGGATGCTGTTCGTTCGCCGTTGGGTGTGCGGCATCTGGCAAAGAGAAGGAACATGTTCCAGCAGAGCCAACGATATCATCCGAGACAATCAACAACCCTTGCATGAGCAGAAAAGATATTCCGTCTGTCTAGACCAGAATTCGTCATATTAAACACGCGTATGGAAGTATCGGGCTGTTGATATTGATTGTCGCATATACACCAGACCCTTAGCTGAAATTTCCTCCAAACCGGTGACTGACTGCTCTTGATTCGTCGATTGGAAACTCCTATTTCATCGATCCCCCTTGTTCTTACCAGCATTGACAAAATGGCGACAATGAAGGCAGCTCGTTATCATCCTGTACATGCCTTGCCCCCCTCAACTCTTGAAGATGGATACGTACTAACACTGGCCAGGAGACGAATACATGTACGGTAGATGAGATCCCAATCCCAAGCATAGATGACAATGAGATCCTGGTCAAGGTTGCTTCTGCGGGCTTGTGCCACTCGGATCTCATGTTGTTTGATGGATCCATTCCCGCCACAGAGCCCGTAGTCATGGGCCACGAGGGCGTCGGTTATGTGGAGAAGCTCGGTGCAAATGTCAAGGGCTTTAAGCCTGGTGACCGTATTGGCTTCCTCTATATCAAGGGAGTCTGCTGTAAGTTGGACGGGAATCTACCTGTCCTGTCCCAATGTTGAATATCCGTGCAACAGACTAATGCTGCCATAGTCGAGTGCGAAGGATGCCAGGTGCACAATCTCAACTGTAAATTGGGCACCGCAAGACTCCAGGGCTTTGGCACCGATGGCTTCTTCGCCGAATATTCTGCTGTGGATTATCGCAATGCCATTATCCTCCCAGATAATCTCCCAATGGAAACCTCAGCACCATATTTCTGTGCTGGTATTACAGGTGAGTACTTACCTCTGCTCTCTCTCTGTCTTCTATCACACCTTTGAGGGCATTGATACTGATCATAACCCGGCAGCCTTTCACGGAGTTGATTCGTGCGGTCTCAAGCCTGGTCAGTCTATAGTGATTGTGGGCTGCGGAGGTCTGGGACAGATGGGGATTCGATTCGCCAAAGCCATGGGCCTGAAAGTCATTGGACTTGATATCAATGATGAAGTCCTCGCAGCGGCAAAGGAGAACGGTGCAGATGTCCTGGTCAACAGCAGAGACCCGGACTATGAGAAGAAAGTCAGAGACGCTACCGGGGGTGGCGCGGACGCCGCTGTTGTCTTCAGCGCTGCCCAGGCGGCCTACGACAGCGCGACTAGAATCCTACGCCTCCAAGGGATCCTGATGGTTATCGGTCTTCCCTCTAAGCCTCTTCAATTCAATTCCTTAGAGTTGATGAGAAAGTTATACCAGATCAGGAGCGAGAGTACGGGCCCTCCACAACAGATGCCACGGGCCATTGAGTTCATTTCCAAGCATGAAATCAAGCCCAAGGTCGAGCTGTACAAGCTGGAACAGATCAACGAGATGATAGATCTGATGAAGAGTGGCAAGTCAAAGTCGAGAATGGCGGTAGTCTTTTAAGCGGTCAATTACATGCTTGTCTCTGGTTGATCTATTCTGCCATGGCATTTCTGCTATAAACCTAGACTTTTCTGAACCATAACGCGGCTTCCTGCTAAGCTGTAATCAATCGCACCCTTTCCGTAAGCATCTCTTCGCTACCTGCCCAGTGGAGTTTGCGATTCTATTCCGGTATGCCTGGCTACATGTCCTTATTTCCCCATCTTTGAGCCTCCGGCGGTGAACAATCGCCGGAGCCATCCCCGCAGGCTAAAAAGCAAATGTAGCCCCTTCTATGCATGGACAAAGAGTCTGAGACAAGCATCACGACCAGCTTACCAGCTTGGCTTTGGTATGGTACGATCGAGGGACCTGACTTGTGATAGACAACAGAATGTTGGCCGATAAAGTCTCTGAGGTGCAAGGACCAGATCTCCACATTCCCATCCCGATACTTCACAACTTGATAGTCTCATCGGTGGCCCAACATGGAGACAAGGTGGCTATAGTATGCAAACACCAGCCTGCGGACCTCTTTCCAGCAGTAAACGGGTATGGAGACTCCAGCGTCAAACCGACGGAGAGGCTGTATCTTCAATGGACTCACTCCCAGCTTCAATACGGCGCCGACCTTCTTGCTCATGCCTTGGTCAAGCAGGGACTGAGTCCCGGGTCGCCGATTGCTGTGCTACTCAGTGGAAGAGTAGAATTTCACATGCTGTTACGAGCAGCAGTGAAGCTGAAATGTCCTTTCACACCTCTCAATCTCCGAGCACCGCAAAACGCCAAAGAGATCAGGCATATGTTGACCTTATCTGGCGCCAAAGCTGTCATTGTCGAGGATGAATCCATCGCCCACAGGCTCGAACAGACGGTACCTGACTTGATGCGGGAGATGCAGGTAAAGGCTATGGCCGGACCAAAGTCTACGGTCGATTCATACTCGTCACTCAACGAGTTGGTGTCCTCTGCCGCGGAGGACGATAGTTTCCAGGAGACACAGAGGGCCTTTGACCAGGTCGAGCGCCATTTGGACGATACAGTGTTTATCTGGTTCACCTCAGGGACGACTGCACTGCCCAAGGCGGCGCCGCACACCAATAAATCTCTGACCTGCAATGTCCGATCATGGGGAGCAGTATTCAATCTGGACAGCACCCGTCGATGGCTCCAGATCCTCCCCATGAACTCGATCGTGGGCAGTTCATGGACACTCGCGTATCTGATCCCCGGAGGCAGCGTCACGCACGTCAACTACAACTTTGATGTCCAATCTATTGCCGCCGCAGTCAAGGAAGGAGAACACACCGACGTGCTCGCAGTTCCATCCATGATAGATCTCCTAGCCTCTTCTCCGATACTCACCGAGTCGTCAGTCAGAGGTATTGAACACGTCATTGTGGGTGGGAGCAAGATCCTTCGATCGCACGTCGAAAAGGCCTTCAACGTAATGAAATGCAGGCGTTTCAGTCCCTTCTTCGGAATGACCGAAGGCACATCGGTCTGCACGGAGACACTCCACGGCGTCCCAGAGAGTCTGGATGATCCCATCTACGCGGGCTACGCCAACCCAGGAAGCAAGATCAGGATCTGTGCGCCCGAGGGGACCGAGCCTGTCCCTAGAGGTGTGCCTGGGGAAATAGTCCAGGGTGGCTTGCAGAAGATCGAAAATTATCTGGGTGGTCAAGGTAAAGACAACTTTTTCACGGATAAGGGAGAAACGTGGTATCGGTGCGGTGACCAGGCAGTCATGTTGCCCAACGGAAGGATTGCTATCATCGGACGGTATAAAGGTACGAAGCCCTATCTGCATTTTGGTCTCTTCAGCTGTATGGAGCCAATCTGATCTTATTGCTGGCAGACATGATCATCAGAGGTGGCATGAACATAGCTTCTGCAGCTGTTGAAGCCATTATATCTGAAGGCACAGGCATAGATGTGAGTACTCAGCCGTGGCTCGGTTTAGGTCCTTCTGCATCGTCCTTCTGAAGCTAAGAATACTTGCAGTCCCAAGTTATTGGTATCCCGGACGAGGTCGCCGGAGAGGTTCCCATCGCAGTGATCAAATACGCCGGAGGAGACAATGGTGTCGCGATTAAAATCCAGAGATGCGTACTCGAGAGAATGGGGCCCCCCTACGCACTAGAGCGAGTGGTCAACCTAGCTGATCTGGGGCTGGAAGACTGGCCCAAAACGAGCTCCGGCAAGGTTCTCAAGCGAGAGCTACGATTGTTGATCGAGAAATTGCTTCCGTCGACAGACTCCAAGCCGAGAGAGAACCCACAGAACGGGGAGTATCTGCGGGACAAGATACAGATTGACGAAGCTCAATTGCAGAACCACCTGCTCAAACGAGTGCAGCAGCAGGGAATCCTAGTCTCGGACATTGACGAGAATTTCCACGACGCGGGCATGGACAGTCTGCTCGCACTCAGACTGAGGAATGCCATCGATCGAGACCCGGACTTGGGTATACACGCAAAGCTACGGGCAGAGGATATATTTCAATATGGCACCGTCCGGCTCCTGACAGCGCACTTGATAACCACTACAAGCAAGATATCTGGGATATCCTCGTCTCACCTCGACGCCCTTGTTGACGAAATGGATGCCATGGTCGAAAAGTATGGCGAGTTCCGTGTTCACCAGGCTTCAGAGGGCGTGGTCGCTCAGAAAGAAACAGTGGTAAGGAGACCTGTTGTCCTCTAAGCAGTTGATATACATTCTAACAGCCAGTCCAGCTCCTTACTGGTGCAACCGGTTCTCTCGGCGCTCACATCCTTGCCCTGCTGATCGAAAGGGACGACGTTAGTACAATATACTGTCCAGTAAGAGGTTCTGCACCGGCAAAGCGACTGGAAGAATCGCTCAGCAGGCGGTTTCTGGAGGCCCCAAAATACCATGAAAAGGTCAAGATTATCCAAAGCGAGGCAGGAAAGTCGTGGCTTGACACGGACGGGGCCACGAAAGAAGCCCTGTTGTCCAGCCTGACTCTCATCATTCACGCTGCGTGGCCGGTGAACTTTCACCTCCCACTTGCATCGTTCCGTCCTCATCTCAGGGAGCTCCAGAGGTTAATTCAGTTGTCGTTGGACGTGAGATTATCGCAGCCTGCACGCGTCATGTTCTGTTCCTCGATGGGCGTTGCACTCAGCACTCGAGGCCAGAAGAGGATTGCAGAGGAACCTATCATGGACTTTCGACAAGGCATGAGTAACGGATATACACAGTCCAAGGTTGTCGCAGAATATGTTGTGCAGAGGGCCATCGAAGACTTTGGTGCTCTGGCGTGCAACCTGCGCATTGGCCAGATCGTGGGAGACACCAAGCATGGGATCTGGAACGAACATGAGGCCATTCCGCTCATGATACGCTCTGCGCTCAGTATAGGGACTTTGCCCGCCCTGGACATGGTAAGTCGACCCAAATCTGCACCCCATATTTTGAAAGACACATCTTCTGACTCCTGGGTGAATCTAGAAATGTTCGTGGATCCCCGTCGATACGCTGGCCAGAGCCATCATCGAGATTGCGACAATATCAGATCGCCAACATTCACCACGTGTAGTCTACAACATGTGTAGCAGACGCAGCTTCTCCTGGACGGAGGACCTACTACCGGCCCTCGCCGATGCGGGACTCAAGTTCGAGACCGTACCGTTCGCAGAGTGGATTGCAGGACTGAAAAGCTACAGCTCGACCCAGGGGTTGGAAGCTGCAAGCTTGCACTGTCCGGCCATCAAACTAATCGATTTCTGGGAACGGACGTATGGCGGCAAAGAGAGGCAGCACGATGGAGGCCTCCAATTCGACACCCGCCAAGCACAGGCGGTTAGTAGAAGCATGGCGACTGCTCCTGACGTGGTCCAAAGTGGCTTGGTCAAGGTCATGTTGGATTCATGGATGCAAAACTGGGGTGGCACGGGTGGTCACGGTGATACCCCGCCCGTTGCGAACGGCAAAGTCTAGGCGCGAGCATTGGGCACGAAGGCGAGGTGCTCGTGCTCATCGGTAAGTACCAAAAAGTACCTACTACCCAGTAGGATGCTTTCACGGACGATCGAGAACTTGGGAACTTTAAAAAACCTGGTCGTCAGGACCAGTTGAAGACACAAAGCCACGCTCATTGCGGGTCATCTGGGCCCGCGGGTTGAAGAGGTCTTATTGGGTGCAAACGCGGGTCAGCCGAAGTCGACTTTGCGGCAGGAACCCAGGCGTGCCAGGACTTGGGGATTTCGGTGAATGAACTCCGTTGAACTACGAACTTTGCCGCTCTTCCGGAGATTCAGAAGAAACAACCTTTGACTTGTAGCTGCTCTGTCGTAGGTCAAACTAGTGTACTCAGTTAGGTAGAATGGTCGTTATAGCTGAAGAGAATCGAAAAGAGTGCTCGGTCTCCTGGTGAAGTAGCAGATATGGCAATTAAAAGGCACCCCAGGAGCTGCTGGATGCGGAAGCGCAACGAGCTGGTTGATGAGCCACGGACCCTGAATTTCGTCGGTGCAGTTGCCCCACTCGCTTAGATCCATTCTGGATTACAACCAATAAGCAGTAAGAGTAAACTACCCCAAGTGGGTCACTGGCTCTCCGCAACCATGACCCCGGTTTCTCCGCGCCGCCAGGCGAATCGCCCGAGGATCACGAAAAGGAAAAGCGACGTGTAGCCCGTAGGTAGCTACGAGTACTTGGTAGGCCGACAGGAAAAGTAATTCTCATCCCTCTTCTAATCCCTCCCTGCACAATTTCTCTCGCCCTCCTCGACGCTTGATAGACTCTCTTGAGGTAGAACTCCAACACGTTTCCATACTGATAAATCTACCTTCTCGCCCTCCCTTATTTTCAACCATGCTCGCCAGTCCCTTCGCCTCTGGTTTCTCGCCTGTCGCGGCAGAAGTTCACGAGGACACGACTAAGAGCCCACATGGAACGCCGCCGTCCGACCCAAACGATGCAGAAAGCACGTATGCCGCAGACGCTCGCGTGCGAAAGTCGGGAGGACCTAAGAAGCGATTGTCGTCTGCACCAAAGAATCAGACAAGAAGCTCAAAGACCTTGGCATGTCTCAACTGTCGACCCCGGAAGATCAAGGTCTGTGACATGCATCCTGGACGCTGGCGAGTGCCGTAGTTCTAACACTCGTCATAGTGTGAACGCATTGGGGGTACTTGCGAGAGATGTCGAACGTTAGATATTCCGTGTAGATTGCCTGATCGCGACGAACGGCGGGTGTGAGTTATTCCACTGCAAAGCCACGATCCAAGCGCGTGAAGGCTGACCCCAGGATATTCCAGGCGCTATTCAAAGGACTACATCATCCAGCTCCAAGACCAGATCGCCGAGCTGCGAAGCACCGTGGCAACGATGCAAGCAGCATACACCTCATCCAAGTCACCGCCGCAGACTCTGCAATGGCCCGTCGCAGTCTCGGCATCGCCACCGCAGCTGCAAGCCCAATTTCAACCACCGCCACCATTGCAGCCGCAGCCACCAGCTTCCGATTCACTGGGCTCGCCCACGTTAACGACGGACGACTCCAGCGCGATTGGAGAAAGACCCAGCAAAGGGACGCCAGAATCTGAACCGCCAGAGAGCTTGATCAGCCGCTTGTGTGACGCCCAAGGACGACTCAACAGCAAGGACGACGGTCAGCTGCGGTATTTCGGGCCCACATCCAGCCTCCATTTGACCGAGAGTGTCACCACCATCTTCAAATATTGCAGCGACGTCTCCAAATTTGGAGCCGAATTTGAAAAGGATGTGCCCTGGGCAATGCAGCAATATCTCCTAGATCTCTATTGGAAGTACCAACACAACATCCTGCATATTATCCACAAAGAGGCTTTCCTCGCTGGAATGCAGGCCGGGTCGGGGCCATACTTCAGCCGCTGTCTCCTGCTGTGTCTCCTGGCTTCTGCTGCCCGGATCTCTGTGAGCCCCGAGATCCGAGCCCTGTCTGTGCCGGCGGATGACGACGAGACTGGTGAGAAGCCGATTTTGACTAAGAGGGCTGAGGAGGCATTGGAGGAGGAGCTCTTGAACCCGGGCCTGACCACCATTCAATCGTTGATGCTGCTGAGTATTCTGGACTGCTGTCAATCGAATGATTCGCGAGGATGGATGCGTTCAGGTACTTCACCCTCCCAAGCTCCTTCTGACACAATAGCTGATTGGTGCCTATTAGGAAATGCATGTCGACTAGCCTTTGATCTTGGTCTTCATGAGAACTGGTCTCGGATACCCAACACCAAACTCTCTCCTCTCGACCTCGAAGTCAGACAGGTCATACTCTGGGGGTGTGTGGGATTTGACAGGTACGCGGTCCATAACCAGTCACTCTTACACAACAGAGACTGACTATGTCTTGTCCAGGCTCTGGGCGCTCTATCTTGGCCGGCCACCGGTCATCAAGTTGAGCGATGTTTCCATTGACCGACCTCATAGAAATGCCCCTACATGGGATATGAAGATGTTTGCCGCGTGGGCCGAACTGCTAGAGCTTTCAGGCCACATGAGCGAGAAATTGTACGTTTGCTGGACGCCAGGCAAGGCGACTTCGTGGGACTAACGAGCTCGATCAGAAACACCAATACCTGCTTCCAAGAACAAATCGACTTCTTCACCGAGGCGCTACAAAGATGGGATGCCAGCCTTGACCATACCTTGACATTCTTCCCCAATGCCCCCCCGGGTATTTATCTGTTGCGGTAAGCCGTCGTCCTACACACTCTCTCTTTCCGTCAAAGGCTTCGGGCTTACGTCTAGTGACTCTGTAGGATCCAATACTCCGCTCTGATGATCCTGGTCAACCGACATAACGCGGGCTACGGGAATCCAGAGAAACGGACCTGTCCGGCCTCGAACCGGTCGCGCAGTATCTGCCTGGAACATGCCTTCACTATCTCCAACCTAGTGATAAGCTACGCAACTCACCACGGTGAAGCCAACACGATGCTAGGCTCCACCCTGTACAACATCACCATGGCCTCGACCATCTTCGTGGCCGAGATCAACGAGCGGAATCGACAGGAGGTGTCCGAAGAAACCGCTGCTCTCGGGGCATGCCTGAAAGCCATGAAGGAGATGGAGAGTGCCGAGATCGTGGCACGTAACCTCCGCAAGATTCTCCAGACCATCATGCGTGTGTGCCGAGTCTGCGACATCCCCGATTACGGCGAGCATCTGGAACAGTCGGCTGGATGGCAACGGCCCAAGACAAGCACTGAACTCGGTGGGACAGTCAACACTTCGACCGCTCTACCAACGACCAAACGACGAGACGACAGCACAAGTGACAGTGATAACGACTTTAACTGCCTCAATTTTGACACGCTGGCGTTTGACGGGGTATTCCAGCTGCCCTTTGACGACGCCCTGCTTGACCCGTCTTCAATGGGTGTATTTTTAACATAGCGAATAGCGTCGTATATAGGCGAATGAACACAGAGATCATGGACGCTATATGGTGCCTTGAATGCCTACTTTGTAGGGCTAATCTATCTCCTTTGGGCGAGTCATAAGACCTTGTAAAACCTGATAGAACCCTCTGGATAATCCTCAGCAGTCAGATACTATCTGACTACCCGTGCTAGCAACCTCACTCTCGGAGAGCGTCTCGAAACAATCCACCCCTTGGCAATTTATCACCGCGCACGCATAACGTGAATATTCTACCGTAGTCTCGGAGACACTGAAAAAAATCCCACCTCCAGATTCCAGACCATTGGAGAAAAGCTCCTCCCAACAAGCCTCGCGGTGATTCAGTGGCCGCCCAGAGTGGAAACAGACATAGCAATTCACGGGCAATGCATCTCTTTGACCTCTGGACCTTTGTTTCCTCCCAGCATGACCTCGGTTAATGGCCGCGCTGGCATGCGGAGACATACGAGGTTGAGACACACGGTGAATGGACTCCGAACGGAGGCGAAACCCAAGCAGACCACGCGCGGAGAATACAATCCCCCACGATTACGGGCTGTTTCGAGACCAAGGGTTTCGAGGGGGATAATATGGGCAGCCAGCCAAATAGATCACTCAGTCCAGTGGCCTATATAACCAGCCCGGAGACCTGGACTTCTTGTCCTTGGACGCTAGATTTCTCTTTCAACCCAATATAAGAACAAGACGAGGAAGAGGAAGAGCATCTCTCGCCTTTGAGCTGGAAGAGGTGACTTGAACTCCCTACCTAACAGACAGACACCCTAGTTTCCGTCTCCTTACAGATATACCACAAACATGGGATCTATCACACCCGCGTCGGATCGCAAAGACGCCATCGTCATTGGCGCCGGCTTCTCTGGCATCTACCAACTGCACAAGCTCAAGGAGGCCGGCTTCAACGCCCGTCTCTACGAGGCCGGATCCGGCCCAGGCGGCATCTGGTACTGGAACTGCTACCCCGGGGCCCGCGTCGACACCCCGGTTCCCACGTACCAACTGACCTCGGACGATAGCTGGACCGGCTGGAACTGGTCGCAGCGGTTTCCCGACTGGTCGGAGCTGAGGAAGTATTTCCAGCACCTGATCAAGGTGTGGGATCTCGGTGACCTGATCACCTACAACACGCGCGTCCAGAGCATGCAGTGGGACGACCAGGCGCACGAGTGGCACCTGTCCCTCAAGAGCAGCACCACGGGCGAACAGAGCCAGGACGTCGCCCGCAACGTGGTGGTGTGCACCGGCTTCGGGTCGAAACCATACATCCCAGACTTCAAGGGCCTGGACAAGTTCAAGGGTGAAATCTACCACACTGGCCTGTGGCCCCAGACGGGCGTCAACATGGAGGGCAAGCGGGTCGCCATCATCGGCACCGGCGCCAGCGGCGTGCAACTGATCCAGGAGACGGCCCAGGTGGCCAAGCACCTCACCGTATTCCAGCGGACGCCGAACACGGCGCTGCCCATGCGGAACGACAAGTACGACCAGGTCATGAACGACGCGTGGAAGAAGACGTTCCAGAACACAAAGGACACCATCCTCAAGACGTACGCCGGGTTCGACTACGAGTTCAGCCCGGAGTCGGCGCTCAAGGTCTCGCCAGAGGTCAAGGCCGAGTTCTACCAGAACCTGCTCAAGAGCGGAGGCCTGCACTTCTGGCTGGGCACGTACTCGGACGTGCTTTTCAACGAGGAGGCCAACAACGAGGCCTACGAGGTGTGGCGACAGAGCGTGCTGCCGCGGATCAAGGACCCGCGCAACCAAGAGATCCTCGCGCCCAAGGTGCCGCCGCACCCGTTCGGCACCAAGCGTATCAGTCTGGAAAAGGGCTACTTCGAACTGTTTAACCAGGACAATGTCGACCTGGTCAGCCTGGTGGACAACCCGGTCGTCGAGGTGACGGAGAACAGCATCAAGACGGCCGACGGCACCGTGGCCGAGGTCGACATGATCTGCATGGCGACGGGTTTCGACAGCGTCACTGGCGGCATCACGGCGATCGACATCCGCGGCGTCGACCCCAAGCAGACGATCAAGGACAAATGGACCCAGGGAACGTACACGCTATTCGGCCTCGCCGTGTCGGGCTTCCCCAACATGTTCCTGATGTACGGGCCGCAGGCACCGACGGCCTTCGCCACAGGCCCCTCGTCGGCCGAGTGCCAGGGTGACTGGATCACGGCGTGCATCGAGTACCAGCGGGACCACAACATCACCAAGGTCGAGGCGACGCGGGAGGCCGAGCAACAGTGGCGCGAGCACACGCTCGAGATGGGCGAGAAGGGCCTGTTCACAAAGGCAAAGAGCTGGTACTACGGCGACAACATCCCCGGCAAGCCGCGCGAGGCCCTGAACTACATGGCCGGCCTGCCGACGTACCGAAACAAGATCTGGGAGTCGGCCAAGGACAACTACAAGGGTTTTGAACTGACCGCTTAGATCGGTGTGGGCTGGTAAGGCTGGACGTTTTGTGGGCATCAAGGTACATACTAGTACGTAGATCTTGTGGCTCACTAGCATTCCGGGGGTTCCCGGGGACGTGGGAATGTGTTTTCGCGTAGCAAACTTGTGTGTTGATTTCGAATTACCGTGGTTACAAGTAGTCAGGTTTCATAGTCCCAAATACATTTCAAAAATTCCAAAATATCTCTTGGAAAGTTGATTCTCTGGGTATATATACATATATATGCTACATGAAGTGTAGCCTCACCGTCGGTATATCACTTCATACCCAACCAAGCCCTATAATACCTTGACACTTGCCGAGACAAGATAGAAGACGGTTTTTCAAGGTCATCGAGCAGGGAAGAGTACAAACAGGATAAACTCTCTTTTAATTGCCTATTTTTTCAACAAAGAATAATGTCCTGTTGTTTTCTTCACATGGCTTCCTCCTTGACTGATCAACGGCCTCTGTCTGCCTCGAAAAGCCTATATTAGAAGCACCGTTCACGTCTTCATCAGAGGCTCCACTGCTTCCTGTTCGAGATCGCGGTCCCGATTCGACAGCGTGGCCATGGGGGTCCATGTCTTCTTCCCAAATCCACAACGACCTTGGAGATAACACCAGACCCCAACCAAGAGAACCACGGCCGTCAAGCTCCCAAGCCCGAGCACAACATTCAAGCATTTGGATTTCGTGGCCCCACCGTGACCGACATCCAGGCCAGGAGCAACATACACGAGCATGATCCCCATGACGGGCTCGAGGGAACCATCCATCATCCCCATGGGCTCGTGCACGCGGGTGTCATAATATGCAGTAATAGACCATTCGTCCTCTGGAGTTGTTTCTGTCATCAATGCACAAGACTCGATGCTAGAGACGTGTTCTGTCATCTTCCCCTCGCCCAGGTAGCGATACTGATTGTAAAAAGCCTTCACACTGCACACGGCCTTGCCGTTCTTGAGGAGATCGATGTGGGTTCCGCCGTCATGGAGGTGGCCTGCGACAAAGGCGACCACTCCCTGTGGTGACCCTTTTAGAACGGGGCTGGAATAGTTAAATGCCGAATCTCGATAGGCGGGTACGTCCGAGGTTCTGCATCCTCCAACATCCATCCAGTAGGGCGTGAGCGCAGTGAAATCCCGAGTATGGCGACCCTGGACATACTCGTAGGTTATTGTAAAAACAACGTCCGTCTGCGGTTCCGAGTGAAGCATGTTCATCAGATCAACAGCCAGGGCGACCTCATCCGAGCGTCCGATGTAGTAGCCGGCCTTGACAGACCTGGAGAGGCTGTCAGTCAAATTTCACAACCTTCTGGACTCGGAACAAAACCTACCCTCCACCAGAGAAGTCGATTGCTGTCCTTTCATTCCCCGAGGCTGCAAACCTCTGGCCATATGACCCTTTTCCGCAAACAGCATCCGATTGGTTCCTGTTCACCATTACTCCATGGTGAAGCCACATGCCAGTATCGGCATCAGCAACGCGTCCGTCAGCATGCTCAAGGCCCATCTCCAGCAAGGTAATGACACAGTCGCGGCACGGCAGTGTGGTCGAGGGTTGGAAATATTGAGCCATGCCATCATTCTCGGTCATTGGAGGTACGGAGACCGGTGCATATTTGATCGTGACTCTCTGGGAATCATACTCAGAAAAGTATGAAGCCGCATGAAAGACTTTGGTTGTCTCTGTTGGAAAATCAATGTGTTAGAATCAAGTGTCCCGTCTGAGTGGATGATATTCTATTTGTGTGCCTACCAAGAGGAAGTGGTTTCCCACGCCCATGTCCAGCCCGGGCATTTGCCGAAAAGCACAAGAGACTGAGGAGGTAGAAGGTGAGGACTGCGGCCATTGCGGATTGTTAATTGTCCCCTTGCTCTGGACACGACAAGTGTCTCAGAGACGATATCAGTATGAATTCAGCTTTCCGGGATGGATTCGAGACTAAAAGGGAGCGGCATTAGGCAGACGAGAAAAGCTGAAACCCAAAGACCGAGCTTGATGACGCAGCGTGATGAGAGACGAATAGATGAGAACTCGGCAATTGACCAATGGCAAATACAGGACGCTCTCCGTCTCCGCCCAAAACAGAAGGTTGCATATTTGCAACATGGTACAACAGAGAAATCTTCAGCCCTTGATCCGCAGGAGTGCGGTCTGGCCCTGATAGGGCTGTGGCTGGCGCCTCGACTTGCAGAGTATGGCTTCCATGACGGTCTAGCTGTGTGGGTCCAAAGGCTGAATATTTGCTGTATTGGGGAAGCGTGGTGTCGAGCCATTAGGATACTTCTCCTGTCCATGCTGTGAAACCACTGGGCTCTGATGGGAGCATCTCCACACTCTGATTGAACAACGCGCAGCTTGTGGCTAGCTAGAGATTCTGCAGTACAAACATTGTTGCAGGGTTCAGCTTCAGCGAAACAGGGATTGAGTGTCGTTCTTCGTATTTGTCGCGCCCCTCGTGGCTAGTCATCTCCCTCTGTCAATACCGGGTACCAAGCTGCGGGAGAGTCTGGAGCGATGGCCATATTGTGGCCGATGAGAAGATAGAAGAAAATTCGGCAACAGCGTTTTGGGTGGCGAAGAGAATCTGGTTGGCTCGACACAGGGTCCTGTTTGCCAATATTCTATCCTGCAATAGAACTTACCGTCCCGCTTGATAACCCTGGTCTGATTCTAGGTCGAGTCCGAGTACATACAGCATTGCGGCCGCTGATCAAAGGGAATGGTGTCTCAAGAGTGGGTCTCCAGCCGTCTGCTCATGGCCCTTTCAAAGACGTTGTCTGGGCGGCTAAGGCGATGGCTCCTGCACGAAAATGCTTCTGCCTGGTGCATGGGAACCCAGCGGTTCGTATATACTCCTGGAGTAATACCTTCTGCCTGAGGAATTTTATCGATCGCTTCCCTCGCCTTTGTGTACATCGATCGCCACCTCAGACATATTGGCATCATGTACGGGCAGGAGACCAAAGGTATTCCGGCCCAAAAGAGACGTTCAAGTGGATGTGAAAAGCTGACATTCACTGTTGAAGCTTGCCCACCGTACGAAGCTCCAGCAACTGCGTGCAGCCATGCTGCACCAGTGATGTAGGTAACTGGCATTTTCACCGTCGGGCTCTCCACTTACCTCAATGACCAGGCACTATCATGCTCCAACTCCCCCAGTCAGGCTGGTATGCACAGCTGAACACTGCTGTGCTCCACCACTCCATTTGATGCCGACAGCAATCCGCGATCTTGGTCACCTGGAGGCACTGGTCGACTGTCCATACTGTGGAATAAGGGGAAAGACCAAGACAAGTTTGCTTAGCGGGAACATGAATCAGTTGGTATTTCAATCGATACTCGTGGACTGCTGCTGACACGTCCTCGTGAACAGTGCATGGGCCGCATGCTTGTTCCTTACCACCGTCTTATTCACCTTCGCCCCTTACATGTGCAGTAGCCTGAAGAATATCGAGCATCGTTGCAGAAGCTGCGAGAAACAGCTCGCCATCTGGCATCGAAGTGGACGTACGGTGCCCAAGTAGGATGTACAATACCCAACTTCGATCACTGTGAGCTTGAACCCAGCAGCTTGAGCCATTCAGAGTATACGATGTCGAGGAATGTCTGTGCACAGATTACGCCTTCCGTGAATGAGGCTATGCAGGATAGTCAATCGAAAAAAAGAGATTCGGCAGACGGCATCTCATTGGATGCCTGTGGATTGAAGAATGATTCCCAGCCTTGATCCAGATCCGTCATGAAGTCAAGAGAGCCAGAGACCGCTTGAAACTCATCCTGTGCCCAAGGCAAGTCGGAGTCAAAGCTATACATACCCTCATAAGTGATTTTTGGAGATTGAGGATTGAGATCAGCACTAGGCATACCACTGCTCGAAGAGTTGACAAGACAACCTGGATATGCTGCTGAAGACCCCTGATCGCGCGACGGCTTTAGGCTGCTGGACTTCAAGTGCCGCTCCGAAGCCACGTAGAGAGTTCCAAAATAAGGGATTTTTATCCTCGGTGGGACTGCACAGTTCAATGAGCCTTCCTCTTGAGCCAGCACTAGCAATGTAGCCAGAGTTTTCTGACATTGACGAGCGAGACCATTGACCCTGTTTTCCGCCACTCTCTGCAAGGCTTTCAGGGTTTCGTTGCTTAGCTCCATATCATCCGGCAGAAGATGATCTCCCGAGCCACAGAACGCCGCAACGACCAGTATGACTGCAGCCATAAAACCGACAAAGTCAAGCGACTGACAATCAAAAATGGGGCTGCCGTCAACATAAGACCTCAAAACTTGATAACGCTTCAGCAGTTCTCTTGCCGACTCGATCGCCGTCAACCTGCTGCTCACGTAGAGGTGGGATGTCGGCGACTTGAGGAGATATGGTAGATGCAAGTATATCCTGGTGAGGAAGTATTGTGTCTGACATATCAGCCTTTCTCGTGATTCATTCAGGTCGGTCGAGCAAGCGTCTGCGGTGATTTTGTGGTCCCACCAATGCCTTGGCTTTGTGCTCGCTAGGGTGGTGAGCTCGTCATCGATGTCCACAATCTCAGAGAATTTCGGGCCTTTGCGACTCTGCACCTGGTCAATGACGCGGCCCGTGATCATGCCTAAGCGGATCGCAAAAGGTAGCGTTGCGTAGCCAAGTTGGCTTGTTTCACTTGCGTACGTGACAATGAAGGAGTTGTCCGAGATAGAATAGGGCAGACCGAGCAGGATGGACAAGAACCGATCACCGAGATAGAGTGTCCACCAAGCAGCACTCCGTCTGTGGGAGCTCGAATAGTTGCGGTGCAGATTCTGAGACAAGTCAGCAACGCCCGAAGAAATTGTTCGCAGACCTGGAAGGGAGGACGACCATAATCTGAGCCAGTGAGATGCCGTGACGGTTACACAGAAAGGCACGAAGAGGCTGACCAACATCGAGATACACCTTGGCGTGGAAAACAGCCAGAAGGAGTCCCTCGACGCTCCTCGCAAATCGGTCGCTTGCGAGAACAAGACGATCAACCACCGCAAGATACTCTGAAGCCTCGGCGGCATGATGACGACCGTAGGATGAGACAAGGAAGCCGAGTTCTATCGGGGTACCTATCATGTAGACTCGTTCCAGGAACTGCAGGAGGCTCTCCTTGGGAGCATCTGGCCCAAATGTCTTGATATGCCAGAAATCCCACCATTTGGTGTCTCCAGAGAAACATTGTCTCAGTTCGTTGTAGGGTGGGAGAGCAGCTCTGAGCTGTTCGCAGATGCGACTTTCTCCAGCATCCAATCTTGAAGTAGGAAATATTTGGCATTTCCTATCAGCATGGAGATTGAAATCATCTGCGTCCTGCTCCGATTGGTTCGTGTTCGCGACTTGTTGAGTTGAAAGAAGCTGCTCGGAATTCAGCCAGGCTTCCTCCCCACGCGTCAGATACCAGAAAGAAACTTGTTATTCCGTACTTGAGTAGCCTCCAATGCAGCCACGAGTGGAGCGCGGCGAGCAAGTTCAGACAGGTCATCATCCGAGTCCTGAGTCATCCCTACATCTTCCACCGAAGTAGAAGCAGGGGCTTGAGCAACAACGCTCTGGTCTCCAGAGAGAGATTCAACCAGGCGCTCCAAAGTGGCCACTCTTTCTCTTAGAGACTTCTTCTCGTCGTTTGGATCATCTATACCACGAGGTTTTGGCACAACGCAGGCAAGGCCGCGTGCGAGACATCGGGTACATCGGTTGGTGGAGTCTGCACTGTATATACAACGGATCTTCCTCCGTCTACCTACCAAGAGTTAGACACAAAATCACACCGAACCTCGCGTCATCGAAGAGAAGAGTTCAATGAGACGGGACGAGAGAGTGAGATGGACACAGCTTACACTCAGAACAAGTCCGAGACGCCTCGCGCTGTTTCTTGGTCACCCTTGAAGTGTCGGTTGTTTGAGACATATCGCATAAGAGTCTGGGGGAAACCCTCTGTAGTGCTGGAAGAAGTGCATGACTGGAATGTGGATGAAGAAGAGAAGCATATGAAGAGAGTAACGAGTGAGACGCCAAGCATATGCCAAGGGATCGGAGTTTATGAAGGCAACGGAGTTTAACTCTAGCAACGCGGCCACAGCCTTGGCATCCGGAGCCTCCGCCATCCTCACTCAGCCGTGCGAGGCTGTGGTGTATTTTCACCCCTTTTTCTTATGTGGTCGTCCTTCAAGGGATGGCCTAGATGCAGAGAGATATCCGTTAGCCCCAGTCCTACTTGTCGCATCGCTTCGTCAGTCATATCCAGCCACATACCTTTGGTTCTTCCACGCCTTCAAAGCCTCCCCAGCGCACCTCAAGTTTTGATGGTCTCGTCGGCCCAACATGCTTGTCGGCCAGACCCGACAGAAACGCGTGAGGATAGCCCAGGTCGATCGGAACTGCTTCCTCGATCTCTCGCATGTCGTCTTCGCTGAGCTTGACGCTCAAATTCTCGATATTGGCCTGGAGTTGCTCGATTTTCCGACACCCGATGATTGGGAACACGTACGGCTCCTGCGCAAAGTTAACAATCGCTCGTTATCTCCCGGAAGCCAGGGAATTGTCTGCTATACCTTCAATGTGACGTATCTCAAAGCAATCCCAACAGCGTTTGTGCCCTTCCTCTTCGCGACTCGGTCCAAAACTGCAGTGGCGCGCTCGAAGGCCTCCAGCCCCTTTCCAGAGAGATCATAAGCGGGCCTCCCTCCCTTTTCGGCCTTTTCGGCCTTGGTTTTGAACTTGCCAGCGCCCATTGCTTCCCACACGGTGATGGCCATCCCTTCGGCCTTGCACATGGGGACTATGTCTCGCTCAATATCCCGGGCCACAACGTTCCACAACCCTTCGTAGACCACAAACGGGGTCAAGCAATGCTGGCGGGCATAGTCATTGGCCTTGACGACCAGCCAGGCCGGCCAGTTGGAGATGCCCAAGTACAGGACCTTACCTTGCTTTACAACATCGTCAAGCGATCGCATCAACTCGGGGATATTGGTTACTCCGTCCCAGGCATGCACATAGAGGATGTCGACATAGTCTGTTCTCATTCGCTGAAGGCTCTCTGCGAGTGAGAGGCGCAGACTCTTTCTGTTGGCGCCGCCAAAGTTGGACGTGATGGTTCCTTCTGGAAATTGTTCTGGGAATTTGAAGGGCAGCGCGAACTTGGTGGCGATGATCATCTGGTCTCTGACTCCGCGATCAGCCATCCAATCCCCAAGCCACTCTTCTGACTCCCCGCCCATGTAGAAGTTGGCAGTGTCAATGAAGTTGCCACCGGCATCATGGAAGCGGTCGAGGATTTCATAGCTAGTCTCCTTGTTGCAACCGCCCATAGCCGCACCCCTATACTTCTATTAGCGAGCACACTGCAGGACGGAATACAGCCACTGACCATAATCTTTGGCCGAAGCCCATCGCCCCCAGGCAGACGGGAGAGACGAGTATGGGCGCATTGGGACAAAGGAGACGATGCTGACCGAGTTTGGTGCGCGGCGGTGGAGCAGGTGCAGTAGCCATTATGGGGGCCTTGTATGGGATGTGTAGTTGAGGAGACTGGAAAGGAAATTGTTATGAGAAGTGTGTGATGACTCTCTTTTTTTTCCCTTTCAGACAGAGGATGAGCACCATTTATGCTTCTCATCTTCCATGCCATTGCGCTGAGAAGCGGCCCGACGTCTCTTGCTGTATACACTTGCAGACTTGTCAATGCACCTGCGGAGGATGGTAGGATCAAGGTGCGGCCCGCTTTTGTTCCGCCGCGATGCCAAGGAGTCAAGGGACGGCGAGAAAAGGGGCCATTGGAACTAGACACCTCATCCACCATCATGCACTTTGTCATAGCCAAGAGCTGCTGTTACAAGTGCTATGACTACAATCACATAATGCTTCCCTGCTGGGTGCCCTGCTAGCTCATGATGGTTCCTAAATGGTACCAAGAGCGGAGTCCAATCCTTCCACCAAAGTCCAACTCGGTTCCCTCTCGTCCGCATTCCACCTTAACGCCGCCCGTGTATATGGCTTGAGCAAAATTCTTCCCTGACCCCTGAGAAAACCTTGCGAATAGGTCAGTAGGATCGACTTCGAAAACCGCATCATCTGGGCTAGTACAGTCAGCAAGTGTTGATGTTGGGTTGGCAGGATTCATTCTGGACCGACCTACCCTAGCACTGAACATGAATTGTCCGCCTTTGCTTAGGACGTCATGGCTTGAACAAAGCATCCAGGTCCATGACAGCTTCGAGGTAGGATGGAACTTGAGTAAGTTGTTCATCCCCAGCTTGCGTCTTTTGATCACCGGTAGTGGCACCCGTGGCTCCGGTAGGCGTTGATATCCAAAGAGTTCTGGAAGAATTGCGCTCGACAGCTTCTCCTTCACTACAACCCGGCACAGCACTCCAGGCGCCTATATACTTGAGCGCTTCGTCGTTGGCTTGGGCTATGTCGGCAGACTGACACTGACGTTCTTGCGAAGCTGACTCGAGGCTTGAAGTGCAGATCGAGCTTCCATCATTGCAGACAATCGACGATCTCATTGTCTCGGTCAGGTATGATCCATTCCCAACAGCAGGATGAGAATGCTCGTTCGGTTTGATGCGAGAAGAACCAGTTGACTCGCGCCTGAAATCGGGTTAGCAAGAGACATCCACAACAACTACATCAGACTCACTTGGTGGTTCCATCAGTGGTCGATTTCTGATCGTCCTTCTCCATGATTTGTGCAGATCAGAGCCCTCCCTGTTTTGACCCGTTATGGTTGATGAAGGAAATCATCCTCCCCTTCAGACGAGCTCCAGCTCTTATATTTTCTCGGTTGTCGTTGGTTCAACTGTGCCGTCTCACGGGTCCTTGTGGGCATCGGCCATGGTACACTCCGTTTCATCGTCTTGTTTTCGAGGATCCCTTTTTGCCTACGTGTTACCATGGTCAAAGGTGCGGGGACCAATCCAGATCGATCAAGTGTCAAGTCTGTTGGCATCTCCCGTCCGCCACTGATCAGAGAACCACAAGCCTCAGACCTGAGAACGAAGAACATGAAGTGATCGGACCAGTCAGCCTTGTTGTCTCCTTTTGAGGCTTGAGATTCTACAATTCGTCTCGACATTGGCTCTTCATCTTTTGTCGACCCCCTTTCTCTCAGGCACCGCCAGGAGGGCCAGAGGACGTTTACGTCTGCATGATGGCGGTCTCAAGGCGGTAAATGGAGACTCGAGATTTTGAATCGGTGGAATGGTCCATCCGAAGGCAACGGGCACTAAAATCCTTACTGCATGCACATACACAGCCTCGGTCAAAAAGGGTGGTTTAATAGCTACGGGGGTTGTTTCAAGGAACAATGCAGTCTTTAGAAAACTCTCCGTGGTGATGTGCCCCTCTATTGGTCATCGCACTTTTGCTCCTCCCTCCGTTTCGCTGAGGCGAATGCGCTTGGGGCCGCATGGTTGGTGTGGTGAGCGGCCATGGCCCATGCGATTGGTCTTCACTCCTTTGCATTGGCATCTCCCGGCTTTGTGGCCTCCCTGCCTCCTTCCACCGTGTGACACAAGACACCGCTGTCCATGGTTGCCTTTCCAGCAGGGTTCGATTTAGCCACGACAGTGGCTAGTCGCGTCAAATCAGTGCCAGCAGAAGACCAAGAAGTCAAGGGCTCGGTCGTGGTCGTGGTCGGGAAACTGTTGTTAGCAATTTTGCGTCTTGCGGCTGGCACAGATGTCCTCTCAAGCCTACGAGCACACATACCTGGGAGTTTTTATTTAAGTATGGCTCCTCAACACGCCTTGAAAAAAGGAAACTATTGTCCTTAATCATCTCTTTCCATCCCCCCACCACCATACCTTCTTACTTTGACAAACAGTCATGGACCAGAACTTCAGCCTGCAGTTTTCCGACTATCGATCTGATCTGCCTCTTGCAGAGAAGTGGAATCGGCTGAAGCCCGCAATCGCCCGCCTCTACGTGGAGGAAAACCGGAAGGCTGAGGAGGTGCAGGAAATCATTCGCCGCCAGTGCGGCTTCGATCTTGGGTAAGCCCCCCTCAATGCCCATGGACTTCTGACTCTCTTGACCCGGAAAAACGGCCAACGGTTGTCTGTTGCAGGATCCATCAACTCAAATACCAGATCAGAAAATGGAAGCTGAAGAAGAACATCCCGACCCCGACCAAGACCAAGATGTTCGAGATGAAGGAGTCAAGAGCCTCCAGAGGAAAAGAAACAGTCTTCGAGTACCATGGGAAGGCGGTCGATAACAAAAAGCTCGCTAGACTGGCCAAAAATATGGTTCACAAGACCCCAGGAGGCAGGAAGGAGATGACAAAGCTCGATATCGCGCCTGGAATGTAAGGCTCCCCTTCTCGTCGCTCGGAGAGTCACTTCCTGACAAGGTTCCAGCTTCATCATGTGGAACATGCCTTATGGGGCACTGCGATACTCTCAAGCAGGCCCGATCAACCACATCTCGCCCAACGTTGTAGCATCTACGCCTGCTGGAAACAGCGACATCGTGGCAAGAACCCCAGGGTCGTACGGAGCCCAGAGTCCAGCCACCGACTCTCCATCCGGGCTTTCTCGGGCCCTGAGGACGAAAACAGCCCTGGAGAGGGCATACTTGTTCGTGGAAGGGAAGCACAATGAGCTCCTCAGGTCAATGGAAAAGTCTGAGCGAATGTGAGTGGCTGCTGCTCAAGCCTTCATTCTCACCTGCGATTTGCTGACATGACCAGGACCATGTCTACATGGCTGTATCATTTCTGGCTCTTTGCATACAAGACGGCCAGATACTGGGGAAGAGGCCCTCGCAACTGGACCGCAGATCTTCTCGAGCTTGACAAGTACGTGGAAAAGCTCTCCATCTCTACGGTTGGAACGCCGGATGGCCCTAGGGCAAGCGCAGATGCCGACCAACGCCATGTCCCTGCAAGCCAATGGCTCTCAGATGGTATAACCCCAAGCATCCTCTGTAACTGGGGGGTCCATGTTCCCGGAATGAGCTATGAGCGCGCTCCGCACGACGACTCTGACGACGACGAGGACGACGAGAACGACGAGTGGAAAGGCTGGCCACAGGCGTGGAAGCGCGACAGCTTCGTCAAGAAACTCCACACCGCCCTGTCACAAAATCTTTTCAGCAATATCGATGCCGACAACCTTCCGATCGCGCTCTCTCGCCTCTTGACAAACTCCAGTGGTACTAGAGATCAGTTTCTTGAGGAAGGTCTGGCTTTCAGCATCATGGGCCGCAACGTCGACCTCATGTTCTCGCTGGCGAGGGAGATCAAGCGCCGTGAAGTTGATGTTGAGGGAATATTCCCTTTCCATCTGGCCACCACTTATCTGTGTGGGTCGAACCCGTGTTGCAATGCTTTTGGACGACTGCTCTATCACCCTGGCAGGTATCCCATCAGGGCCATGTACGTCAACGATCGCGGCCATACAGTTCTGGACAATCTCATGATTGTCATTGTCAAGGCGCACACAAGCTGCGTTCCTGGCGACGTCGATGAGAAGATGAAGTCACAGAGACGTTTCGCGGGGGAAGAAGTCGACATATGTGGAAGATGGGATGCTGATTCCAAGGAGATCAGAGCTCTTGTGGCCAGGGGTTTGTCGAGGATTCCCTTTGACTGGAAGCACAAGTTCTGTCACACCTCGACCCAAGTCGTGTGCCACTGCATCAGCCTTATGTTTGGTGCTCCCTGGAAGCCTGACATCGACCGTCCAAGTGGCTTGTTCAAGAAACAGTGTCAGCACTGCACACTACGCTTCACACTGCTGCCACTCCACACCTTGGTGATGGTTGCATTCCTGCTGGCCGAACGAGGCTGCGAGGAGGAGGACCTATTCGGCATGATTGCGTGCTTGGTTTGCCTGCTCTCGAGAGGCGCGAACCCTCTGCGAAGTTCGAGGCTGTCAGCGCCGGTATTGTATGGCACGGATCAAGATGTCTGTTGCACTCACAAGACACTGACGCCTTTGCAGCTTGTGAAACACTTGCCTCAGCAGTGTTTGCAAAGATGGACTCCTGCTATCCGTACTGGCTGGATCATTCTTAGCCATGTGCTCAGACTTTCGGAGAGAGCCTGGCGCCCAAGTACAGCTCAAGCCACGACGAGCCCAACCTTTGACTTCAGTCGGTTTATTAGCTATCCTGACGATGCGCACGACCGCTATGCAGGCGATTCGATGGATGTCGACCCTGCTGGAAATGCGATGGATATCGACCATGACACAGTCAGTGATGATGTTGTCGATGAAGACATCCACCACTGTCACGAGTGTGGCAGCACCAACCACTTTCACGGCAGCCACCAGCTTCGTGACCTCTGGGCAGCCATACAAGCAGAGCTACTCACATATAGACGTTTGCGGGATGGGCACAGATGGGTTTCGCCAAACTTCAACATGGATGAAGTGCTTCGGAGTCTCGAGAGAGGTCGCCCGGTCCAGGTCGGTCTGATTGAACGCAAAATGCTCCGCGACTACTGTGACTGCGGCAATTTCCTTGCTTCCAAAGACCATGACTGCCCGTGTGTCGACATGGTTTGTGCCGAATATTTTTCGAACCTGGAAGAATGGGACCGCACGACGTTCTTGTGGTGTCCGGAGAAGCGGTGGCATCAGGCGGAGGCCTCAGACAAAGCGGACAGCGACTATAGCGACCCAGACTACCCTGACGAGGAAGAGAGTGACGATGAGGATTTCTGAAGTGTCGTGGTTGGTCATGGTGGTGTTTACGAGCTTGGAGTCTTTCTTTGTTCTGGCAGATATTTGCTATCAGAAGGAGGAGTTATGGTAATCATGGCATGTCTGGGGACCAGGGAATAATCAACGATAAACCAAATAGGCATTTCTTCCACGTTTAGGACCTTGTCGTCGTGGCTGGTCCTGACGGTATTTCTTTCGTCTCTAACTTGGGCAGGCGAAACAAGGCCGTCTGTTCCACTTGTCTGGAAGGGTGATTTGTGTGTAGGCGTTCCAGAGCCTCCTCACGTGATCTGAACTATCTGTCTCTCAGTTCGTTTCCGTGTTTGCTACTCGTACTCGGTACATTTACTTGGGCTGGTGGCGCTCAAAAAGGGGCCGGATTGGGACGCGGCCAATTTCCACCGGTTTTACTAGAACAAACTTACCATCATTTTTTTCCCTCACTCTCTCGACTCGACTCTTGCGCAACCTTTCACTGTCCGAGGACGCGTTTACCTCTCGATCATGCCGGTCCAATACCACAGCTCGAGATGTATGTTTCGCCTCAATTCCTATCTATTGAAGACCAGGCTGAATCTCAGAGTGCCTTGACGACCCCAACACCAACCCTAAGCCACATTCCTACACGCACCAGTATCGGCATGTCTCAATACCCTGGGCCCAAGAGGTGGAGACCGTCCAATCCAGAACCGTGGCGTAGCTGACAATTCCCAAAAGCCATGATACGCCCGTCTAGACCCCCTCTAGAGAGCCTTGTATGGTCCAGCAGAGGATGCGAGTCCCAGCCCGGACCGCCTCTGCCGTTATTGTTGCCCCTCAAGCAAGCCTCCCGCAACGACATGTGTGCCCATGGCCGCCTTGACATCTAATAGTCGACCGGCAGAGTTTTCTACTCCCTGATATTGCAACGTCCACGCCGCACTGGGCTGGCGTTGGGAGAGTGCGCGGTGGGCACGCGAGCCATGGAGACGCAGGTACCGAGAACATATCTTCAGCCAGCTGAACGGGGAGTATAAGATCCAGAGAGACCCGCCAGCAAACGGCCAACGCTCTCTCCTCGTGGCCTCGCTTCCTAGCGTTCAGTTCCTCTATCCACCTCGCAGACGATGGATCAAGCGGCAAATCTCACCAGCGGCACCGGAGCGACTCTCGCCGCCGTCCTTCAACATTGGCATCACAAGGCAGTACCTCGAAAAGCCGGAGTTGAACCTCTACCAGACGAGCCGAAAAGGGCATACGCAGGCACAAAGGTCGACATCACCGAGTTGCAGCCCTGTACTCCGAGAACACCCAACAAGACCTTCTCGGAACCGCCCCTGCGAGAGTGGCCTCAGGAACCCGTCCCCATCACCAATGAACCAGTCGTCGAGCGATGTCTGGACGCCGTCGACGTGATCTTGTGTCTCCTGCCCTGCGTCCTCATCGTCAAAGCCGGGCTCTGCGTCCTGGCTTCTGAAATTGACAAGACCCACGTGGGTGCCTCGATCGACAAGACCAGTCAACTGACCCTCCGCCTCATCGAGTTCAACAGCCAACTCACCACCATTTTCACCATCATCTTCATCGTCATTGTCTCCACGACCGTGCGGCGGTATGCGCTGTGGAAGGCGGAAAAGGGGGCTACCCTCGGGGAGATTGAACAACTGCACGCATCCATCAGCTTAACGGCGACCCTCAAGGCAATCTGGTCCCTGCGGCGGTTCACACTCACGGGCCTGAGCCTGGTCTTTCTCTGGTCCTGGTACTACGTGGGATCTCAGGCGGCGTCACGGGAGTACTCGTACCGGGACTCGGCCAGCTTTGGGACTCAATCGGTCGCATTTCTCAGTTCGAACGCGGTGTCTCCGTTCCAAGGAGACCAGATCGACATCGACAAGGTCTCGCCTGTCAAACTGACCGACATGACGGCGCGGTACCATTTGTACAGTTCGTTCACGGCGGGCACGCAGCAGACCAATGTGCAAGGCGTCCGAGAGGTACAGGGCGCCGACATCTATGGCGCCACTCTGACACCGTGGTACGGCCATCCGCGCGATAGTTCCGCACTCGAACTCGATCGGCATGGCTGGTTGGAGATCCCGCACATGTCTGATCAGCCCGTCATGTCGTCGATCGGCACATCACTGTACTGGCTGAACCGGACGGCCGGGGTGAACGCCTGGACACCGCAGAAAATGGTCGGGTCTTTCGTCTACCAGGTGTCCAACTTCCAAGCCAACTGCACGGCGCCGTTCCTGTCCACGAAGGCGAAGCCCAAGGGCTCGCTGCCCGCCATGTCGACGACGATGAACATGACGACGATGTCGTCGGATGCGAGCCAGCCCCGCGAACTGTACTTCTGGAACTTTGTCAACGACACGCACAGCCTGACCTCGACGTGCGAGATGACCAACGTGACTGTCCAGATCGAGGCCATCTGCACGGCCGCGACCTGCAAGCCCACGCGGATGAAACACATCAGCACGTCTCCGCGCACCTTACTGGACTCTGACGTCTTCGCGACGCCTTTTTTCAACTCCATGCTCCTGGCGTGCGGCTTGCCGCAACACGAGGGCGACTACTCGACGTTCGACAACGACAACGGCCTCGTCGATCTCAAGAACGACCTCGCGCAACAGACGCTCAACGATCCCTCACAACTCGAACGAGCCAGCGCGGACGCACGATTCCCCCTGTCCATGGCCATCACGCGGTACATGAATACGTACTTCACGTCGTCGCAGATGCTGCGATACGAGCACGGCTTCCAGAACGACCTGGCGGTGAACGGGTCCACTGCGCTGACCCAGCACGGCTCGGACTTCAGCTTCCTGACCATGGACGGCGCCATCTACAACCCGCAACACGCCCTGTCCTGGCCGTGGCTGGCCATGGACATCATCTCCAACATGGTCCTCCTCGCCACGGCCATGGGCGCGCTGTGGCTACGGAAGCACACACTGGCGCCGGACATCTTTGGGTTCGTGAGCAGCTTGACCCGAGACAACCCGCACCTGAACCTGCCGGAGGGAGGGAGCACGCTGTCGGGGATCGAGCGCAGCAGGAGGATGAAGATGGTCAAGGTCAAGATCGCGGATGTGGGAGAAGACTCGAGCGTCGGGAGAGTGGGTTTGACACAGGTGGATGGGTTCGAGGAGGCGAAGGACTTGGAAAAGGGGAGGACTTATTATTGATGAGTTACCAGTATTGACTGACATTGGCGGTGGGTTCATGAGGAAATATGCCTAGGTAATTAATGACACGGCCGTTTTGTTTTTGATTTCCACCATACATCTATCATACCTCCCCCTCTCTAACCCCGTTTCATTCCCACCTCGTACCCACCAAGTGAGTGGTCCACCAGAACTCACCTGCTCATCCTTCCCCTCCTCCATCTCCCAATCCCTCCAGACTATCGAATCGTAAAGCCGCCATCGACCCTGAGATCCGCGCCATTGATCATGCCACTGTCGTCTCCACAGAGAAACTCGATTGCGCTGGCGACCTCGTCCGGGACGGCAAACCTGCCCGTGGGGATCTCGGCGAGATGCTTCGCCCTCTTGTCTTCATCCGCCCAGGCTTTCGCGGCCAGGGGCGTCCACGTCACGGTGGGCGAGACCGTGTTGGCCGTGATGCCCTTGGGACCCCATTCCGAGGCCATGCAGCGGGTGAGGCCGAGCAAGCCGGCCTTGGAGGCGCAGTAGGCGCCGTGGCCGTCGAGGGCGACGTGGGCGGCCTGGGACGCGATGCTGACGATGCGGCCACCGGGCACTGGGGGATTCTCACCGTTCGACAGTGTGGCGGCGGCTCTGGATCGGTAGAGGTGGAAGAAGGCGGTGCTGCAGTTGAACGGGCCCAGCAGGTTCGGGAGGATGTTGCGCATGGCCTCCTCGGCCGACGTGTCCTCGAGAGGCTGCACCGAGACATAACCCGCCGCGTTGAGCAGGATGCTGGGAAAGGCCTTGTAGACGGAAGCGTCGGCCAGTTTGCCGTGCCGGCCCAGAACCTCCCTGACCGAGTCCTCGGAGGTGATGTCGCATTCAAACGTCCACACTCTGTCCGGCTTTTCAGACCCAAACACCCGTTTCACCGTGTCGGCCACACGATCCCGTTCAAAGGGAGCGTACAGTAAAGCCACATCTGCTCCCCGCGCATGGAGACGGTGGGCAATCGAAGAGCCGAGTCCGCCTGTGGGCATGTTGAGCAATGTCACTCACATCCATTTTGGGGGGAAAGCACGGAAACACTCACCGATGCCGCCGGCTATAATTGCGAGACGCCCCTCCAATGTAGTAGCCATGGTGGGAAGAGGTGGTAGCTACATCAAGAGCTGGTCAGACTCCAGGACGAATATCAGCAGCTCTTGTAATATATCGATGCCTGCCTGGTATTTTGACCCCGCACATGCTCACAGGTTACGACAGGTTCGACTTGAATACAGCCTGATATCGGATCGGCTGGTGTATCGCTTTTCCATCCGTCCATCATTACCTCGCGCTAGGTACCTCGCGCTAGGTACAACCCTCGGGTTTTCTATACTGGTAACCCGCTGTCCCCTCCCGCCCATATACTAGGTCGCAGGCTCTCTACCTTGTATTGACTTCACCATGTTACCCAACAATACGAGAGAATATTGATTATATGCTAATAGACACCCACAGCTTCAGGGTTGATCTTATGTCATTAAATCCGGCACCAAAATATATACCTAATAGTTGCAGCTTCAAACTCTTTGCGCTCGGGGAACATGACGCTTCCTCCGTCCCTTAGACAAACTGCTCGCTCCTATAACAGCCTGCTATGTAACTTCGCAGCTAGCCGCAAACCAAAAAAATATTGTCACGGTTGACTCCCACCATTGCTACCCCTTCGACCCCGAAATCTCTCGCTGAAAGTGGTATGAGTTTTTCAGCTCGGCGATACGGCGTTTCGTCCGTGTCGGTCGAATTCCCACATCTTTCTGTGGACCACGATGTCCTTAAGCTGGGTCGGATTTCGCAACCAGCAGGTGTTCAGGGCTTGACTTCTTTCACCGATCCTGCAAGAGGATGTCTGGCGCAGAGCACGCACAGTTGGCTCCTACAATAGTCCAATATGCACGTCGCGATCCCACGAGTGGTGGCTGGGGCAGAAAAGATTCAAGATCAATCGCTGGTTGACCTAAATCAAAAGCCGAATGGGTTTTGTGCAGCTATGCTTTCGTCAGTATTCCGTGTATCAAGGGCAGCTTGTGAAACGTAAACTTACTCGCATTGGCCAGGTTTGCTCTTCGTCCCGTTGGCTGAGGAGTCAACTTCTTAGCCTCAGTAACACCAAACTTCACAGGAGGAGCCGGGCCGGTCTTTTGCGCTTGCAAGGGCGCAATGGTCGGGAGCTGAGGAAGAGGTGGCAGCGGTGGCACAGGTGGTGTCTGGAAGCCCCCGAAGCCATTCTGCTGCGGGACTTGCCCGAACCCAGTGGCTTGTGGTTGTAGTGGCTGCTGGAAGGCAGTTTGTTGGGGTTGAAGTGGTGCCGCTTGCGGGAACCCTGCCTGGGGTTGAATACCTGGACCAAAACCATTGAGCTGAGGTTGTGGCGCAGGGGATACAAACCCGGTCCTTTGCGGTTGAAGAGCTGGTGGAAGAACCGTGTTGATGCCCCCCGGTGCAGGGCTTTGCTGAAACGGTAATCCTGTCGGTTGGGGTTGAAAGGATGGTCGTGGATCTGCAAAAGGACTTCCAGCTGCATTCCCATTGATATAGGGCTGCTGTTGGAACTGAGCAAATTGCTGCGGCTGGAATCCTGTAGGTTGCGGAGCCAGTCCGAATTGTCCAATACCTGGGGTTGGTTGAATGAAGCCGGTAGCCTGGGGTTGCAGCTGCAACTGTTGGAATTGCTGCTGAACGTGTTGCTGTGAAAGATCGTTCAAACTTTGGCCAGGTGGAGCTTGCAGGGCTGATGTTCGTGGGATCCCGGTGAGCTGCGGTTGCAACGGCTGAAGGCCAAATTGGTTTTGCTGGGGATTTTGAGGAGCGGAGGTTGGACGAGGGGGAGGTGGAAGCAATCCGGCACCGGCAAAGCTCTGCTGTGGTGCTACAGGTCGCTGTCGAGGGATGTTCAATTGTTGTGGCGTTTGTAACGCGGTCACTTGGGGTTGCAGTTGTGCAGGTTGTTGATTCAACTGCGAGAAGAAAGCAGGATTGGCACCGGTTTGTTGAGCTTGCTGTACAGGAGGAGATAAGACTGGAGTCGGGACAGTGGGTGGTTGTGGTGGTGGTGGTGGCGGTGGCGGCTGCTGCTGCACAGGTGCAGGAGTAGGCTGGAGAGGAGCGGGCAGCGGCCCGTCGAGCAGAGAGGACAAGTCCTTTGTTGCCCCCGTAGGAGGCTTCGGCGCTGGTGATGGTGTGGCAGCGGCTGTGGCAGGTTGTGAAGCGGCCGCAGGCTGGCTCGGTGTCTTGACCGTCCAAGCATCATCATCGAAACCGCTCTTGACGGGCTCCCTCGGCGGCGCCTGTGTAAGAGGCGTCGCTCTTGCGTCCGGAGGTGGCCTCTTTTCTTCCTCCTTCGACGCAAAGGCGTCTGCATCGACAACATCGCTGGTCGAACGTGTCGCCTCCGGCCTGCCTCTGCGTGTATTGTTATGTAGAGTTCCACCTGGTCCCGAGAAGAGACCTCCTTGCGCTGATTCTCCGTTGGTGCCATTGGTCATCGGAGCACGCGTCCGTGCAAACTTTTGGTCCAAAAACTTCATGACCTTGAGTATATCGCCCTCCTTGAAACCTAAGGTCCGCAGAGTTTCGGGTGTAATGTCGGGAAGCACACTTTCATCCATCGAGTCTCGAATCATGGCTTGCGCATATCTTTCGCATTGATGAGGGCCAACGCCAGCGGTGAGGAAGAAATCAAACCAGTCGTACTCGGGGGCTTTCGGCTGCTCTGTTGTGCGGGCCCCAATGCTGGCGCCGGTCCGAGAGGTGGGTTGTTCTTGATTTCGATGCCTCATCTTAATCAAATCAGCCACAGGAATGTGCTCTTCGATCGGTTCGTGTATTACCTGCTCAACATATGCAAGGTCTTCAGGCGACATCTTCGTTACAGGAACAGCAATCTTGACACCATTGACCTTGTGCAAATGAATCTTGCCATCTGTCACTCTCAAGAACTCCGCTTCAACTTTGAATGTCCCCGAATGGTCCGTCCATGTTCTGACTTTCTCGGGATCTGGCTTCGACCGACTCTTCTTCCGTTCGTCCTTCTCTCTTCGGTCTCGTCGTCGGGGTGGTTCATCGGCGAGACTGCTGCCGCGCTGGGGAATGTCACTGCGAGACCTTGCGAGCTCTGCTTCTTGACGGGCTCTGTCAGCTCTGGCTGCCTCTTTTGCCAGCCGTTCTTCTTCAAGTCGATTCTGATCAACCACGGACAAACCAGCATTTGCGCCAGAACGCGAAGGCGGCTCTATCGTCACAAACCCAGTAATCTCAATGTAGCTGCTGGGGACGACACCTTCTTTGCCGTTTTTCAGGCGTCTGACGTTCCACCACTCTTCGGATTTAGCGTCGTCCAGGATGATAACCTCATCCCCCACACCAACTGTGACTTCATCATCACCCTGAGCCGGGAAATCGTAGAGAACCTTTCCCTTCTTATGTGTTGCGCCCCCACTAGCAGCAGTCATGACTTCCCGTAAACCTTCGGCCCGTTGAGCGCCTGCAATCTCTCCCAGCGCTGACACGATTTCTTCTGCAGTGTCCTTTGCACCTGCGTGCAGGTCCAGACTTTTGCTCGGCTTGACCAGTTCAATAAAAACGTGTTTGCCCTCGATAGAATAGTGCGTCATCTTATCTGCAGTCCATTCCTGTGATGGCCCATCTCTTGACTTTTCCGGAGCGAGCATGATCGTACCCGTTGCGATATTTATCCCCAAAGTTGTTGGCATCTTCCTCCGCCTGCCCATGGCAGAGACCATTTCACTGATGTTGTACAGGTGAAAGCCGCCAGCCGATCGAACGGGAGCCTCCTCGTCCTCCGGCTGTGGAATAGCTCGGTTGTATGGGGGAGAAGGAAGTGGGCCCTGAGATACTTCGTTCGACGTAGGTCGTCGTGGGAGGGCGGGCGCGGGCTCTTCTTCGTCTGAGGCATCTGGAGTGAACTGTTGACGCGGGATTGTAGGAGGCGGAGACGATATTGTTCGAGCTGCTGTTGGGGAAGTCGGAACTCCGCCTCCCAAGACGCGGGCTAAGTTGGCGGCAGGACTGTGCACAGATCTTGCCGGAGAGACCGGGCTTGCAGGCGCTTCTGGCCCAGCTACCACAGGATTCGAGTAGCCTCTTGATCGTACAGAGGGAGATCGCGGAGGGGCCTGGGGAGCAGCAGAGGCCGAGCTTGATATCTCAATGTAGTTTGCTGGCGCAAATCCATAATCATCACCCACGCCGACCAAGGTCCAATCGGGGTCCGAGGTATCATAGACGTTTAATGCAGTGTCCTCAGCAAAAGAGACTTCCTCGTCGGTCTGGCGAGTGTAGTCATAGAGTGCTTTGGCAGTATGGGATGGCTTTGCGTCTTCGACATAGTTGTTTGGTATCAGACCCTCGGGTTCGTCATCATCATCTCCAGCGGCCTTTTTCTTTGCTCTCCACCAGTCATCCTCGCTGCTCTTCTCTAGAATATATAACAATTCCCCCTCTTTAATCTCTAACTCGCCAGAGCTCTGCGGGTGATAGTCGTAGATGGCGGTGCATATTGCAACGAAGCCCATAATGGGGACTGAGGCGGAATCGATAGGCTGGGAGCAGCAACAGTGGTCAGAGGGATTGGGTGGAGGTAAATGCCATCAATGTGAGGTCGGGCGACTCGGAGAGACTGGAAGGGAAATTGAGGTAGCGCAATTTGAGGGTTTCACCTCGACGGCTAAGCGAACAGTAAGATGGCCTGCTAGCGGGCGAGGACGAGTGAGAGTGAGGATGAGGACGATGGTTGACGCGGTTTGAAGCCGAAACGTTGTTGAGAATGTGGCGGTATGCAGTTCTGGAGGTCGTCAACGTACAGCAGATATCACGCTCACAGAAGACAAACAGAGGAACCAGCGGATGATATGGCAGGATCACAAGTTGAAGTTAGTTGGAGTTGCTCGAGATGTGCTCGCAGTTGGAACCGGTTCCAGGAACCTCCCCGGCGCAACTGGATGCCAAGAAGGGGCCTACGAGTTGCATCTCCCGTCGCTATCACCACCACTACCAGGTACTATTCCCATCTGGCCATCCTCCACCTTCACCGGCACAGGGCATCCAGAAATGCTTACATCAACCTGCATGATGAGGGAAGCTCTCCACGTATCACGGCTACCCTTCCTAGAAGTCTTTCGGCCCGGTTTTGCCATGCACTTCTCATGCCACGTCAAAAGTTTACAAGTCCATGGTTCCAAAGCTATTAGCTTTCGATTGTTGGTGGACGCTGGCTACATCAGGGCGATATTGGCTCATTTGCATTCGCTTTAACCATCTGCAGCATATTCTTCCTTGCTGCCGGTGTCTTCGTTGTCTTCCGACGGAGTGCTTTCTTCCTGCTCCTCGCCCTCCTCATCTTCGTCTGTAGCTACAACTCCCCTTAATTGTATATGTCCGTTGATGTCGTCCAGTCGCTCAATCTTCCAATCCTTTGAGCCAGCCAACTTCTGTAGCTCCTTGCGGAACGCATCAATATCCTCCTGGCTCAAATCGAGCTTGTCGAGCTCCGCCTTGGACATGCCAGAGATCTGTCCCTTCTTCTGCATGATGACTGTCTCGGCCTTTTCGTCTTTGGTCAGGACAATACGCCCCCTCTCGAGCCTCTTGCCCTCACGGCCGACAAGTTTCATTGCACCCACTTCCACATTACCCAGCATGATCTGTTGTGGCTGCCCTTGGCCGACTTGGCGAGAGCCCTCCTCTTCGTGACGCGCTTCCCATGCTTCCACGTCATCTTCTGAGATGATCTCCCGGCAAGTGATCGGATGTGCTCGACTCTCCTTTGGCGGCTGGAACGCGACATCGTTGCATAGTCGCGGTGTGTAGATGATCATGAGATAAGCGCAGGTGGCAGTCTCCTTGATCCAGCCGATTCGGTCGGTGAGTTGGGGGTTACAATGAAATTGAACCTCGATCTTGCGATTGTTGCCTGTGATATCGCAGGGTGTCCCTCCGTCGAGGCGCTGCACTAGATAGTTGGTCTCGGCCTTTGACTTGACTTCCGTCGAGAGGGCCTTGTCGGAACCAGGCTGTGCTTTTGAATCCGCCTGTTTTGGAGATTCAAACTTGCCTAAGACGTAGCTTGGAGTGGTAGGGTCTTCTTGTGGTGGCCATATCCGCCCATTGGTGCCTGGCGGCAGCGCATGAAATTGGGTTACCTGAGCGTTGTAGCAGAAGGAATATGTCCACCAGCCCGTGGAGTAGTATAGACACTGATTTGAAGCCATGCCCTGTAAAAGCTGTGCTGCCCGTGCAACGGCTTGGTCCAACTCTTTTTTTCGGTCCACCGCCGACGGTTCGGTGGTTGTCCGATTGTCGAAGGTGTCTTTTGCTTCTGGAATGAAGCACAGATGGGGATAACCGTGCAGGAGGAGGCGCTCATAGGAACCCAGTTGGGTCAAGTCCTCTGATATGGGGTCGGCATCCGTCTCCGAGTTTATATTGGCCGATACATCCTTGAGGTGTATCTGCGACGATCTTGAATCGCCGGAGGTGCCTTCGCTCCGCCGTCGGTCTAAAACGCTCGCGGCATCTGTATCAAGTATGTAGGTTTTCGCGAACTCAATGCTATACTGTGGCAGTCGTCAGTGCTGAAGCGTTGCCTGCCCGAAAAGAAGGAGGGGTACCTGGGGAAAGGCAAACAGATCATCATTGACGCTAAAGGTGGTTTCGCTCGCCCAACAGACACGTAGTACGAAAGAAAGCACGAGACATGCCCGAAGGCCAGAAGAACTCCTCATCACGATTCAATCTCTCGATTACATGGTGGACCTTTAGGCAATGGTTCTGGTCCAAGTCGCGAGGAAAACAACACGTCGCAAAAAGTGCTTCGCCGCAGCCCAGCAGTGACATACGCCAAGCGATGGTGCATTCTAGACCACGCCAAACAAGGGTTTCGACATTGTATGTTTTCCTCTGATATAACAGTACACAATCTTTCATCCAACCATTTTAAAGTAACTCTCGTAAACATGGCTGAGGAAGCCTCGTCGACCTTCTCCCTCGCCGGTAAAGGCTTGAAAATTGACACCAAAGAAGACCTCGAAAAACACATCAATGCACTTACATCGTCCCCCTCGGTCACCCACATCGATCTTTCTGGGAATACGTTAGGTGTCTCTGCCTGCGCTGCGCTGGCACCCATTTTGGCCTCAAAATCGACTCTCCAAAGCGCTGATCTACACGATATCTTCACGTCGCGTCTCCTCGACGAGATCCCCCTAGCATTATCCTCTCTTCTTACCGCCTTGCTGGAGTGTCCCAATCTCCACACAATAGATCTAAGTGATAACGCGTTCGGTCTCAAAACAAAAGATCCTCTCGTCGATTTCCTATCCAAACACACCCCGCTAAAGCACCTGGTCCTAAACAACAATGGCATGGGTCCCGAGGCAGGCATTGCCATCGCCGAAGCGCTCATCAAACTTGCGGAGCGGAAAGAGGCGGCCAGGAAAGAGGGGAAGAATGTGCCATACCTGGAAAGTATTGTATGCGGTCGCAATAGGTTAGAGAATGGGAGCATGCCTGCATGGGCAAGAGCGTATCAGGCACACAAAGCCGGAATCAAGAGCGTGAAAATGACACAAAATGGTATCCGACCGGAGGGTATTTCCCACCTAATTTCATCTGGTCTGTCAAAATGCGAAAATCTCGAGGTTTTGGACATGCAGGACAATACCTTCACGCTTAAAGGTGCACAAGCTCTCGCAGAGGCGCTAGGTGGTTGGTCAAATCTCAAAGAGCTGGGTGTCGGCGACGACCTCTTGGGCGCCCGTGGTGCAATCAAAGTTTTCGAGGCTTTCTCTGGAGGCAACAGCGAGAATGTGGAGATCCTCAGATTACAGTACAACGACATCACGCCAGCGGGTGTGAAGTCGCTACTGAGAGCTGCCAAACACGATCTTCCGAAACTACGGCGGGTGGAACTGAACGGGAACAAGTTTGAGGAGGAGGACCCCTCAATTGAGGAGTTGGCTGCGCTGTTGAGCGACAGAAAAGATGAACTGGGTAAGAACGAGGATCCAGAGGACCATTGGGGACTGGACGACCTAGATGAACTAGAAGGAGAGGAGGAGGAAGAAGAAGAAGAGGAGGAAGAGGAGGAAGAGGAGGAAGAGGAAGAGGAAGAGCTGGCAGAGAGAATCGTCAAGGAGGCTGAGGAAGCCGAGGAGGAGAAGGTGGCGGAAGAGAAGGACAAAGAAGTCGATGAATTGGCCAAAGCTTTGGAAAAGACTCATGTATGAACGACAGACAGTGCGGACTCACGGGCGCACGCTTGAGCATGGTTCAAGACATTGAGAATCACATTTTTTGGCAGAACAACATAGCATAGCACAGGAAGATACCCCCAATAGACACGAGTGTCAGTCTTTGAGGAAGATAAGCATTTCCTCCGTACGGGCTGAATCTCCTTGGGATGTCCACTTCTCACTCGCGTGTCGGGTGTATATCCGTGGCGACAAAGTCCGCAAGGTTCGAGGCATTTTGCGTTCGATGAATCAACCCTAGAAAGGGGTACATTGGTTGGCGAGCGAGTGCGTGTTCCTCCCTTGTAGCAAACACGACTTCCTTTTGGACGTCACCCGGCCAGTCACAGAATGTCATATCGATGTCGGGTCGGGGTCGAGGGTATACCCCTCATGCGTAAGGTTGCCCTGGTGGCCGAGTGCCTCAAGCTCAAGCTGACAGAGGCAGAAGTGCTAGACCAGTGTTGAATTCAGCCAACTGAAGTTGTGGCGATCGTCCCACAGCCGCCTATTGAGGCGAAGAGAATCGTTGCATTGCCAGGTTCTGTTGAACATCCCTCGAGGTAGGGCGATTTGTGACGTCCACGTCTCATGAAACGAGAGATCTAGCTGCCATATATCTGCAATAGTCGATCCTCGGCACCATCGAGAATGCTCCAATGATCCAGAACCTCCAGATTCTCTGCCTCCGCCTGGAACATCTTATGAGGTTCTTGACCCGGACCAAATGGATTGGCATTTGCACCTGGATTCATTTGGGCCATCTGCTGCGCCATCTGGCTGGCTGCGTTTTCATTGCCGAGAATGAAGATGAAAACACTTTGGAGGCCGAAAAGGCACAAAAAGTACCACGACAAGCTAGATACCCATCTGACATCCAGGTCTCGGGTCATAACACCAGACTGCAGCATAGATTTGAATCGAATGGTGAGCGGAAAGGGCAGTTTGAGGATGACGAAGCCGGCAAAGAATGCGTTAATCCAGGACATGATCAATGTCTGTGGAATCATCATGGCCATGTTTCCCTTCATCATTCCCATCATACCCTCCATAGCCGCGGGGTCAGACATTGGATTCGCTGCACCTTGATCCTTGGATTCCGGTCCACCTTTCAAAAAGGTGCCTTTGTGGTAGCCATCAACAAGATATTCTTTCCGACGGTTGAATGAAGGTGTTGTCAGCGCGGCAGCAGCGTTATTTCGCAAGTTGACCCCACGAAGAAGCGCTTGTCGTTCGCGGGACTCGAGAAGGCTGTTCGGCGGTTTCGGGGGAGTTTGCAGTAGGACTGAGGCGTAGTGTCGTAGGACTCCGGTCAATATCATCACAATCGTGATGGGCAGCAAGATCCAGTAGCTTTTGAACAAGTTAGTAGGGAACAGATATTGTCGCAGACAATGGCAACTCACAACAGAGCAGGATCACGATGGATCATTTGCTCCGCTCCTTCCACAGCCATCTTGTGTTCGACCGTTAATCTGCGAGTAGTGAGAATATGCACAGACTCGCTTGATATTGGACTGCGGTAGTGGCACAGACGATTGATGAGGAATGTCGTTGAATGGGCGAGATGGGTTCGGGAAACCTGCCAGGCCTGCCTAGTGCTTCAAATAGTGGCCATGTGGAGTCTTTCCGTCCAAAACGTGTCTATCTTGACTTCATGTTTCTACCACCATGTCCTCCAGGAGATAAAATGATGAATATACGGAGACAAAGAAGATTTGGCCGTGGCGCCCTACACATTTTCAAGACGTAATGATAACGCCGTGTATATCGACACAACAACAATGGTTATATCGCAGGGTTAGCCAGACTGACAACGTACTTGCGCGGTCAGGGTGGGGATGCAGTATTCCATAACAGCAATTCTCATTATGTCTCTCGTCGAGACGGCGCCTTCTCTGGCCGCGAAGCGGGCTTATCATTCGGATGACACCGAATGCCACTATCAAAGCTAACCCTCCCTATCCTCCAGTTGTGTGCGGCGTCTTGATCATATCCCAACCAACCTCCTTCTCAGCCTCGTCCTCGTCCTCAGCCCTCAGCCTTGTCAACTAGCTCCCATTCCCCCAGCTCACAGTCTGCGCACACCTTCGTCACGGCCAGCTCCTTGTACTTCGAGACCTTGATCATGGTAGGACACGTGGGCTTTTCTACCCAGCTCACTGCCCATAGCCCCTTGCATTTCCGAAAGTTGTCGCAGATGTACAGAATGATGCCTTTCAATTTGTAGCCATCATCACTTTGCTTCTCGTTGATTGATGAAAGAATGGCAGCCGCATCGGCGGGAGCTTCGTCAACACTTTGGACGTTGCTGCGGAAGGTGAGAACGCCGCGACCGTTGGGAGATGGGTTTGGTGCGCGAGGGAAGACTTTGGTGGTCATCATGCTGTCCCGTTTGACCCCAGGAACTGCGATCTGTGTGGATGCGAAGGCTCTCGATCTGGGCGCAGAGGACTCTTTGTCGACACCAGCTAGATTGCTTGTCGTTGCTTGTGGCAGAAGGGTTATCTGTGGTTTGAGGTAGTAGAGCGGCGTGCTTGCTTGTTTGTTTGCTTGATCAGACAAGATTCTGGGTATCAAAATGAATTTGAAAATGAAACAAGAGACGGGGGATTGTGTGCAGAAAAATCGAGTCGTGAACAGTGAAGATGAGGCAGAAAAGCAGCGTGATATCCTTGACTTATCACATTGTGTGTTATTCGTTTGGCAGACGTTGGCAGCTGATGCACAAAGCTGCAGTTTGATGCATCATCGGGTTCCATATTCAATAAGCCTCGCTACCCAACCTTGTGCGAGGAGGGCGACAAGAGACCTTCAGGTAGGCCCTGAATCTCTCATGGTCGGGCAAGCTCAGTATCCATGTGTGCGTCTCCGTGTTCGATCGCAGCAGAGCCGAAGTGATTGATAATACTCCATTCCTCATTCGCCTCACTTTCCTCGATCACATCCCACGATAGGTTCTTTGCCAAAGTTTGGTCTTCTTCCTCAGCAGGTGCCCCTAGAGGAATGTCCTCGAATCCGGCAGTGGACATCATCCTACTTGTGTCTTCCCTGGTTTCAGTCCCTCGCTTCTCAGATTTGTCACACTGTGTTTCCGCTTGCTGTTTCTCCCTCTGATGTCCCTCTTCTTCCACGCTACTCTGTCTGTTGAACGCCTCTCTACACACACGACATAGTCGCGGGATGGCTATCTTCTTGTATGAATCCAGGGTCATGGACCTCCAGACTCTCTTGCGTGGTTGTGGACTCCATTGCATCGCCCAGAGAAAGTCACAATCCTCGTAGTAGCAATAATAGTATTCGATGCCGTCAGCTGGTTGGCCAGTGAGCCTGGATGGCGGTTTTGTAACCATGGCGACGTACAGTGGCGACTGCTCGATCGTGAGAGAACCATCCGCCATGTGACCAGCCAGCATTTTTTGGTCGGCTTGAACTGAAAGAGAACGGTTTGGTGCCATGATATCAAGGTATGGTAGTGTAGAGTCGGCCAGTATCTGGATGCTAAGGGATGTTTTTGAGGGATGGTTTCCTAGCGCTCCAAGTTTCCAGTCGATCGTGATTTTTGATGAAGCCCAACTTGGGTAGGAGTTAAGCCGGTAGCATGGGAAGGTATCGCAACCAACAGATGGGCTATGGTGGACTCTGCGGTGGCTTCTGTGGTGGGATTTATGAACGCGTGCTGTAGAGGAGTCTTGCGCCGCCGAGTTTGATCTGCCTAATCATCAGGAGTGTGAGGACATCAGCGTGTGGTGCAGTGAAATAAGAGCGCCCAGGGTTCTGAGGATCCGTTTGGGTTCCGTCAAAAAAATGGTTCCGGAATTTTCTCTCAAAGTTCATAAATGTTGTCTCGACGATGGTAACTGGATACCGTTGATTAAGGATCCATTCTGCCCGACCAAAACGTCCCTGTAAGCTTTTGATCATGAAGCCTCAAACCCATGAAAGTGCAAACAGGTCCCTGGAGCAAACGCTTCAACACCAAAACAAACATAACGAAGCCATTCGACGACCAAAAGCCCAGCCCCTGCATCCCATGTTTGGCTCCTGCTGTCCGTTCCTCTCGCTCTCAGTTGAAAGCAGTTCTTTGGAGAAACGAATGCGACGAGTGCCATGAGATTCAGAACGTCCGCAATGCCGTCTCAGGGGCTTATGCATGTCGGACTGTTACAATTTGCTCCACAAGTTTGAATAACAGTCTCCTTATGGAACACTCCACGCCCGTCGCCCCGATGCCAACCCGAATTCGTATTCGATGTTTTGTCTCTTCTTCATGGAAGCCAACAAAGAGTGTGAAGGTCAAGGTTTGAATAGCCTGTGTGCTACAAACGTGAAGAGCGGTGACCAAAACAGATAGAGAAGAGCCTTTTATGCCGACAAGTGTGATATGCGATATTGTGGAATCCTTATTTGTAGTGACTGTGACTTGCTCTCGTGTGGTCACTCTGATGAACATTGGCACATGCTTATGAAGTGATGGCAGCTGTTTCAGGGGTGTTGTGTTGTCACTGATGTCTCTGCAGGATATCACCAACGACTTATTCACCAAGGCCCTGGGACAATCGCGTGGAGTTAGCAACGTCCCGAGCAGGTGTGCGGAGTGACAAGTATATCACTCAGCCTTTCGAGAGCGAATATTACCGAACATAGCCGTTGAGGTTTGTGTCACTCCAGCCAGTTGTGACAACCTCCGAGCAACGCCATGTTGACACAGAGCAAACAGACTCTCTGCCGAAGTGTACAAATATTTCGTCCCCTCAAGCTCACTGTTTTCTTCATGACTCGTCACCCAACATAAATACAACACATCTCTGTTGTCACCGACAAAGCAACAACCGGGAGCTCCAGCAAGAACCAAACATCACTTCCCAACAAGAAAGCGATTGCTCTGAATCAAAATGGCAGTTATCGATCTCGGCATCATCATGGACCACGGACGCGGCGGCTGTGACACCACTGGAGTCCCACCATCCTCGGGATCAGGATCAGGTTCCACTAAATGAGTCGGCACCCAGATTATTATGGTCCCGAACAGTGAAATCCATGGTAGCAAGGAATCCTCGACGATACAGCAAGGCAAACGAGGAAATGGCACGTCCGTTGTGCCCAAGTTGCCAACGAATACCCCCGGTGTCGACATGAGCTTCGAACAACATAACGACTTCGAGTGGTGATAATGTGTTGCTGGGTTGAGTTGCGCGTGGAAAATATGGATCTGGGCTGTGTTTGCTCGCGGAGACCAACGAGTAACAGATTCTTGTGAGCCAGGGCAGCTCCTCCAGAGGATTCATCCATAGAGAACCAAAGATGGGCCTGAAAGCCATGGGGGTTGTCCAGCACTTCACAAGCACAATCAAGAAGTGTATTCAAAACTCAGCTCCTTAAATTCATCCTGGAAGTGCTTCACCTAGAGCGGTATTTTGGCTGAGTGCCACGTAGGTACTAGCAGATTTGGATCAGGCGAGAATTTCCGTTACAAACGATAGCTTCTGCTCAGTCATCTGGTGTCATCGTTTCGCAGCGCCCGGAACCCATACCCCAGGGGCCCAGTTTGCTCCGGGATTTGAGGCTGTAGCCCCTGGACTTTTGCGCTGGTCCACGCTGTCCTCGATACTATTGCTCATCTTTCCCGATTGCTGTGACTGGTTGGGATGGTGTTCTGCTTGAGCTCGAGGATCACCAGACAACAGGGGAGTGTCGACCACTGGCTTCGGCTCAATGTACCTTGCCTTTGCAGCCCATCTTTCATCAGCAAGCCGGGCATTGATCTTCAGTTGAGCCTGTCTCTGCACATCGGCGGCTTGTTCTTGCATGGTTGGGGGATCGTTTCGGGTTTGGCGCAGCCATTGATGCCATTGAGGTGAGATTTGCACATCCGAAAGGGAGGACAGAGTGGCTCGACGTCGACCCTGCACAATACGTCGCCATCTATTGTGGTTGAGAGCATCTTTAAATTCCCAAAAGGTGTTGCCGTAGAGGTCTTGTCCTGTCGTAATGTCAGTCTGTTTCCACTGCTTAGGACCTTCGGCTCTTTCAATTGCGCATACCAACTAGGAATTTCTTCCTCCATGGAAAGCGAAGCATTTTCCATCGCAGCCAAAGATCTCTAAATCCTCCCATTGTGATGACAGTGAGTCGATAGAGGGCGGAAAGTGTACCTCGGGTTGAAATAAAGAAAAGGGCCCGACACATTGAACGGGCGGCTGCATATTTTGTGGCATAATTATTTCTTAGGATCGACGTCAACGTGCAGCCAGGCGCCCATAGGCCGTTGTTCTTCGTCTTCATACTCCACAGGATCTACTCAGTACATAACCCACCTCTAATCGCCCTCTGCCTGCGCGGCCACTGTCGGGTCTCTCGGGCCTAGCCATTCTCACTTGGATACACTACAGTCTATTCAACAGATTCATTGATCTCGAGTTCAGGCGCAAACTAGGAACATTGCCAACGCCTACAACAATGGCGTCGGTCACCAGTCTCGATCAAGACATGCGCAAATTGCGCCTAGAGCGATATACCCCCGGTGCCGCAAACGAGGTCAGAAACTGGATTGAAAGCACTCTCGGCGAGAGACTGGCTACAGGGGATTTGATGGACGCTCTGCGCGATGGAGTGGCTCTTTGCAAGTATGTGATATCCGTTGACCATGCGGCTGCCATGCTGACCTGAAACCTCAGACTGGTCAATCTAGCCGTGTCCCCAGGCATCAAGTATAAACAGTCGAGTATGCCCTTCGTGCAGATGGAGAATATCTCTCATTTCCTCCGGGCTTGCGAGCTTCCGCCGTTGAGCCTCCCGTCGCATGACCGATTCCTCACCGTCGACCTCTACGACGCCAAAGACCCCGCACAAGTCTTACAATGCATCGCTGCCTTTAGTCGCAAAGCGAATCAACTCAATCCTTCTGCCTTTCCTACAACTCTGGGGGCGAAGAGCAAATCTGCCATGAGCCCGCAGGGAACCGGGTCCAGTGGGCCAAGATCTCCAGCATACACCACTACCACAACTTCACGGCCGCGGGGTTTGAGTAACTCAACTGCGGACAACCCCTCTCTCACATTCAATCCCCTCAACAAGGCTGCGTATTCCGGGCGTGTTAGCCCCAGTAAGAACATCCTCAGCCGAGGAGGGTTGGCTTCTGGCGGCACAGTCAGCAGTTGGAGTAACAAGACTGACGAGACCAAGACCGCACCCGCGTGGAATATCCATCAATATGGGTACATGGGAGGGGCAAGTCAAGGAAACCAAGGCGTTGCTTTCGGTGCTCGGAGACAGATTACATCCCCGGCGCCCAGCGTGCCTAGCATTGCGGAGAAAGAGAAACGCCTCAGAGAAGAGGCAGAGAAAAGACAATTAGAGGCAGAAGAGCTTGAGCGACAGCAGCGCGCTCAACGGGCTGCAGAAGAAGAGCAGGCACGTCTAGAAGAAGAACGCAGGTGGGCTCAAGAAACGCAACGACTGAAAGAGCAAGAAGCAGCCGAGCAGCGTGAGCTCGAGCGACAACGCCTACAAGAAGAAGAGCGTGTCCGTCGTGAAGAACAGCGTCGCAAAGAATTGGCCTATGAACGTGACCGGGAACGAGAGGCTCAGGATCAAGCAGAAAGAGAGGCTCTTATGGCGCAGGAACGAAGTCGCCAACGCACCGTCAGTGACGCTCGTCTCAACGGACAATTTCTCAGTCAATACCAAGCAGGCCAGGGAAGAAGCAATGTTGCCTCTCCCCCTCTGTCAAAGCCCGCCGCGGATCAGGACTCGGCAGAAAGTGGACGCATTGCAGAACTCGAGCGTCAATTGGAGGAAATGAAGGCTCAACAGAGACAAACCCAATCCGCCAGGCCACTACCCGAGCCTGAACCTCCGGCGCCAATATTACCTGCCAGATCCACCGTCGGTCAAACAAGCAGCCATGAGGACGACTGGGCTGCATCAGAGCGTCAATATCTCCAGCAAGAATGGCAGAAAACGCAGAACGACCAACCGCCTCCCAAACCACGACGTCCCGAACCCACACAATCAACATCGTCTCGTCCGTTACCCGACCCAGCCACCTATCAGCCAGGCACCAATCGCACAGACCGATACCTTGCCTCAAACACGGCTCCCGCTCAGCCCAATGTGGCGGCTCACCGCCCTCAGGACTTTTCCACCACGACCGAGGTGGACCTCGAAAACCAACGCCGTATTCAATCCCAGCAGCGCACGAAAGCCGGCGGCTGGGCCTCGAAATCCCTCCTCGAGCGAGAAATGGAGCGGGAGCGAGAACGGCAGAGAGAGTGGGAAGAAGCGCAGAAGGACACCGCTTCCAGAGCCAGGGACATAAAAGAGGGAAGCGGACCTGGTCAAACCTGGGATGTCCACCAATATGGATTTGTGGGCGGGGACAGCCAGAATCGTGGAGGTCCGGGGCTAGGAGTCGGGGGCGCCAGAAGGCAGATCATCGGCCCACGACCGCCGCCCTAGGTGCAACACAATGCCACGTTTAACACAATTCATGTGGGTGTGGGGAGGTGAATGTGGACGGTGTGAGTTAAAACGGTTGCGGTGTTTGACGAACATGTGCTTCGACTGTACCGTAGCGGGCGTTATGAGATACGTGCGACGAGTGATACAAGCGTATTGGCTTCCTGGTGAGAACAGACGAGTAGAATTCCGCTCGAAAGGTTCTTCGTTGGAGTACTGGGTAGACAGTACGCTGAACAGCTTTCGTGTGATGCCACTCCAACAATTGCCACGAGACGCGTCTCAGACTCCATCTCATCCCTACAGCGCTGAACCCTCTATCGCTTTCTGGATTCTCTCCCCACTTTCTACCAACCACTCCCACGCAACAGCCTCGTCTCCTTGCCTCTTCTTGCTACCTGCCTTTTTCTCTACCGAATCCGCGACACGGCTGATCCTCCTTTCCACGCCAGCCCTGGCCGCTTGAACCAATCTTTCCGTCTTCTTCAGCTCGCCCGTCCTCACAAGACATCTCGTCAGACTCTCCAATAAGAGACTGATTCTCGCGTTGGCATCGACACTGTTCTTTGACGCGGCGAAGGGGAGATATTCTTGCTCCAGCTTCCTCCTGGAGAGCAAGACATGGCTCTTGTATCTAGGGGCGGAGGTTTCGAGGAGCTGTTGAAGGAGCCTTTCGCACATATTCCTCAAGGACGGCGGTTCTAGGGGATTTGAAGGGTGGGGAAGGACAACCTGTGCGAAGGCAGCGACAGGGAGAGGGCGAATAAATTCAACATAATGGGTATAGAGGTCTTCCAGGTCGGGAAAGGTCGTCGGGGAGGTCGCCATCAGAGTCTGGTGAGAGGAGATGTGGATGAGCAGCTTTAGCAGCCGGAGACGGAGAGAGACGCAAGAAGGGCCACCGAGTTTCGTGGACAGGGAAGTTGAGGAGCCCTCGCCATCTGTGGTATACCCGCTGTGTAAACTGCCACCACTAGTCTTTGGCGTTACTCCCTTCGACGAAGGTGTCTGGGTCCGTTTCCGTACACGCTTTGATGGACGTCCACTTGCTCCCGTGCCAGTGCTTGCCACGTCGTCGTCGTCGTCGTCGTCGTCGCCGTCTTCTAAAATGTCCAAGTCATCCTGGCCCAAATAGTCGCCGTAGATATCCTGGTCAATATTGACATCGACTTCCCGCTTCTTGAGATTCCCATCTTCCCGCGTGGGTTCTTTCAATTCATTAGAAAATACCTCACGGAACTCGCTAAGGGAGCGCGGACTCCCATCGGCAAAAATGGCTCGCAGGATCCGTCTTGCGCGTCCATGTCCACCCCCGGAGAGTTCGATGTACTGCCAGAGCAAGGCTTCATCGACAGATGTATCCCCTGACGTGGATCGGATGTACCAGTCTTCTTCTAGCACATCAATCAGGAATTCAAGCAGAAGCTGGTAATGATTCCATCGCGTGGCATAAACGCCCGGGTGGCATGCACAGTTGAATGCCCAACCCACAAGTTGCCAGAAGTCTTCGGCGCGTGCCCAAAGGCTCTGTGAGCGGGCATAGGGAGTATTCAGATCACTTGCACCAGCTAGTTTGTCGCCTTCGCCGCCCTCTGAATCGTGCTCATCATCGTCAAACTGATGGTCACTGCGGCGTGTGAATCGAAAGTCAAATTTACGGAATGAAAATGCGGTGTTGAAGTCAGCGTTGACAGGTCCGACGAGATTCTGAATTAGTCTCAGCAGACGAAGAGCGGCATTGGCTTGGTTCCACTTCTCGCGCGAATTGGTTCTGGATGTAGTAGTGGGGTGGACTGCTAGTGTGGCAGCAAGGGCGATTTGAGCAGGTGGTGGAATTATGGCCGGCGCGAGACGAGCGAGGGGGGACGCGCTGTTGCCGATTATAGATAGGAGGAAGCTGAAGGCTTGGGTAAATAGCCCTTCTTCAAAGTAGGTCTGTACTTGCTGCGCTAGCTCGAAAGGGAGTTCTTTTGCTGGCCGGTATTGTCTGGGTTCTCTGGAGATGGTTTGGTTTGCAGGTGAGGACAAGGGTGAAGAAGGGCCAGGAAGCGCCATCTCTCGATTGCACAAGAATTCGAGGGTATATATGGCGGAATACTTGAGGCTCTTAAGTACAAATGCTTGAGTGAGTAGGGAAACGTCTAATCATGAGCGAGCCTGCCTTGATGAAGAAGTGAAGTTCAGCCTAACGCAGCCTTGCACAGCCTTGTTTGGTACTGATTGAGGATTAGCGTGGAATTTCTGAAAATCGATGTTCAGCCTCGACGCGCGTTGTTTGTCTCATGCTCGCGTCAGCCACCATACACACGAGCCCATCTTGCCTCGAAGCGCTCCAGCTTCTCAACGCTCGACAATCTTTCAGTGGACCAACCGTTATATGTGGAACCATTCTGGGAGACGCCTCATCCTCAGTTCAACACCGCAATGGGTATCATGTCCAACCTCCTGTTACACCGCGAGCTAATCAGGTTCGAAGGCTATATGTACCATTTGAAACATCGTGCATGCAATACAGACTTAGACTAACGCTCATGCCGAGAATGTAGGTCTCCTCCAGGTTTCGTTCCCGAGTCGCATCGTTTTCCTTCATATTCCGAGTCGCTTTCTTAGATCCTCCTTCGCTTCCCTGCACATTTCGTCAACATCCACATTTGCAATGACTCCATTTCTCTCATTAATCTCTTTTTCAATCTTTGCGAAATCTTTACCTATGCCCGGGGCGCGCCATTCATAGCAATCTCCAATCCATCTGCTACTCTGAACGAGCCACTGCCCTCGCTCTTTTCGCCGGGCAGTGAATGTTGCGAATACTGCATCGAGGTCCGACGGTGACTGGACTCGCTCGTCCGAGAGTAAAGAGGCAAGGACAGCGGTATCCTCAATGCACATGCCGGCCCCAGCACCGTGGTGCGGGGATGTCGCGTGAGCCGCATCTCCAGATATGCATATGCGACCTTTATAAAAAGTAGGTACAGGGTTGTCTCCTAGGTCAAAAATTGCCCACTTCCAGACGTATCAGTATTGTTCAACCTTGTTTCTTCGGTGTTACTGCGACTTACCACGGACAAGTCAGGCTTGGTTAGGTTTAATAGCCGGATCACATTCGACCCATATCCGCTAAAGTCTCTCAAAGCTTCTTCCCTCTTTGCATGTCTCGTTAGTCGCTGGGAGTCTGGCCAGTCGTCAGGACTCGTCCTGAATGCGACAATGTTCAATGTCTGGCCGTGGTTGACTGGAAACGTCAATACGTGACCATCAGGACCCATCTGTTGTACCCAGGATGTCAACAAGTGATTAAACAATGTTTGGGGGCTCAATCGGCACACTCACATGCATACAAGAATTTATTGCCAGCTCTTCACCAATTGCTTTGATGGCGCTGTCCATCGGCGCAAGACCTCGATAAGCATACTTGTGAGTATAGCTCGGTTGCGCACTGGGGTGGTTTTTTCCGACAATGATCTGCCGAACGCGAGACTTGATACCATCACATCCTATCACTGCATCGGCTTCGGCGGTTGAACCATCCTCGAACTTCATGACCAGCCTCCCGTTGGATTCATTCTCGGTGATGTCGGAGAGCTTCTTGCCAAACCGGGCAATTTCCTTGGGAATTAGTTTGACGATCTCGTCCAGATAATGCGCACGATGGACTCCATTCTGGCCCAAGGAATTCGTGATCGAGAATGCAATCTCCTGCCGCTCTTGGCCCGGATGTGGTCCCGTATGGCCGTCGAGGTAGTCGAACCAGACATGCTTTTTCTCAGGCCACACATTGCGCGTACAGACTTTTTCGAAAGCCTCATAGATGCCCTCATGGCATAGCTTCATCGCTTGCACTGCGTTGGGGGAGAATGAAACACCAGCGCCAATTTCGCCGAACTGAGCCGCCTGTTCATATATCGTGACGGGGATCTGGCGATGATAGAGGGCAATGGCAAGAGTCAGGCCTGCAATCCCACCCCCAACAATTGCAATCTCGAAGTTCTTGGATTTAGACATGTCAATCGGTATGTGTTCTCTTGCTTGAAAGTATTTGCTTATGGTCGGAAGGGTTCTGCTGAGAACGTTACTTCTCTGTGTTCTCTGACGGCCTCTATATACAGAGGAAACCCCTTGTTCAGAACACGGGCTTCGGGCGGCCGAAAAGCTTCCGCAAGGCTGAGGTAACACCTCGGGTTGTACTGGGATGGGCGTTGGAGCGTACAACAAGTTCTACAAGGACATCATTCGTCATCTCAATCTCCGCATTTGCTCAGGACCGCATGGTCACAACCTGGGGAACATAGCCGGGCCGATTTCCGATGGTTGGGCGAGAGATGTGTGGCGACCGAAATGACTTCCGAAGGGGCCGCTTGTACGAAACTCGCACATTAAGCTACATGCTTTGGGCTGTCGGAACCTTTTTCTTCCGCACTGATTTCAGCATTTTGGTAAAAGATGGATCGGTTGTACGGTATGGAGGCTTCGCTATTTGCACGGTCGGTCCTCGGATTGGAGCCCATTCGAATGAGACAAACAATGAGAAAGCATTCCCGTGAAGCGACAAGCAAGCAAGGCAACGTACGCATCATGCATGCAAAGAGGCTGGCAGCCGCTGGCGCTGCTGCCCGTTAACCGATGGCCAGATGAATGGACGCACTTTCAGCGGAAGAATAGAAGACGCTGATTACAGGTTGAGGAGATCTTTCCTCCACGTTGCAACAATCTTGACATGGTCATCCCTGTTTCTCACCAGCTCTTCTAGGCCCTTCTCGGCCAACTCCTCGACCGGAAGTCTCCTCGTGATCAGAGCCTCAGCACCAGCGAACTTACCCGCCACAAAGTCCTCCACAACTTCCCGGTAATCGTTATCGTTGTTCCCCATGGAGAACTTGGTGGTTAACTCCCGGAAGAAAGCATGCTGCATCGGAATCTCGAACGGCTGCTTCCAACCGGCGATGTTGAGGTACGTTCCTTTCAGCTTCAAGCTTTCCATGCCCGCGAGCATACCCGCCTTTGCGCCTGCACAGTCAAACACAATATCCACTCCTCTCCCTTGGGTCCTCGCCTTGCATATCTCTGCCACATTTGAGACTGACGGGTCCAAAAGATCGTCCGGAGCTGCCAGTCCTAGTCGTCGAATCATCTCACTTCTCTTTGCCGTGGGTTCGGAGACCAGCACCCTCCCACTGAGGCCAGTGCCCACCCCTTTTGCGCGCAGATTGAGCAAGACGGCCAACCCCACTGGGCCACCCCCCAGTACAAGCACGTTCAACCCCGTAAAATCGGTGATGCCGCTTGCTGACAGCGCGTGTCGCCCGACCGTCAAAGGCTGACAAAGCACCACGCTATTCAGATCAACACTTCCGTCGTCAGGGAGAGCATGACACATCCTCATTTCAACGTTGACTTTCTCGCTGAAGCCCGCGCCACCGCCTCCGCCGCCATTGAGGCCGATATAACCCCAATTGGTGCACATATTGTCGCACCCACTCGTGCACGCGGTGCATTTCCGGCAGACAATCCGTGGATCGACCATGATGGGGGTTCCCAGCTTGAAGGGTCCGTCTTCAGGATATCCAGAGGGCAGCGCAGAGACCCGACCACAGAATTCGTGACCGAACGTGACGGGGATGTGGTCGTTGGTGATACCGTGAGGTTTATCTGGCGTGTTTATGGTGAGAGGGCCCGATGTGTATTCATGAAGGTCAGTACCACAAATGCCGCCCCAGTAGACGTCGATGGTCACCTGGAGTGATCAGCGATGGGCGGGCGGCGGACGCAAGCAGAGTCTACGATATATAGAACTCTACCGGGCTGGCTTACCTCATTAGGGCCTGGGGGTGGTGGATCAGGGATTGTCTCAATCCTGATATCGCGCCTGCCATAGTATCGAGCAGCTTTCATCTTGGTCAGGTTGGTGTTGGGTTAACGTGAAGACATACAACAACGATATGCCGCTGCAGAGTGTACAGGTGAGTTGATCATATACAAAAATACCCACGGTCTCTAATAGCCTCGGACGGGATCTGTCTGCTCGGCATCTCGCGAGGCATTCTCTGGCCTGATTCGGCTATCCATATTAAGGACTTGTGTAGCCAGAGACGTCGTCGTTATGCCTTGCCAAATTGTGCGGGGTTGGCGAACTGCAATTGGGCGCAAGTATCAGAGGATTTTCTACAACCTCTGACCTAGGTATTGGTCCTGTGTGGTTGGAGTGAGGTCCACCGATACGTAGCGGTAGTCGGGACGGAGAATTGTAGATGTCGGAGTGGTGTTGATCCTACACCGAGGAGACGAGTCGGGAGGCACGTACTATCCGAGTCCGCTGGCCGTTGCGCCAAAAGCTCACCTTTTGTAATCACCGATCACTTTGGAGTGCTTGTGTGCTCAACGAGATAAATGCTGGTCCAGGTGACGATCAGCTGCCAAGGCTGTTTTAGAAGCGACTTCAGAAGCCTCAGGATTAGATTGACTTGATTGATCGGATCCAACGTTCGACTCTTGCCGTCAAGCCCGAATATAGAATGTGAATCATGGGCACTCCCTGTGCCAACATCAAAGTCGGTCAGGGTTGACACAGGGTCTGTCAATCTGTCAATCTTGACGACAAAGCAAACGAGTTTATCGCGACTCCCACCAGCCTTTTTTCCGACAGAGCTGCTACACATCTATTTCCTCCTCCTCATCAAAGACGACTTGAGTCACTTCCTCGCTTGTCTGGCTGCATCTCGCATCACTCGTCCTTCTGATTTGGTCGCCCTTCAACCCCGCGCTCGTTCGTTGCTGTTGTGTAACCTTGGCAATTGTGATCTTTTCCTCTTCTGTACCCCGTGAGGAACAATGGACATTGAAACATGTGATGGGAGCGTTGCATCTCCGTACGCCCCATAAATTACAAGATGTTCATCTCAAGAACCGTTCGCAGGGCCTTGCGGACCACATACAGATACACCATGCTCTCCTCCAAGGACGTGGTCGAGGTGACTGAACCCGCTTCTCATCAGGTCGACGACGAACGTGAGCAAGATGCCCCTCGGGACCACGGTATATGGAGTCGCGATCGGTCAGTGATTATCTAGAGCTTTTTGATGAGAGCTTTCTAAGCTGACTCTACAACTTTCAAGCTTCTGCGGTGCTCTGGCCTACAATTTTGTGGGCTTCATTCTCCCAGCTCTTTACGGAACGCTTTCAAAACTATGGGTGGCCAACATCAACTCTTCCCTTGTCGTCACGGTCGATTCCTATACCTATATTGGCGTTGTAGCCGAGGTCATCAATGAAGGCCTCCCTCGAGCTGCGTGGGTCATCATTGGAGACAAGTCCTCGCGCTCGCTTTCATCCCGCATCGAACTCACTCACACCCTGGTACTATTCCAAAGCATCATGGGTTTGGTTGTGAGCGTCATCATTCTTGGGGCCGCCAAACAGTTTGCCGCTGGGTTTGTCCCGGAGGAGGTTCGCAGAGCGAGCTTGACCTACGTCCGCATCAGCTCATTCTCCGTCTTTAGCGCTGCCGTGGAGGTCGCCGTCACCAATGCTGCCAGGGCGCTTGACCACCCAGATGTACCGTTTCTCATCAGTGCGATACGCTTTGCCGTCAATATCATCTTGGACTTGCTGATCATATCCCGATTTCACGTTGGGACCTCCAAACCCACCGTCAACATGCAAGCTGCAATTCGGCTTGGGTGTGACTTTGCTGCGGCATTTGCGGGCCTAGCATACTTCGCGATCATCGTGTTCAGACTGCACAGGAAAAACAGGGGACTCCAGAGCGTCCCTGTAACACGTCCCAGCCTAAGGGCATTGAAAGTGCTTCTAAGACCTGGAATCTTGACCTTTGTCGAGTCGGCTGTGAGGAACACGTTCTATTTGTGGCTTGTCAGCAATATTGTGTCCATGGGGGCCGACTATGCGACGGCTTGGGGAATCTTCAATACCATTCGTTGGGGTCTTGTTATGGTCCCGGTCCAAACACTTGAGGCGACTTCGAATGCATTTACTGGACACAGATGGGGTCAATGGAGGAGCGAGGTTGGGACGCAGGTGCAGAAGGCCAAGGCAACCTGGAAGCAGCTTCGCGGTGAGTATTATTACAGTCTGTCACATGCACTAAACCTATAGCTGACCCAGGACTGTTCATGTGTGTGTCTGTAGATATCACTACTCCTGCAATTACGGCAACGGCAATTGCGCTGGCAGTTGAGGTTCCCCTCTGCATCTTTCTTTCACTCTTCGGATGCAAGCCTTTTGCGCACTATCTCTCTGACTCGGACAGCGTGGCGTCGATCACAGCCCACATGTGGCGCACGATCGACTGGTGCTACATCTTTTACGCACTCAGCACCGAGCTGGCAACAATCCTCCTGGCCACAGTGCCGAGATGGTACCTGTATCAATCGCTGGTATCGAATATGTTGTACGTCTTACCCTGGGCGATCGTTTGTCAGACGGCACATCTCAGCTCGACAGACGCTTGGAGCTATCATGCCTTTGTGTTTGGAGGAAGCTTGGTCTTCAGTTTTTTCGATGTGCTGCTATTTGTGACACTCTGGGTCTGGAAGCTGAGACGGGGCACACTCAACTTTGACAAGGTAAGACTTGTGTGAAAGCAGACCGAGGCGAAAGAAAGGTCAGAACAGGGGAGAGGACGTGCCCAGGTCTAGAAAGACCGTGTCAGAGTTTAATATTTGAGCGGATATGAGGTCCGACTCTATGGAATGCCCTCAACACTTTTTTGACTTCTTTCGCCTTTCCCTTTCATTCGACGTCAGCGGCTCCTATCGCTTTGACAATCCTTCGAAGCGCCTCTTGTATGTATGGTCTTGGATGGCTGAACACGATGCGAAATAGCCCAGGAGTCTCGGCGCCAAAGACTGCGCCTCCGCCCAAGAACACTCTGTTCTTCATGAGCAGTTGGGTGATCTCGGCGCTCGTCCCGTCATCAGCCTGAGCTTCACCGGAATTTGGCCGGCGTTCCGGATGTCGTTCCAGGTATGCCTTACCAAGATCCACCCAGAGGAAAAACGCGGCGTTGGCCCCGGGCGTATATGGGATGTTGTGCTTGTCGAGAAACTCGACAACAAGGCTATATGACTCGGCCAGCCGGGCTTGATTCAGTTGGATATAACTGTTCACCCACGCATCGTCTTCCAGCATATTGGCCGCGATGTGCTCTGCGACAGATGACGCGTAGGAATAGATTGCAACCTCCAGCAGAGCCTCGCGAAAGGCTTCGTTATACTGCGAAATAATGTACCCAACGCGGAGACCGTTGGCACCAAAGTCTTTGCTCATCCCCCACAGGACATGGACGAGGAGAGGATCGATGATGCCCTCTGGCGCAATCGACAGGACCGAGGTGAAGTAGACGGGCGGAGGAGACGAATCGTGACGGTTTTCCCAAGTAGAGAAGGCATAGATCTCGTCGCTGACGAGGTGGATCTGGTACTTTTGGCAGAGGCGCATGTAGGCAACAAGGGCTTCACGGGAGTAACATCGCCCGAGCGGGTTGTGCGGCGAGCACAGCATGAGGGCTTTTGCGTGGACGCCCCGTTCTCGCGCCGCGAGAATGGCGTCTTCGTACTTGACGACAGCTTGCACGCCCATGGGATCTACCGAGCCAAACGAGACCGTGAGGACCTCGACACCGGGACGCAGCGAGATGTCCGGGATGAAAGCGCGGTAGTACGGACGGCCGAGCAGAAAGCCGTCGCCGGGGTTACAGAAGGCCCAAGAGGCATGCTCGATGGCGTGGGAGACGCCATTCGTGATGACGACGTGCTCACTCTCCACGGGCAGCGCCGGACGCAGCCGGCGATTGAGGAACCGAGCCACAGCCCTCTGAAGCCTCTTTGATCCACGCGGCCCGTCGCCGTAGGTGAATGCTGTCTGCGGGACACGCGTGCTGGTCCGGATATAGGCTTCCAGTTCTTCGTGCATGAGGCTGTTCTCCGCCACGCCAACGTTGACAAAGCCGCCCGGATTCGACGACGGATGCCACTGGTCGGTGTATACATGCCACAGTGGCGATTCTGGGGGTTTCGAGCACTCCTGCGCACGGCGCGAGAGCGTGGACACACCTGAGAGAGCGGCAGACATTGTGCGCAGAAAAGCGTGTTTAGGTGAAGTGTGCGTGAGGGTTAAAGTGGTAGCAGAAGGAATCAAGAAGATCAGATGGGCAGCTCAATTGGAGAATATACTTGTATGGAGTTCCCCTGGTTAGCTTTACCTCTGATGTCCGACATGCACGTGTTACGTCAATGCCGGACATGGGTTCTGTCGTTGGAGAAGTCGATGCCACCTTTATGCGCCCTGTGATTGAAGATGTAGCTTGAGCCTTTGGGAGGACACGGTTGTGTTCAAAGGCGTGAATTAACAGCGCGTATCATCTAAAGAAGACTGCTATCATGGGATTACCGAGTCAATTGATGGATCTATTCGTCGAAACACTGAGCCCTTTCTCATGTAAGAGACGCAGTCTGGCTATACGCGGGATGTGGACCGAGTATCAACCGAGGCTGAGCGTATATGATGAACCAATCACATTCTATCGGTGTGACACTCGCTGTGACGTACTATGATTGGCCGAGTCCTGCCAAGGCACTAGCTGCATCATTTGTTTATCTCGCCGCCCGAATTGGTTCCCGCATTGCGCCTCATCGACTTGTATCTTCCTCTCGACTACCGACTTGTCATTGACCATCCTCCTTCACGCTGCATCCAAGTCAAACCCTTACTCTTTTGCCTGAAACGAGATACCCTCATTGACACCACTCGTGAAACGATCAATTCCTCCTACCCTCACCATGGCACCAGCAAATTCTCGCAAGAGAAAATCGGACGAGATGGACGAAGGCGCCGGCGCCGGCGGTGCTGTCACCCCCTCCGGCAGCCCAGCGCGCAAGAGGTTACGAATCACCCAGCAACAGAAGCAAGCATTGATGGACAACCTCCAACTCGAGAGTGAGGGCGATTGAACACCCTGCTATGTGGTGATGGTTCTTTTCTGACAAACCGCCTAGTTACCGAGCGAGCGCGCCAGCTGCGAGCAGGATATGCGCTTCAATGTGCTGACCTGAGAGCTCGCATCGAACGACGCGTCAACCGCATCCCTCTCTCCATCCGCAAGATGACCATGCGGGAGCTGATGCAACAGCATGAAGCTTCCATCGCCAAGCAGAACCAGCCTCGTACTTCACCCCCCAAACAAACAACATCCGTCCAGGTCCCTGCACCCAAACCTCTACCTCCTCTCCCACAAGAAAGTGGCTCGACCAAGCTGCCTTCTCCGATCCGAGCTCAACCACCACAAGCAACCGCTGCTCGGGGAATTAGGAAGCGCATGAGCCCTCAAATTCAGATTGCCCTGGACAAAGTGAGCGAGGATGACCAGGCAGAGTCCGCAGCACTGGATACGCTCCCTGTGACCAAGAATACCAAGCGTGCCAGAGGAGCAGCAGCAGCAGCAGTCCCGACAACACGCCCTGCCTCTCGAGCTGTAGCCAAACAACCACCAATCTCGGTCCTCTCTCCACGCTCCCACAACTCTCGCACACTCCCCCGCTCACCGATCAAAGATCCCTACCTGCCGGCTTCCCCTACGAAGAACATGTTCGGCCGCCCGGGCGCCACCGCCATATCTCCCATCCGTCCGGCATCACCATTGAAATCAGCCGCGACGGCCGCAACAACGGCCATATCCGCCAGCGTGCATGGCATGATTGAGCACGCGAAACGAGGAGGCACCGCAACCGCCGCGAAGCTGACCCGGACGGCATCCAAGGAGAAGAAAGAAGCCGCCGCCCTTGCCAAGGCGCAAATGCTCCCGCCTCCGAAACCGAGCGTGCCCCCTTCTCCGCAACGTGCGTTCAGCCAGGCAAGCACCCGCAGCGTCGCGACGGATGCTTCTACCACCTCGACCGGCACGACGGTCGTTGTCAAGCCCAAGCGCGGAGGCAGACCCGCCACCGTTAAAGCCACATCCGCGCAACACACCAAGGATGTGGCGACTACAGAGAAAAAGAAGGGAGGGGTCGCGAGGGCCGCCAGCGCAGCCAAGACGGCGCTCAAGAGAAACGCCACTGCGGGCACGGGCACGGGCACGACTAGTAAGAAAGTCGTAGTGGCAGAGCCGGCAGCAGGACGGAGAGTGTTGCGCAAGAGGGCATAGAAAAAAGGGAACGGCAGCAGGATGATAAATGACATTGGCAGCGCAAGCAATTACTGTTATTGGTACGAGGGTTGTGCGACCCGGAACCACAACCATGAGCGGAAAGATATGGATTTGGATTGGTATGAGCTGGCCTTCCTCTTTGATTGGAGTTATTAGGGCCAGGTCCTTTACACGGATATTGTTGGCTTTTGTTTTTGGGTCGTTGTGTTCATTCATTCACTAGGCAGCGAATGATAAATTTCCAGAATGAGGGAAGAGAAGAGAAGAGAAGAACGACATGCCTTTTCCCCAACCAAATACTCACTCACTCTACCAACCCGGTTCCCTACAGCGTTTCTACTCCGCGTGAGTAGCTAGCTAGCTAATCGCGTCGACATACGTGTGGACTGTTTAATTAGTGGAACAGAACGACTTAGAACTTCACGAGGTTTTTCCCGGTCTACAGCACCACCACGCTGTCTCCTCGAGCCCCCTTTGTTTGGTATCAATTGGGAGAGAGATTCCGTGTCATTTTGTTCCTCTTCTCGTCTGTTCTTTTCTCTTCTGTGGTCTGCTCGATCGTCGAAAAAAGGACCCGTGTTTAGACAACGAATGCTAAGCAAGGCAATTTGGTTCCCATAGCAAAACACACCTCAAGCTCCGAAGCTCCATACCAACAACATCGCCTTTTGACTGTTGAGTACTTTGAGTGTGTTTTTCTTCTGTAAGATCATGTGCACCTTTTCCCATCTCGTCCATCTCTCCCTATCTTGTACAAAAACGCACATAATGTGAACGTGCCTCCCTCGGCTTTCAGCCATGTCCATGTCACAGCAAGATCAGTAGTCCAGCTCTGCACCTCCACCTGCTTGTGCTGCCGCGGCGGCTCCGGCATTGCCTCCACCACTGTTCGGCTGAGCGTCGAGATCCTCGTAGCTTTTGATACTTCGGCCTTGGGTGGCTTCTCTTGGTCCCATGGCGTTCATACCACCACCTGCGCCGTCCCCCCATTTGCCACCGCCTCCACCTCCACCCTGAGCGATGAAACCAGGCGTGAGGCCGGGAACAAGATTGCCTCGCAACATGCCTCCCATATTGTTGTAGCCACGTTGACTACCGCGTTGATTTCGATCATAGGGTCCAGGTCGGTTGCCGTATCTCCCACCGCCACGTCGAATAGGGCCACCACTATGTCCTACACTTCCATTCATGCCATCCGTGTTGAAGTTGACCCCAGGTACAAGTGGGCCGTGGACATTCTGCATGCCCATCATGGCATTCTGGCCGAAACCCATCATGTTCATTCCAATATTCTGAAGGCTGAAACCCCGAGGAGTGCCGTTGTTCAGGTGATGGTTCTGAGGCAATGGGAAATGACCGTTAGAATTGGCATCCGACCGCGACGGTGCGATATGTGATGGATCCAAAACGTAGGTGTTGACCAGTTGAAGCTGCGATTGTTAGTAGACTGCATCCAGTTCGTGGACAATCTGCAACTTACATCGTTCTTGAGAGCCACAAACCATTCTTCGTGTCTCTTCTCTACGTGCTTCCTCCAAAAGTGCTCGGCTTTGAACAACTTTGTGCATTCAGGGACTCGACAGCGGAATTTGGCCTCGTCCTCTTGCTTGACAAACTTCGCCAGCTCTTCGTCCAATGCTTCTTCGACGGGCTTGCCTCCAATCTTCTTGAGGTCCACGTACTCGGGTTCCAGAATTTGCAGGACCTTTTCCTCAAAAGTCTTGACCCAGTTGAACGCTCGAAGAAGCTGCTGGTCGTTTTTGTTGAACTTCTGAGGCCGTCTCTCTTGGACAGGGCTAAGGGGTTCATCGTCCATGCCGTTCTCACTCCGACCATCTTTCTTCTTGCCGGGGAAAGGCTCACCAAGTGCGCTCGCCCTGGCCGCTGCCTTGGCCGCAGAGGTCAATCCAGCTCTGGGTCTTCGAAGATGACCGCCAGGGCACTTTCGGACCATTTCATGCACTGAATCGGACTCGAAGACACAAAACAGACAGAAGTTGTAAACCCGCCGAAGATATTCGACCATGAGATCCAGCTTCTTTTTGACGACCAATAACTCTTCGTCATCCTGCTCGTCTTCTTCCTCCTCACCCTCTTCACCCTCCTCTTCGAACTTGATTTCATCATCATTGTCCTCAAAGTTTGGCTTTTTGGGTTTTGGCGGAGGCTGTAGAAGTCCTTGGTTTCTCATCTGTTCCACTCGAGCATCGATCCTCCCCAAAGCTCCAGAATGCTCATCCTTGCCAAGTTCGGCATCAAGCTTAGTGACAAGCCGTCGCGCAAGTTCATGATCGCGTTCGATTCGTTCGGGTGCGGAGAACAAGTCCCAAAGAGCTTTCTTCCTCGGGGCACTCGGTGCATTGTGGATACCAACGTGACAGGTGAAGTCGCCTCTCACCGAATCAGTGATGGTCTTACCATTGATAAGATCGAGAGCTTTTTGAGCAGGGCTGATTTTCTCCAGCTGTGGTTTCTCTTCACCCTCTTCACCGTCCTCGTCCCGGCCGTCACCCCGCTCTATGTCCTGCATGACATCACCGTCCTCTTCGGGGGCAGGATTCAACATAATCCAGCCGATGCGATGGAATTTCTTGGCCGGATTGGGGTCACTCAACGATAAGCCTTTGAAACCCCCTGCCTCTTCTCCCAAATGTTCTTTGCAGAACTCCTCAATGCGGTCGCGGCCGACATTAGGCGCCAGGGTCTTGATGAGCAGAGCAGGCTGCTGAACAGAATCATCTTTGAGATCGCCGCCTTTGGCCGGGACAAGGTCTAGCACACCAAGAACTTCACCGCCGCCGACAGCCTCACCTTCTTCTTTCTCCACCATTCCACCGGCCCCGTCGCTATCATTCTTGTAGATCCCCTCGAGAGTGAATTCATCGAAAAGACCAGTTTCGAGGTCTCTGACCCATTGCTCGAAGTTGGGTTCTCGGGATTCCATCAGACGTTTTCGGATTGGATCTCGTATCTCTGGCACGTATCGCTCTTTGAACCACTCTTCGCCTTTGTGCTGTTGGACAAATTGGCGGGCCATCTTCACCTGAAACTCCTGTTTGTACTGATCATAAGCCTGCTGGATTTGTGCTCGCTCTTTCTCGCGGTCTTCTTTGGCCTCGCGCTCGCCCTTGACACGATCTGAAGGTCGTCTGCCGCCGTGCTTAGCTCGTTCTTTCTCTTCTTTGACTTGTTGTTCAAATCGCCACCAATCTGCAAAGAAGCTAAAACCTGCCTGTGTGTCTAGAGCCAGAGGGTTGGCGAGAGGATTGACCTTGACAGCAGGCTTGTTGGAGTCTTGACCTGGAACATATCGATCGATGTTTGCAGCAGTTGGCGAAGGCGCTCTTCTGCGATCATCCCGCTCTCTTGCATCTCTCGTGTCTCTTGCTTCCCTCGCTGCAGGTCTGTTGCCCTCGTAATAGTCATCGCGTCCGTTGCGCTCGCGGTCTCGCTCCCTCTCTCGGTCAGGTTGATAACGATCGATAGCTACTGGGGAACGCGAACGGTTGCGAGGAGCAGGCCGACGTCGGTCGTTAGCCACTAAGCAATTTATTAGCCATAATACTGGATGGAAAGTAGCCTCGCTTACCAGGAGATCTTCGTCTGTACGAGTCGGTTCGCTCATAAGACTCATCCCTTCCACGATATCTGGGCGGCGATCTCTCGTTTGTAGGAGAGCCATAAGCCTCGTATGGATTCATGTTGTTCTGGAGCTTGGAGCCTCGCGATCAACAGTGCTTCTGCGTCCGATGCCACAACGACCTAGGTGAAGCCCACCGAGGCGCTATGTCATTTGCAGGCTGAGAGCGCAGCGACAAAGGCGACAATGTCGATCAGGTGAATTCGTCTTCGATTGTCCGAGGTTTCGAGGTCAAATAGCTAAGAGTAAACATGGCAGAGGTTAGACTTGAGTGAGGGGACAATGAATTGGAGGACGACATTGAGAAATGAGTGTAGGCCAAGGTCAAAGAAGGAAGAAAGCTCGCAGGCATTGAATGCGCCTATCTGAGGAGCAGATGATGGAGAAAAAAATGCAGGCCAGCGATAATAACAGTATATAAGTGGACTCGAAGATGGACTCTAGGACTCCAAAGGTCCGAGACAATCGGGGGGACTGGAAAGGTCAAAGTAAATAGGGCCGCAGAGCGTGGCGGCGCGGAGTGAATGATGGCGCGATGGCAGGAAGAGCAGAGGTATTGAGCTTACAAGATCTGAAGCAAGGAGTTGGTTGCACGCTGGTATCGCAATGCAGCACCAAGTGCTGTTGATGGACGATGAGGAGGAGTTGAATGAACAACGAACCGCGGCGTGAAACCCTCCAGAGGCCAAACTGAGCGGGAGGCGCAGTTGGACTGGGAAAGAGCGTGATTGGTTGCCGGGGTGGACAAGGCGTGGGATGTGCTCACGTGATATGGCTTGGCATCTCCGCCGCTGTTGGTTTGGAGCAAGTGTCTGTTTGGCTCGTTTACGACGTACATACCCGTTGATGTCGAGGCTATCTGAGATTGACTGCTCCTAGATATCTTTCTACAGGTCCTTCTGTGACAGACATTCTTCTTGGCCTTTTCGCGGTTAACTCTTCTTCTTGTGGCTTTTCGGCTATTCAGGTTATCCAGTCTGGGTACTGAACGATCAGGAAAATGAGACTGAGTGCCAGGGATTTATAGGAGGAGGACTTCGCGTTGCGTCTCTGCAAAGGCACGTCCACTGTATGGCCATCCCTTTGGAACACGCACCAGAATCCTGAACAGAGTCGACCTGGGTCGGTGATTGTCAGAACTTGGCAGCCCATCTCAAAGGTCCTGTTCCAAAAGCCACAGAAAGACAGATAGAGGACGCTAGCTAGGTCGTGCATATTTGGGAGCGGAAAGGAGTTCTCATACAGGAAATATCATTTCATAATTATCGTTCGGTTGCTGGATTGCAAATACTATGTTATATACATTGACGGTGTGTCCCGCGAGCAGAGAATGCGGTGCCAGGCCGGTTGAATGGTCCCAAAAGACGGACCTCGTTCAGACATGAAAAAACAATTCTTCATTCGCCGCCCCCTGCACACTGCCATAAATAGAGATAGAGTCTTGCCCTCATACTCTCGAGGTCCTGACCAAAAGTTTCTCGTGGTCTGAGAAATAGGAACCCAATCACGAATCTGTCTTCTCAGTCTCTTGCTGGGTCTCGTGCTCATGCTTGATCGTCCATCCGTTGAGATGACCGGTCCCGGCGGTCAGGTATGATGCAAATCCCAACCATGCGAGATACGGGGCCATCAAGTATGCGGCAGACTTGTCCACTTTGTTCCAGACATAGGTCATGTAGCCGACAGTGCCGGTCAGGGCGACCACATCGAGCATGGCTTCAATAGGTCTGCCGAGACCGAAAAACAGAGGCATCCAAACCAAGTTCAAGCCCAGTTGTATCGTGTACAATGTTGCCCCTCTTCTTGCGTTTTCAACTGTCTGTGGACTCGGGCTTGCCAATCCGATCGTCCAGACCCGGTGAGCCGCATACCCCATGAGTATATAGAGTGCGGACCAAGCCGGGGCGTACACCCACGGAGGGGGTCTGAAAGGGGGTTGTTTTATTGCCTTGTAGTGTTCTTGAGCGGTTCTGAACTTTCCCAGCTCTGTTGCCGCTGGGTCTGAGAATCTCTTAGGACGGAGTCTCCCAGGCTGAGAGACAAGGCCAGATCCCAAGCCCAATCCGAGGGGTAGAAGGATCGAGACGGGGGCATTGGAGAAGATGGAGGCGGGAAGCGTAAGGCCCGGAACGTACGCCATCGCTGTGGATAGCTTGTACAGGAGGTATTTCTTGGAATTTGGTCGAGACGAAAGCCCGAAGAACGTTCAGGATGTATTTGGTATCAGTTCTGTCGTTGCAAGAGAGGGGTTGATCAGAGAAGCTGGCGGCGACGAGCGAAAGATATCATCCACAAGTAAATAGCCATCAGGTGAGTTGAATGTTTTGGGTTGCTCATCAGGTGAGCCGAGCATCTCGTTCTGGCGCGTGGGCTGCGCATGACGCAACTTGTACCGCGCTCCCTCCCAGCATCTTTTCCCGCAAACAACCAAAGCTTGCGGTGGTCATGTTTATGCGCATTTGATATGCAATGTCAGATTGGATCCATGTATATCTACTAGCTAATGTCATTTTGCACTAATCAAAATATACCTTCACGAATGATCAAGCAAAAGCTCCTACTACCGCCATCAACAGACCTCCTAGGCCCACGGCGAGACATGCTTCGATTCTGCGTCTGCCTTTCAGAGCCTCGTAGCTCTTTTCACTCAAGAAATCCTCCGCAATCAGCTGCACTAAACCTGCGAAAAGTAAAAGTCCACTGGAAATCGCATTTGTGATACCGACCATCAACAGTCCCACCTTACTCGCAGGGTCATATAGCGAGTGTAAGACGATTCCCATAGCCTGACCAATGGGTGTTGTCGCGCCATACGCGAGTGCCATGAGCCAGGGTTTGGGCGAAGAAGCATCGAACAAGGTTGGTATGAGTGCCGCAATGCGCGATCCTAGGGCAAATCCTTCAAAGGTCTGGTGGAAGCAAATTGCGATGAGCAGGACGGCGAATTGCGTGCCCTGCGCGACGGAGACGGCCATGCCAATGAAGATACTGTGAAATAGAATTCCCGCTTCGAGGAGCAAGCATTGGAGGAAGAGTCGCTGAGGGTTCTCGTCATCTTTGGTAGTGAGATGATGCAAGTTATTTTCATGTTCGGAGATTTTGCGACGGTGAGGGTTGCTCAATGTCGCAGACTCGTCCGCAACTGGATCGAGGTCGTCCAGCTCCAGATCTGAGTCGCTCGATGCCGAGTCTCGAGGTTTTGGGGATGTATCTGTGTATGGCGTCGTTGGCACTTGCAAGTGGTCCGACGGAACATGTCCATTGCCATAGACCGACGATCTTCCTTCTCCCGAGGAATGTTCCTCCGGTACTCTCTCCCATTCATTCGCGTGACTGTGTCCTGCGCCTTTGCTTGCAAAGAACATCTCTATCCCCACCACCATGAACACGGACAACATGGCAATCAACCCGGGCATCTGCGGGTATGTCTCTGTCCAAAAGTCCGGCAGACAAGGATCGGTCATGGATATAAATGCCGTAGGGAGCAGGTGGATGAAGGCCGTCGCAATGAGGACACCTGTGCCGAAGTGCCGGGAGAGGAAGAGGAAGCGATGTGGGATAGGGAGTTTGGGAAAGCGACGGGCGATAATGGGAAAGGAGCATGCTGTAACACGGTCAATATGGACCACTAGCTATATCAGACGGAGACTGCCTCAACTGACCGAGAGTGCTCAATACCAGAATAAGGAAGAGGGCAAAGACATGGATGCCGGTGTTGTAGGCACCTCGTCTTCCCACTGTGCCGCACGCCGGCTTCGCGGGCGCATCTTGCCGTCTCTGTAGTTCTGCATGGAGGAGCTCGAGGGGTAGTCCGCTCAACGATGATGGCCCACGGTCATCTGCGAGCATTTGTCAGTTCTTGGGTTGTTCGCGGTCGGTACATTCAGGAGCAGGAAGAAACAACGAACCTCGAGCGACGAGCCCATGAGACTTGGGAAACATCACTAGTGTGCTGTTTTGGTGTGACCGTAGGATTGGCCATAAATGCCGTCAGAAATGACACTCTTGAGAGGTGTTACACGTCGTCGCGTTTGCCCTGACGCTCCGACCCCTCAGAAAAGATCCGAAGAAACCCTTCTCGTAGGCACAGATCTCTGAAAGGCTGGTCTGGCGGGACCAATTCCCTACTTTCCGACTCGCCGAGTTCTGCTCGCGCCTCATCCCGAATAGGGACAACGGTGACGCCGCCAATTCTCGTCAGTGGTGCTGTAACGGGTCTGGGGCCTTGGCACCATCACGGCGGGTTATGCGGGCTAATTATCCCCTGGTATCTTCCCCTGCTTCCTCTATATTCACCGTCGCACCCTATCCAGACGGAGTATTGACTTCACCATGAAGGAGAAACACATGATACCTTTACGTACTTACTATTCTAATTGCGTCTTAGAGAGCTTTCCACCGGATTTGTCTCGCGCCGTTAACCCAACGCTGCTGAGCAGGACGAGCTCGTCTAGCCTTTGCTTAGATGGCGAGACATAAAACCTCCCACGACCTTGGTATGTATCGCGTACACACTGACACATCTCTCTGCAATGGGTGAAAGAATGGCCGGTAGAATGAGAAAAGACACCCCTCTCGCTGCCTTCAATCGCTCTCAATGCTCCTAAATGCTCCTAGGGCTATACCTCACACGAAGTTGTTGACGGGCTGATGAAGTAACGTCGATGGAATTACCGATGGTGTTCGGCAAATAACTTGTTCAGGAATTCATTCCAACAGCACCAACGGTGTATGCAACAAATAATCATCCGAGGTGGTCAGACTCGAGGCCGATGATGCCGTCTATTCCATCCGTTCACAACAAGTTGGCGGCCTCACGGTTCCGGCCCGGAGCTGGGCTCGACTTGGTCTGTCAGGCCGAAGGTCGGCCGCTGAGTTGAAGCCGCCTCTATCCGGGCAAGGAGGCTGGCCATGGCTGCCAGGATTGTGTATGCATGCAAATCTGTCTGCCAGCGTCTGGTCAAAACATTGTGCGTTGCATATAAAGAAAACTTGACCGAGGTATGTTTCGAATGGAGGTTCTGCTTTAGAGACAACAGTCAGCCCACCAGAGACCTCGCCAAATCCCGACCATCCCTTTCTGTGTTGCCAAAACGACAAATCTCAACCAGACGTCGCAGTGTGTAGATTTCTCGACGGAGATGAACGATGTCCGAAGGGCTCGTCTCTCATTACAAGCCTCGAGGCTGAGGAATTTGATGCTCTAGGCGGCGCGAGATGAGACCCAAATCGTGCCTATGGCCTGTAGCTACGACGCCCTTAGCTCGAAATTGACCTAGGATGCTGGATTTCCCGTGGTGTTTTTGTCCGGCTTTGTCGTCGCCGCGTCGCTTGGGCTTCCGGACACCGGGTATATCGCGTTCGGCGAAATGACGCAAACGATCGCTGAGGTTGTGCGGCAAGTCGACGTTCCCATCCTCGTGGACAGGGACACGGGGTACGGAGGGCCGATGAATGTGAAAAGGACGGTTCAAGAGTATGTGCGCCTCGCCTCGCCTCTCCTTTCGTACGGGGTGACACAAAATTGGTCAGCTGAACCACATATCCTCCGCGCATATCCTCCAGGTTTGCACTTGCCGGGCCGGCCGGAGTCATGATCGAGGACCAGACTTGGCCCAAACATAGGATTTCCTCCCCTCAAACGTCCATCGGGTAAAACAGCGGACCCTGGCATGAACGAGCCAGGCTGCGGACACTCTCAAGGCAAGACTGTTGTTCCAGAAGACGAGGCGTATGCGCGGATACAAGCGGCCGTGGACGCGCGGAACGAGGGTCTCGACATTTGGATCCTGGGAAGAACCGATAGCCTGATCCTCGGCTATGACGAAGCGGTCAAAAGAGCCAGGCGATTCATCGAGATTGGCGTGGATGCCGTATTCGTCGAGGCAGTGCCGGACCGGGCCATGATGAAGCGGCTGGTGCAGGACCTCCAGTTCCCGTGCATGGTCAACATCATACCAGGGGGGTGCACCGAGGTCGTCTCCACCAAGGACCTCGCGGCCATGGGATACGCGTGCGTGGTGTAACCTTTTGCGTTGGTCGCAGCCAAGATCAAGGCAGTCCGACAGGCGCTGCAAGATCTCAAGGCCTCTTTCGCGTCGGGAAACCCCCCAGATACTCTCGAAGCGAATGAAGTCTTTGAAGCCGTGGGGTTTCCAAAGTATTATGCCGAAGAAGACCGGTACCAGTTGAAACAGCTGATTTAGATATATTTAGATACCCGTCCCTCCTAGAATCCAGTCTCCTTCTGTCATGCCACCATCCAACTGAGTGAGTCGGCTGCTGTCAGACGACAAATCAAATCACGGATGCGTCCAGGTCAAGGGAGATAAGTCCCCAAAAGAAGGACTTGATGCATTTACGAGCTGAAAGTGGAAATAATGGACACCAAGACTCTTGGGAATTTTTTCACATAAAGTTCTTGTCCATCAAGGAAACAACTCTCCATATTGGTTCTCCATGGGCAGATTCCACAAGAAGTCAAGCGAGTCGAGCTCGAGGCCCGAGGAGACGAAATTGCCCGAAAAGCTGAAGGGGGCGATGCTTTTGTCGAACGGTCGGGCCCACCAGCCCGCGCATCCAGGCGATGTCATGTCGAGGTTTTCTGTGGCAGCTGCTGACGCCAGATCGACCTGGTCCTGAGTGGCATGCACAGGCGCAAGACTTGCACTGTCGCCCATTTCATGGCAACTCGAACGGCTTTCGTCGTGGTTGGTTTGGTGGTGGTCACCATTGTTGATGTTATTGCTGGTATGGCGCATTCCCCCGATCAACAACTCTCTCAACTTGGCCACTCGCTTCTCGATCAGCGTGGCAAACCTGGACGAGAAATCCATGTCATCAATGGGAGACGACCTCAAGGCCACAATACAGTCGTCCAAAATGTCCAGGGACGCCCGGATCGCGATGCTCCCCGAACCGATACTGATGGCTTTGAGGAGGAAGATGGCGGCCGAGATGAAACAGAGCGACTGTCGGACGGGCATGTATCGCAGGTTGCCAGACAGGGCCATTTTGGTGGCTGTTTGGAGAATCTCGCTGGCCCCGTCGACAACCTCTTGCAAGAAGACGTAGTCGGAGCTCGAGAAGCACGCCGATGTAATGTTCGTCTGGAGAGGATCCGTGCCGTGCATCCCGCGAGCCAAACCTCTTTCCACAATGGCCTGCATCGACAAGGCGTGAGTATAGACTCGCAAATTTTGAAATTCAATCTGCAAAAGGTCTCGTAGGGATTGAGGAAGACCTAGCAAGGGAGAGGCAATTAGTTTTCCGCAGCCGAGATCATTGGAATCGACTTACTGTTCGAATATGTCGCAAACCTTTCTTGCTAGCGCGTCAGAGACGGCCGAAAATGGTCCAACAGAATGGTATAATGCCCCGTCAAGAGCTGTTCTGGGTCGACGCAGGTGGCTCGAAGAACAAAACAGAGGCTGTCTTGATCAGGCGGACCAGCTCTAGCCAGCAGTCCATAAAGAAATTCCAGTCCTTTGCTAGAGGATCGTCGCTGGACAGAGCAGAGTTGGCTTGGGTAGCAAAGATGGAATTCTCGGGGAGATGAGTTGGACAACTGAGCCGAACCGAGAGGTTGGTCAGGTAAACGCAAAGCAACTTGGTCGTTCGTATGGACCTGGCCTGGACCTTGGGATGCAATATTTCAATGACAGGACCGTCAGAAAAGAGTCCCGATTTATAGGCCAGGGTCGTCACGATACCAAGCAGCATCCAGGAGGAGTGGTCCGACTGTTTGGAGGGTTCGAGGACGTCTTCTCGCTAACGGATCAGATGGGAGTCCGAACGCGAGGTGTCGTAGGGCTGGTTGGGTTGATGGCTTGGACACAGATCGCCACTGATCTCGTCTTCGGCAGGAAAATCGGCGTATCGAGGATGCCAGTCGGTAATCAAAAGACAGCTGTCGATGATGCTGAGGACTGACATTCTTTTGGCCGAGTGGGTTCCGCGTCCGAGAACGACCTGCTCAAGGAAACTTCTGCAGCACTGCCACAATCTCTGGTGTATCATGTAGCTGCGCGCGACACCCTCAGCACCGGGCAAGACAAAGAAGCGTGACGAGATCATGATCTTCCGTGATCAGTCTTTGATAGGTCGAGTGGTTTTGAAACTCCGACATGAGCACCGGGCTCATTGGAGAGAGGTACTTGAAGAATCTTGGGCGCATATCAGGATACTATGTTAGGGAGGGGAGCTTAGACGGGGTAAGTACATACAGATCGACAAGCGTGACGGCTTCTTGTGCGCGGAGCCAACGTTGCCGGACGAGGCTATATCGGCTCCAGGCCTCTAGAGTCTTGTCCTCAACAGTTGATAGTCGAGATACCTCAGGCGCCAAAGGTGGATGGATGGTGTCCAGATCTAAGTTGCCATGGACGAATGGGTTGGCTTGCTCTGTGAAGCCAGCCTGCGGGTTGGAGCAGTCGCTGCTTGCGCTGCTCGAATTGGTCGCCACATCTTCAAGTCCGGTGGCTGAGTCGGCCGGAAACGGCGTGCCCAATACCTCGACGGATTTGGGTACGATCATGATTTTGGACATGGCACGCTCCGTCAAAGACGGTCGAGGACTGGCAGATTGGTGGCCAACGTTGCTGCTGCACCCTTTGTCTCTGGTCGTCGAGGGCTGCACAGGATCCCTCTCCTCAGTCAGGCCCACGGATGTCGGGGTGTTGTTGGCCATCAATTCGGCCTCGTGGCTCTTTTCCACCCATCGAGGAGGCTGACGCTGTCGACCCGTCTTGTATTCGCTTTTAAGGACGCATTCTCGATGCTCGCGGCGACATTTGGCGCAGGGAGGTTCGCCGTCGAGATCGCATTTTACTTTGCGGGAACGACAATGCAAACATGCCACGTAGCTTCGTTTGTAGGACACCCTTTGGCCTTTCATTCTTTGTCGTGGGTTTCTGGCTCTGGTCCTTCTGTCCTACAGTCACATTGGACCCGCATCCTGGGGATCCTGTCGAAGACATCGAAGAAGTCACGCTGATGGGGTGATAGACGTATTTGCTCTAGCTACACACACACACACACACACACACACACACACACACTTCAGTTGTATGTATCTTATCCTCAATCTATTCGAGTGGACCACGTATTTGCCTTGAATCCAGGAGAGCCCCGAAACCGGAACACCCTTGTTCTGGTACCCCGCAAAATGTGAGCCTGTATCGGCTCTGTAGTCGAGGGGAGGGTGGCGGTGCCCCCGGTATTCCAGCCTCAAGGGGGGCGCGATATCCCGTTTTTCCGTACAGCCGTGGACACCAACAAGGTCTAAACCATACAAAGGCCACCCTATATGACTGGCAAATACAAGGCTCCTAGGTATTTGCCCTAAGACTTTCTTCATAATATTGTCAACGTTATTGGCTGCTTATTCGAACCTTGCAACCGAGCCGATACGGACTAGTCCATTAATGGCTAGGTTACCCTCCATAAGAGGCATAGCGCATTGCTCGCCCGCTCCTAGTCGAATCAGGACTAGGCTTTCTCGAGGCTATCTGTACAGTACTGCTGTTGGACCAGCTCAATGTCTAGTAGCGCCGCGTCAAATGGCGGGAAGTATCTGTCATGGGAACGCGTAGCCGTGAACACAGGGTTCGACGCCGCGGTGGCCGGGTCATCGGGTTGATAGGCGATCGAAGCGTTGTAGAAAGGCGTCAAGGTCGCGGCGAATGTGAGCCAGAAGGCGCCAAACGAGGCGAAGACGACGCAAGCGAAAGTATTGCCTAGGATCAGCTCGAAGACACAGCCGATGATCATAAGGAGGCCTCCGAAGAAGTAGTATGCTCCTCTATACGCGTGACGTCACGTGAGCAAATCTGAGCCACAAAGACCCAGACCCAGACAAAAACTCACACTTCAGCAGCGCCCAATCCTCCTGCGCCCCTCCACCCCATCAGCACGTTGGACAAGGCGGTGATGCACAACAAGAAGCCGACAAGGCAGCTAGGGACACCAGTCAGCAAACAACTACAATAACACTACGGGTCAAGGTTCGCTCACAGAGGTGTGGGATTCCCAAACGTCGAGCGGATGTTGTTTAACACGCGGTTTTTGGGCGTCAAGTACATCTTCTCAAACAGCTCGGCGCTGGTTGAAACGCTACCCGCCGTGCGGATGGTTTTCAACGCATGGTCAGGGTCGTGCCGGTCGTGATGGAGGTCGTGCGTGTCAGACACGCCGCTGTGCAGGGGTACGTCCCGACTGTTGTCCTCCGAGTCTGCGGATTTGGCCATGATGTGAGGAATTCAACTAGAACGAGTAACTGATACACCCGTCAAGAGAATTTTGGAGGAGCGGTACTTGAATCTCGACTCACCAGGTCTGGAGTAACACGAGAAGGTCCTATATTTATTGCGACCGATCTGTACCATCTCTCAGACTGGGATCATATCGCAGACACCTTCTCGGACCCAGTCAACAACGGATCCATGGCTCCCCGTCGAGCTTCAACACCGCTTCTATTGCTCGTTCATCCGCGACGATAAAGTTGTCGGAATACTAGCCCCCACCTGCCCCTGTGATGTTGATGTCGAGTCGTAGCCGTACGTATTCACATCCCCTTTTTGCGCACCATATGCTGTTCGATGCGAGGACCTGGGCCTGCACTAGCAAAGTTGGAACCAAGCCTAGCGCTCGGTGTTGCCACTATTGGCGCCATGGCTAGTGTCGTCGTCGATCGCTCATACGAGGCCGAAGTTGATCGGGCCGGCGTATGGTCTCCGGGGCGGATAATGGCGGCCCAATTTGCAGAGTCAATCCCATTCGGGGGGGTGACGAGGGTGTCGCTTTCGAATTGAGGAGCTACCCAATCGCAGCATTCAGCCAAGTCCTTGACGTGCGGAGAAGCAATTTACGAGGTGTGAGGTACAGACCATGGTGCCATGGTAATCTGGTAGACGGGTACGTATGCGTTATCAGGAACAAAAAGACCCCAGAGCTTCCCAATTTTACAGGAGGCCGATGTCATGATACCCAGACTGAACCCGATCCGAGCGAATCTGTCTATTACTTACTACCCAACAGGCTAAAGCTCGGTTGGTCGGTCGACATCTCTAACTTGTGGTGTGTGATCAATATCTGTGACGGCAAGCAGCGGAGCACAGATTTCGATTCCAATCCGCAATTCTAGTCAATAGACATGTTGACCGACTTGATCTGTGTAAAGGCGAGCAGCTCGTCCAGACACTCCTCTCTTCCCAATCCCGATTGCTTGTATCCCCCAAATGGCACATTGACATAATGCAACGCCACGCGGTTCACCCAGACGTAGCCGACCTCAAACTTCTTGACGGCCCTGTGCGCAGTGGCTAGGTTCTGGGTGAAGACGCAGGCGGTCAAGCCGTAGTCGGTGTCGTTGACAACCTTGAAGAGCTCGTCCTCGTCCTTCCACTTGAAGACGCCCATAATGGGGCCAAACACCTCTTCCCTGGCCAGCCGCATGTGTGGCTTGAGATCGGCGAAGATGGTCGGCTCGAAGAAAAAGCCCGTCAGATGGGTGGGTTGTTTTCCTCCTGTGACCAGCCGGGCGCCTTCGGCCAGGGCATCCTCACAGAAGCCCTTGACCCGATCCAGAGCGACGCGCGAAATCACGGGGCCCATGGTGGTCTTGTCGTCTAACGGGTCACCCGGCACGAATTGCTTCTTGACTTGGGCCGCCACTCGGGCTAGGACCTCGTCATGGATGGACTCGTGCAGGAACACACGCGACGTCGAGCCGCACGACTGGCCGGCCCAGGAGAAGTTCATGCCCTTTGTGACGCCCTCGACGAGCTTGTCGATATCGGCGTCTGGATAGGCCACGAACGCATTTTTCCCGCCCAGCTCGAAGATCACGGGCTTCAACGTGTCGGCCGCGCCCTTGTATACGGCTTTGCCGGTGGCGACGCTGCCGATCAGCGTGACCATACTGACCAACGGGTGCGTCGAGAGCGTGACGCTTGCATCTAACCCACCCGGGAGGAACGAGAGAACGCCGGGCGGGAATACACCTTCGAGAATCTCTGCCAGGTACAAGGCCGACAAGGGCGCCTGCACCGGAGGCTTCATGATGACGGTGTTCCCCGCAGCCAGGGGGGCAGCCAGCTTCTGGGCCGTGAACATGGCCGGGTGGTTATAGGCTACCAGTCTCACCACCACTCCCCGCGGCTCACGCAACGTGTAGTGGAAGGCGTCCGACGCCTGGGGGATAGTCTCGCCCTTGACCATCGGGATCAGACCGGCAAAATAGTCCAAGGCGTTGGCGGCCGTCAAGGCATCTGGGACCATCATATTCACCGGGTTGCCCGTGTTGGCGGCGTCTAGCATGGCCAGTTCCTTAGCATGCGAGCGGACAATGGAAGCTGCCTTGCGCAACAACTCCGCTCTTGTCGCTGGGTGGACGTCTCGCCATGCCGGGAAGGCGGCGTGGGCGGCCTTTATGGCAGCTTCGGCGTCAGCAGCTGTGGCCTGAGCCACTCGAGTGATTACCTCGCCGGTCCCTGGGTTGTAGGTGTCGAGGTATGCTTCCGGCGTCTCCGGCTCATGCCATGCTCCTCCGTAATATAGCGAGAAATGCTTGGGCAGCACCTTGGCAACATGAGACGGGAGGCCGACCATGATCGATTGCTTTCCTCGCTGGTAGATGTCAACGGAATAAGAGCTAAAAGAGGACGCAGATGAACCCCAATGTATATCTTGGGGTCCGGCGAACAAGTTTGCCTGGTATCCATGACCGATCCTCGGTTAATACATGGGGGGAAATAAACGCACGAACGACGGACGACAGGCCAAGAGCCTGCGCGAAATCAAGTCGTGAGTGGCACACTAGCTTCCAGCTCTGGGAGTTGAGCCCGCGCAATGTCGGATAAAGGCGGCATGTCACGATTGTAAGTTACTCGAGGTCGACTGCAAGATACTGTACGGAGTAAGTTAAGGTTGTGGAGGTGGAGAGTTCCAAAAAGCGGGGGATGGAGAATGTTGCTGGTCTAGCCCCGTTGGGAATGCTAGCCGAATTAGTTTTCACATTGGAACGTCAAGTTTGGTTCCCTGGGTTCCCTGGGTTCCCTGGTCCCCCCCAATAGGTACCTCGATTGATTTTATACAGCGGCAAGCAACGAGGCTCACTGCCCTCACTGCCTCACCGTCCAAGCCCGAGGCGGATAACTTCGGCTTGTGTCTATTGGTTCCTGTCTTGGTAACGAAATCTTCTCCTCTCCTCAAGAAGAATACGAGATGGAGATTGACAGTGTCTTGGGCAACCCTTCGGCTGTTGAACTCCGTACTCACTTGGAACTCAACGTCCGCTGCGAGACAGTAGACTCCCCGTCTTCGGTGGGCTGGCTTCATCTGTCCCCCGCAATGCGATAAAAGGACACGGCCCTTGTCGTCGAGTCCGTCCCCAGATAATTTGGGTCTCTTGTTGTAGTTTCTTCAGAATCCATCTCAAAATCCCAATCCATTGAGCAACCCGGAACTTTCTACCTTCCCTATCTTCGTCTTGGCCGTCGTCGAAACCATGTCTTTCGTCAACGGTCTCCCCAGTGCTGGAGAAGTCTACGATGTTGTCGTGGTCGGCAGTGGCTTTGCGGTATAGATCCATACAAACACCAGACAAAAGGTTTGATTTTGGAGCCTGATTCTAATCTTATGCGCAGGGTTCTACCACAACCCTTCGTTTCCTCGAGGAGTGCGAGAGACTCGGGAAGTCTGGCAAGATTGCGTTGATCGAGGCCGGCAAGGAAGGAGAACGATGTGGTGCCAGCAGGTAATCAGATTGATTGATTGTTCTTTGCATTCCAGTAATCGTCTCTGACGAAAACGTCTAGATGGACACAAGCAGTCCTTCGACTCACGGACGGTGACACGGCTTATCTTGTCAAACTGGAGCCGCAAAGCCCTAACCGTCTCTGCAGATAATGTCTTTGACCCAAATTGGAAACACGTTATGAAGGCAAGTATCGACGATCTCTGTCCGTCTTGACCTGCTTGACTAACCCTCTGTCTCAGCGCGTCAGGTAAATAGATCTTTTGATTCCAAAGGTGGGGTTTATGGGACTTATTTTCCTGCACAGCGGCGGGCTTGCAGACCAAGCATACTGCGAGAAATTGGAGAAGGAGGCCCCGATCTCGGTCGACTACATCAAGGAGCGTAAGTTGGGACATGGCTGGAAATCCATCAGATAGACCTTTTGAGGACTGATCTCTGGACCGATACAGGCGGCGTCAAACTGCACCATCACTACGAAGAGAATCTCTTGGTCCAGTTTAGCACCCGTAAGTCCTCACCTCCCATTATCTGAGTCGGGCATAGATTTCCGGAACTAACGAGCCTTTGTCACTTACCGGCAGGCCAGCACTTCTGCTATCCCATTGGCGGTGGACATGCAATCATCAACACCCTCTTCGATCACATTCGAAAGTACCCCAATGTCAAGGTCTTGTGGGAGACGACGGCCGAACATCTCCTGCAAACCGAGCAAGGCGAGGTTTGTGGAGTGCGAGTCCGACAGGCTGATGGAAAGCTATCCAAGGTCTTCGGGAAGAAGGTCATGCTGGCTTGTGGAGGCTTCGAGGGCAGCAAAGACCTGTATGCACTTTTCTTGCGGTGTGCCCGTCCACATTCACAGACTCATTCGATGACAGGATGGCCCAGTTTGTCGGCCCGCGCGTCGAACATCTTCCCGTCATCGCACCAGGGTTGAAATACAACACGGGATTCGGCCTGAAAATGGGCATGGAAGTCGGTGCGTACAGCTACATCGGCTTTGGCTCTGGGATGCCAATTGACCTTGTTTTTGCTTGCAGGTGCCCAAGTTGCGGGATCCATGAACGGCCTCCATGTGAGTAGTGACACCCCTTTAACCCAGGGACCAGAACTGTCCGACTGACGCAGAGATATACAGTGTGAGATGGTCGACTCTCGAACCACCAAGCCCGATGCTGTCGTCTGGGGCCACAATTTTGGTATCGTAGTCAACAAGTGGGTGCCTCGCGTCCTTGGCCAAGGGTGAAAGGATGCCGCCGGATGGCACACAAGGCTGACAACCCGATCATCAGAGATTGCAAACGCTTCTATGACGAGGGCAAAGATTCGTATGTCGCCCCTGAATATCGTCTGGCGATTCTCCATGCAAGTCCCGACTGACATTTACAGACTCTTTGCCACCTTTGAGATGATTGCTCTGGAGGTTTGGAGAGGTATGGCATCAGACATCACATCCCTCGACCGGGCATGTTTTCTGACATTTTCTTTCTGGGACATTAAGACCAAGACCAAGAGGCCTATTTGTACGTCTTCTTCTTCTTCCCTCTTGAACTGGTCCAGAGTTCTGTATCCGTTGGCTGATCCGGACCTTAGTATCACCGACAAGCCCATCATGGACCGTTTTCGACCAGGCTGGGTCAGTTCACCAACTTCCTTCGCCTTCACCTCCACCTCCACCTCCTCATCACTAGCCAAAAGGTCGCTCGACTGATCATACATTTGTGAATGCTTAGGTATTCGAGACCACCGACCTGGAACCCGAATCGAGCGACACGATTGAAGGACTGGCCGAGAAACTCGGAATCGATCCCAAGGCACTCAAGAAGACCGTCGACGAGTTCAACGCGGCGTGAGTTGTTTCTCCCTCAAAATCCATGGTGTGATTTTTTTGATGTGACTGATCACATTTCCGCTGACCTTTGGGGACGTCTCTCCCGACGAATAATAGAACCAACGATGCGCCTCTGGATCTGCTCAAGCACGACGGAAAGTCGACGCGAGGGTATGTAAATCATTTGTCTCTCCTGCTGGGGCTGCGGCTGCGGCTGCGGTATCTAGGACCTCTGACTGTCACCACCACCACCACTGACACTCCAATCTATTATAGCTTGACGCCCGAAAAGTCCAACTGGGCCGCTCCCATCAAAGTGGCGCCCTTCTACGGCTTCCCCCTCAAAACCAACGTCACCTTCACCTTTGGCGGGCTCAAGACCGACCTCGACAGCCGCGTCATCTCCATCAGCGGCGCCCCGATTCCCAACCTGTACTGCACGGGCGAACTCTCTGGAGTCTGTAAGTGTTTTTTGTTTTGGAATAGACAAAATCCCCAAGCGTGATCCATGGGTAATTGGGTTCCATTTTACTGACTGTATGCTCTTCTCTGCTACATAGTCTACAACGAATATCCCGGGGCGGTGGTAAGTAAATCCTATTCTATCCTATCCTATCGCCAATATCTTGGGTCGATCAGCACCTTTGACCCCCTTTTTCAGCCCTTTTTTGGGATCTTTTCAACTGACAAAACTCCGTGGTGATCAAACAGTCTGTCTTGCGGTCACTTACCTTTGGCCGTCTCGCGGGCCAAAAATTTGCCCAGGATCTCTAGGCGGACCGGCTGGACGCAACAAAATGGTACTGGGGTTGGTAGAAGTAGGGAAGAAGGGGAAGGAAGGCAAAGCTGTGAGTGGGGCATGGGCACATGTGCATTCAATAGAAGTGGTCTCAGGCACCTATATAAAAAACCAAGCCACCTCTTCTTCGCGTCGTCCAAAGATCTTCTTCTTAGTCAGGTCTAAACCCCCCAAAATCTCGGCCTCGCGTCCACCATTTCCCTCATGAAATTGCGCTGCCTGGCTTTCTCATGCATAGTATCGCCGGTCAGACTGCAAGAGCCATGCATCTAGGTAGGCCGAAGACTAGGCTGCCGTCCCACCCTTTCCAGTGCAGTCTCAGGGTGATACCGGTTGATCACGGCGTTCCTCTTCTCCCCTAGGCTCCAGTGCTCTTATTTCACGGCATTCTTCGCCATCGCCATCGTCTCAGTCAGCCACTGGCTGATGAACTGCTGAATCTCCTTGTTGTTCTTCTCAATGGCCAAGAGATGTCCGTTGCCGCGTATGCCCCGATCGGCCAGATATACATGTGTGACAGGCACACCGGCATCGTGGAAAAACTGGACGGTGTGGTGATCGTACGTGGCGTGGTACGACGCCTCAGCCGTCACCACGACGATGGGGATGGAAGCCAAGTTGGGCAGCTTCGGTGCGGGCGCCTTCAGCCGGGCTCCTGGTACATGGTCCTTGTTGTCGTGAGTCTCGGTCGAGCCTCGTGTGGATTCCAGACTCTTTGTGCCGTCAGGCAGAGGAGGGTCGTAGGTCAGTGGAGTTGACGTGATTCCAAAGGGACGCACAAAAGCCCCCGGCTGGACAGCTTGCGTCCTGGTGTAGAATTTGGGCATACCTGGGTAGATGAACGGCGGCCCGTTCGGCTCCAAAGCCACAATCCCTTTGACCAGGTCCGGACACTCGTCCGCGATATGCCACCCTATAAGACCTGATTGCGAATGCGTCACCAGAAAGGCCGGCCCAGTACGAGACAGGAGGTCTTTGGCAAGAGGACGAAAGGCCCGCTCCACATTTCGATATTTGGCAATGTGTCCCACCTGGCTGGCATAGAAGGCGTCGAAAAAGGCATCCCCTCTCTTGCCGGTGCCTGGCCACTGGGTAAGTAGTTTTGCCTGAGGGTATGAATCATGCGGAGGCGAAGTGAAGCATTCTTCCAATTCCTCGACTGTGTAGTGGGTGAGTTCTCCCAGGTCGTGGGCATGATATCGCGACCTCCCAACGCCCGGTTGGTCGACGACATAGCATTCCCAGCCTTCCTGGGCTTGAAGCAAGGCGATTCCAGGTCGACCATCAGGCGTGGACTCCCAGTGAGTACCCGTCTGCGCGGCTCCATGGATGTAGATGATGGCCGGTCGGTCATCGACTTTCTTTCCAAAGCGTCGCACACAGACCTGCCCCGTCATATGGGTGCCTCGATCATCCTCGATGTATTTACCCCCAACGTAAAACACCTCGCAGAGGTCGGTTAGCGTCTGGGTACGTTCCATTGCGGCGGACATGTAGAGACGACTGTGGGTAAGCCCTGTTCTTGTTGGGTCAACGTGTTTCTCATCTGGAGAACAGGTGGTCGCCTTGCGCGATCTACAATCGGTCACTTGCCGGTCGGCAGATGCTCGCTGTCCCACAGTTCTGTCCCCATTCTCGGTGGTTTCGGCGACGTTTCCGAATCGTGGGTGAAGGCAGAGCTCTGGCTGGGTGAGAGTAGTCGATGAACGAGAAGGATCGCCGGAATTGATAAAGTGGGCTGATGGAACCGAAGTTCCACCGCGCGTTTCTCCTGCGACAAATATGGCCTGAGTCGTGAATTGCTGGTTGCAGCCTTCATCTTCCAGGGACCTCCATCATGATCTTCCTCGTCCGAGTATCGGCAAAGATGTTGCTACTTCGAAAGGCACCTAGCTCTTCCCTGTGTTCCTGCTCTTATCCCTTCCGATGTGTCATGTCATCCCCCAGTGCAACTTCGTGATCATGCCAATACCTCAAAATCTCCAATGAGTTGTTGTCAGGCGAGGCACGTGGGATGGAGATGCCCTTGATCGCCTCCGCAGGTTTCCATCAAGTTTCTCGGACTTCATCACGGGCAGCGCAAGAAGGTGGTGGTGAAAGATCAAAGACTGAGTCGAGTTGAGGAACAGAGAGTTACAAAAGGATGTGATGTGCAGCATTTTCTCGGAGCAAGGGTCATGTCGAGCTATCTGCGCATATACAGATAAGAAAGGGTACATTATCCAGCGTCTTCGGCACAATGAAACATCGGGCTTTCTTGACGCCCATCATCTTCGCGTGTGTACACCATGTGAATGGTCAACAGGCATCTCCTCGAGAACCCACAAACTTCACCTTGACAGGGCACATCACGCCAGACCAGATCTTCAGCTTCGTCTACGTGCCCTTCAATGTCTCCGCCGATGTGACATCTATCTCGGTGCTGCAGAACTACTCGTTCAAGGGCGCAGGGAACTCACTCGACCTGGGTGTCTTCGATCCTCACGGTGTTGCTCCCATCGACAGCGAGACAGGCTTCTCCGGCTCACGGGGCTGGTCGGGAGGGTTCCGAAACAACTTCACTATCTCTGCAATCGATGCCACACCAGGATATGTAAGTTCTGCAAACCACATGAGCCAGAAGAGATGAAGAACGACTTATCCTCCATTCCCTTGACAGCCATGGGTTTCTGATCTAATGTGACTTGAACCAGAATGCCGGACCTCTGCTCCCAGGAACATGGAACGTAGTGCTAGGCCCATACGCAACCAATCGCTCGGGCATTGACTGGACACTGGACATCTCCCTCTCTTATTCCGCCATCGACTCACCACCGTGGACTCCTTCGCTAGCTCCCATCTCCAAGGAGCCACTCCCCTCGCCCTGGAAATGGCTCCGAGGTGATTTTCACATGCACACCATCTACTCGGACGGCCGGTACCTGCCTAATGAGCAGATCGCGCACGCCCTCTTGTACGACCTCGACTTCATCTTCTTCTCCGAACACAACACGGACTCCGGGAACAACAACATCGGTCGCTGGATCCCGGCGAATGCGTCGAATCTCCTCATCGGCCGGGCGATCGAAGTCACCACGCGCCATGGCCACTGGCAAGCGATAGGACTCGAGCGGTCTCAGCAGGTAGAGTGGAGGTATACCAACTCCTCAAACGATACGGGTTTCATCGATGCGGCCACTCAAGTGCGCAATTCCGGGGGCCTGGTTTCGGTCAACCACCCATTCCAAAACTGCTCAAGGTGCGACTGGACCTTGGACTGGGAACACAACGATGCGATTGAGGTCTGGAACGGCAGGCTTGATCCGCTGGATGAAGTGGCCATCCAGTTTTGGCAGAGCGAACTCGTCAAGGGGAAGAGACCCACCGCAATCGGAGGAAGTGACGCGCACAGTCCACCAGATATCAATGGCTTGCCCACCACCGTTGTGAGGGTCGCGGGGGAGAGCAGCCAAGCAAGTATCGTCGAAGGCGTGAAGAATGGCCGGGTGTACTTGGTCGAAGGCCCCGGGATGGAGATCGACTTTGGAGTGGTCTATGGAAGTGGGAGGAGAGCAGAGATCGGTGATGCCGTCTCCAAGGGGGACTTGGGTGCCGATGCATACGCGAGCTTCTCGTCTACCGGGTTTGAAGGTGCGCATGCTTGTTTTGTCTCCGAGAAGGGGTATTTCCAGAACGTGTCGATCGTGAGTGAGCAAAGGATCCACCAGAATGTGGCCGGCATGGACTTTATCAGAGTCGAGATCCGCAATGGGTCTGATACGTTGCTCGGCTTGACGAACCCAGTCTACCTCCAGTAAAGACGAGAGAAACCCATAGGACAGGAGTTCACTGCTCCGTGGCGCTTTTTCTCCTGCGATAGCAACAAGTAGCAGGCCAACCAGGAGATTTCGCGTGATTCTTCAGTCGACAAACTGGCATACACCATCCCCCCCGGACTCGATCTGCGAGGAATGTCGCCGTGATAAAAATATCCTCCTGCATTTCGTTAGCGAGAGTGGCTTGATTAACTCAATTCGCTGGTTGAAGGTTCAATCAAGTGTAGAGTTTCCAGAAAATCAATTCTTGCATTCGTTGCACAACATTCCTAATGTCTGTCGTCGTAACGCTAGGTAAAGGTACTTTTCCCACCGGTCTGTGTGGGTATGTTTGCTGTGCTGTTCTCTCCAGACCGTTTTCCGGTTGTATGTAGGCAGGTAAGCCTCAGCGGCGCCCTTTTTACTTGGAAGGGATACCTTCAGCAGCCTTGGCCACCTCGTCTGCAATCTTCTCCTTCTCGCTGTCTCCCAGCTCGTCTCTTCCCTCTTCGAACACTTTGTCGAAATCGTACTCGCCCCATCTGATGTTGGGGTTCAACCCGGCAAATTTCCACTCCCCATCGATCTTCTTGTACCAGTGCATATTGCTGCTGTGTGCGTGTCCCTTGACGAGGACCTTGGTGCGGGTGGCATCTGTGTACTTTTGGTGGGGAACACGGAGCTGATGGTACCCAATGATCTCGGTGTCCGAGACCTTTTCCCAATTGCTGGCGCCACAGAAGTGCTGGGTCATCAAGCGCGGGTCACCAAGCACTTTGGGATCGGAGATCATGGCGATGAAATCATCCGCCGGCATGGCTTCCCAGAGCTTGTTCAAGAAGGAGCGGTAGTCAATGCGAACGGTAGGGGCGACGATTTTGCGCAGGCGAGCCCAGTCCTAGAATGAGACAGCCGTGAGTAAGATGGCGTTGCGAGAGAACCGAGAGTCAGGGAACGGCCACTCACCTTAGAATCATAGCTCTCCGCCCACTCCCAGTAGGCGTTCAAGCAGCCTTGGTAGTCTATTGCGCTCAAGAGGAGACGACGATCAGCATCGGTAACACAAGGAAAGATCCAGTCGAGAGAAGGCTGAGATTCACCCTCCATTGGAGTCGCGGGGACGTATATCACTCACCTTCAAAAGAAATCAGCTTGTCCTTTGACGCCATGATGAAAAGCAGTAGTATGAACTGAACAAAAAGGTCGGGAAAGAAGAGGGTCGCGTGAGAGTAGGATTAAGAGTAATGAGAGGGAGGGAGGGGAGAGATATAGTGGGAGCAGGAGGAGCAGGAGGGAGAGGGAGCGGGTTTGTTTCTTGTCCGCATCTAAATAATTGCACACCGCCCCTTTGGTGCCGTTTCTCATGTATGATTTCGCCTTGGGTTATTTATTTCCACCGTTCACACGTGCGTCGAGCCCACACCAACCTCACCTGTCTGAACCTAGCGTCACCAGCCTGTGCAACGGCTGGCCTATCTCAGGGGCGCCAGGACCAGCTGTTCCTGAGCAACCCATGCACGAAGCGGGCGCTAAGGCGGACATTGGAGCGCAGGGCGGTAGAGGTTTATGGTGCCAGTGGGTGCTTGGGCGTGTCTCTAGGGGTGCTAGAAGTGCTAGGCGGTGCTAAGAGGGGTATTTCAGGGGGTGATAGGGAGTTAGTGTGCAGGGTCCGGTGCCTAAAGAACCCGTGACTTTTCACTTATCGGAGCGGGGCGCAGCCATTTTGAAGGCAAGCAACTGGACTTGCTGCGACTTTCTGCAACATACGGAATACCGATCAGTCTATCTCAAGCAACAGCCAATGCCTTGTCCGCGCCGGAGTCCATCTTCCTCCTCGCTCTTCGCTCCTCCCTCGCCGTTCGACCTTCAAACAGCCCAACAACAGAGACCAGATAAATGAACGTGTGACCTGGCTGATTGACTGATGGCCAAGGCATGGAGACGAGGCTGAAGAGATGCGAACCCTTACAACCTTGACATATCCTGCAGCCTCACATCCCAGTTTGCTGACCTATGCTGCGTTTGAGTAGATGAGCGAGTCGTTCATCTAGAGGCGCGATTCCCTGCTAAGGCAAGGCATCTCATGTTCATCCACTCTCGTCCACTCTTGATGACGCCCGTACCAAATCCGAGCCGGCCTCAAAAATCGACAAGCCAGGCCCGTCTGAGCATTCTTGAGCATCCCACCACATGTCAAGCGCCCCTTATTGTCCTCTGGTAGCCTCAGCAGGCTCAGTGCCACCTGCTCGTAATCACCAAAGAAAGGGTGTCCACGAATGTCGTCTTGGCTGCTCTTGACTAGCCCATGGCCGAGTGTGACACAGATTTGACCTCCGATTTGGATCGCGTGGCCGTCAGGGTCGAAGCACGGGCCGAGGCACATTGAGTAGACACTGCCCTCGAATGTCACACTGCTTTCGGCCACATCGTTGGGAAATCGCCAGTGTCCCTGGTATTTGATTGGATGCCATGGGGTGACCAGCAACTCGCCCACGCGGCACAGCGTCTGCGCCTGGCCATGGACTCTCGTCTTCAAAACTGCACCCACCATTCGTGGCCCTTTGGGCGTCCACACCAGCATCCCTGTTCTGATGTCCTTGATTGGCTGCTTTGTCGTTCCATCCCCCATCAGAACAGAGCAATTGCCTTCAAAGCAAGGTGCCGAAGACGAGTTGTAGCTGTTCATACTGACATTTCGGTGCGCTATGGTTCTCGTCCCCGTAACTTCACCAGTGGGGCTATACGTGTACACCACCCTCGGGGGACGAGATGGCTTGGGGGTCGGGAGATTGTCAAAAGCAGTGTCGAGCTCGGTGCGAAATTTGATGAAGAGTGGGCTATCCTTGCCGTAGAGCAACGGGCCAGGGTCCTTGAATGAATTGCACATCTGACGCTGATGTGCGTGGAGCAAGCTGGGCAGATAGAGACGACCCCACTTATTCCAGTAGTTTTTGCCCGACGTCCAGGTGAGGGCTTTGGAGATCTGGCCTGCCGGTTCGTCGCCGACGAGCTCCTCGAGGAGCGCCTTGAGTTCAGGTACATCTTTGTTAGGAGATTGTCGCATCACGCTGATAATGTCACCCAGGCGTTTCTGTGCTTCGACGAGAGAGCCTTTGTCCATGTTGTCTTTGCGCAGGCCATCAGACTTCAAGGGAAAGAGAGAGGATATGAATCCACAGAGCTGTGCTCGGCGCAAATGGTATTCCACCCAGGTGTGAGGCTTCACTGTCTTGTCAGAAAACATTGCACAACTCTGAGACTCGCGGGTAGCTCCGTTGGCGACGGTATACTTGAGCGTCACAGTGATGGCCGTGTCTTCGGGTATACCCTCTGGGCACACGAACACCACGTCTCGGGATTGGCCGTATTGAATGTTTCCCAGGTTGAGGATGTGTCCTCGCTCTCCGGCAGCGAACGTTCCAGATGTCGTTCCTATCGAAATGTCCTTGGATAGCTCAACTTCCAACGAAGCCGACATGCCGAGCGTTGTGTAGAGATTGGCAACCGAATGGACGAATACCGTTCCGATCATGCCCGCGTCAGGAATGAAGGCATAGTTTCCCCTGCCTACCTCTGCAATCGACTGCATCAGACCGGAGCGAATCTGGTAGCCAAATCCAAACGTGTGAATGGTTGGTATGACGGGTCTGTCATGGGCTGCAGCCTCTAGCATTGGGGCGAGTTTTGCAACATAGCTGTATGTCGTCAGCGATCAATCAAATCTCTTGTCAATGGCCTCGCATTCATACCCTTGTTTCGGACAGAGATGATTTGGCTGGCCATCGGTCAGAACGTAGAGTCCTTGTACGTTGTCCACAAGCGGCGCCTCCGAGAACAGGTTCAACCCCGTGCGGATGCCGGCCCAGAGGTTGGTGCATGCATCATCACGCAGCTTCTCGATCCTGCTCCATGTCGCCTTCTTTTCGGCAGGTTTCATGAACGTAAGGGGTTGGACGACCTATTAGTCTTCTGGTAAGCATTGTGCAAATGGGTCAGAGTCATGTGGGCCATCTCACCGTTGCATCATCTGAGAAAGTCACAATACCCAGCCTGTCGCCCTGTTCCAAAGTCTCCAGGATGGTTCTTGCAGCGTGTTTGACGAGATCAAGAACGCTCAGCCCAGCTGCTTCCCTCTCATTCTCGTCCTCTACCTCTGGGAGCGGTGCCGCTGCCGACATGCTCCCAGAAACGTCGATGACGAGCACAATGTCGCAACAGGCGCGTTTGAGACCTTGTTCTGGGACCTGCGGTGGTTGAACAGACACAATGAACGCTTCCATATCTTGGAGGGGATGGATTTCGGCAACTGCATGGTCACCAGCATGTACTGAACGAGGGCGTAGCGGCAGTGCGCGGGGATGGTCCACAATGGCAAAGTCTTCTGACATGGTGCTGTCGGCTCGGGAGCTGCTCATGGTGCGAATAGGTTGATTAGAGATGGGAAGTGGTAAGGATGTTGAGGGCATTTGCAGAGCCTGTGCGAGATGCGGATTGCTTATAACAGTCCTGTTTGATCTGATGTTTGCTTTTGTGTCAGTTCCCAGGCAGATATGATTGCTCTTCATGCCGCTAACCTTGTCATGCTTGCGCTCTCTTTGTTGTAATCAGGCGGTCAAGCTGGCTAGCCTCCGGCCGAACGGTTTCCTGCGTTTTCTCGGGATGGGACTGTAGCAGACTTCTCGCAGTCAAAACAATCTGGAATGCTTGTAGGCCAGGACCTGCTCATGATCGCGGAGGACAATCCCCTTCAAATAGTTACGTCGAAGAGGCAGTGAAGCTCTTCTGTGCCCCGGGTTGCCTAGGAGGCTCGTCCATCTCCTTGGCTCAAGGCTGATCCGGGTGGGATCAAAGGTCCATTAGCGTCAAGATACAGGCAGATGGAAGAGTCATCTAACTACCACGCAGAGGCTGTAACGACTAATTACCTGCACGGGTGTTTTGCCAAAGTATAAACTCCATCGAGGAGACCAGAAGGCGGCACAGCAACATGATAGCGTTGTTCAAGAGACGCAGGCAACCACCAGGATGGGGTTCCAGTCTATCATCCAGCTTCCCCGGGGGATATACCAGGACGAACCGCGGGTCATAGACCCATCGAGTACATGCTAGCAGTCGTACATTCTGTTGAGAATCCCCTACCTTGTTTTCTTTTCAGCAGCTGTACGATCGGCACAAGCGAAAGATTTGTGCCGCTGGTGAGCCTGATGAGGCTGAGGAACTGGAGTTGTGGGGTAGCAGAGCCCTGTAAAGCTGGTGATAGGTGCGAACCCGCGCTGGCGCCTCCGAAGGCGGCAGTGCACGATACCGCCGCGGCTCGTGGTAAAACACTTTGGCGCGAACGAATCGAATCACTAAAGGTCCGACAGGCTGAAACCAAAGAGAACTTTGGAGTTCCCACTGAACTATCGAACGAGGTGCCAAAAGGTCTTTAGAACTCCAATTTTATGGTTGACACAGTATACCCGCTCTGAGGCTAAAGTGTAGCTGTCGTCGATACTTGTGTGGAAGAGCTGTGTAGGTCGGCATGTGTGATTAAGAGTGACTGCGTAATATAGTATATGTGGGTTGCCACTGTCCATCAAAACACCAGCCAGCATTAGAGCATGTTTCCAAGCGGCCGCACCACCGCTCCCTTCGTTCCTCGATCCGATCGCATCCATGTCCTTGAGGTCATCATGCCACCAGCACCCACCAGCGAAGCTTGGCCTGCTGATTCATGGTGTTCCTGGAACTTCGTGTTCCCGGACTCCTCCGCAACAATTTCAGCTGGCTTGACGTAGCATATCGAAGGGAAGTGGCGCACATGTCGTGTTGCACTCGACGTAGGCTCGTGTAGAGTCCAAGTCTCTCCCTGTGTGTCCGGGCTAAAAATCCACCACCAGAGAATTGACTTAAACCCATTTTGACAGGGGTTGTGAGCATCCTCGTTGGTCAGTTCGTGGCCAAGAAAACGCCAGATTTGTAAACAGGCAGGATGTTGATCTGGATGCTCCCGGGAGCCAACAATGTCGATAGAATCCGTGAACACGGAGGGGGACTCGGATATAATGAAGCCCAAGGACAAAGCGCGCAAAGGGGAGCGACCGCTGTGTCCGGACATTGCCACATTTGGTCTATATAAGAAACCTACCACCCTGAGGAGCGAGAAGCTTTGGACACAAATACGTCAAAGAGAGTGACAAGCATCGCAATACATACCTTATCGATCAGTCAAACCCCTTCTCCTACCTCATCAGTCTATCCTGACCATCACCATGGGCTCGATCTCGCCAAAGGATGAGACCATTCTCATCACTGGGATTTCAGGCTTCGTGGCTTCGTAAGTGGTTCTCCTCCAGCATATTCTGGTCCATTGCGAGGCCAGGGGTGGTCGCTGCGCAGATCCTGCATCAACCATAGCTCCTGGACTGACCATTGCTTTAGTCATATTGCCCATACCTTCCTGGAAGCCGGATACCGCGTTCGCGGAACCATCCGATCTGAGAAGTCCATTGCTGGCATAAAACAGGCTCATGGGAAGTACGCCGATCAGTTGTCCTTTGTTGTCGTACCCGACATGGCGGCCACCGATGCCTTCAACGGGGCAGTCGACGGTGTGACAGGAATCATCCATACGGCGAATCCCTTCATTCTGGACCCCAAAGACAATGAAGAAGAGCTTCTGAAACCCTCGATCAACGGCGTCTTGAATGTACTCAAGGCTGGGGCCACCCAAGGACCAACCTTACGCCGTGTCGTTCTGACGGCTTCCTTTGCCTGTATCCTTGACCTCAGCCAAGGTCTTCGCCCAGATTATACGTATAGCGAGTCGGATTGGAACCCTGCAACGTTTGAGGAGGCCAAGAACTCATCCAGCGGTGGTTTCACGTACTGTGCTGCAAAAGGTCTGGCTGAGAGGGCAGCTTGGGAATGGATTGAGGAGAACAAACCATCCTTCTCTTTCACTTCTATCTGCCCACCATGGATTTTCGGCCCTTCACTGGCTGGAATCAAGTCTCTGGACCACCTCAACGAGTCGACAGAGGCAATCTGGAAGCTTGTCAATGGATCCACCAAAGATGTTCCTCCGATTGATTTTGCGGGCTTTGCAGACGTAAGAGATGTATCTCTGGCTCATCTGCGTGCATACGAGCTGGAAGAAGCGGGTGGTCAGCGATTCCTTGTCGGATCCCACTTCGACTATCAAACAGCTGTGGACGGTCTCCGCGATGACTTCCCGCAGATCCAGGACCGCATACCACGAGGAACTCCGGGCGCACGAGAGCCAGCGTACCAGGTGAACGGAAGCAAGGCGGAGAAGGTGTTGGGCATCAAATACACACCCCTCAAAGTGACCCTTAAAGACACAGTGGAGGATCTGCTCAACGCGGAAAAGAAGCTAGCAGCCTAAGACACCATAGAGCAGCCACAACATGTTCCTTATTAGGTCCGTACCTGAGGATCGCCTTGAAAGGGAACACTGTGGGTCAAAGACATCTCGCTGGGATACAGAAGGGTGGACCCATTCAGGAGATTCTGAGTGCCGGGGTACTCGTGGATACTGGGCTGACTGGCTGGTAGTCGAAGAGAAAGCGAGACAGGCCTATGATTCCAAGTGCATTCGCAATCTGTCAATTCGGCTTCGGACTATCGTACCGTCTCCATTAGTCTTGTCTCAAGCCACATGATGGTCCGAGCTCCAAGCGGCATCTGAGTTCTGTTCTTTCATTTCTGTCCGCCAGCCACAATTAGCGGAGTGCGAGCATATAATCACGCAGGATTCTCAACGCGGAACAAAGTTTCGTGTATGCATAACGGCAAGCGTGTCTGTTGCGATGTGTACTTGTAGGAGTGCTCCTGCAATGGCGAAGACGGGATTCGCGATTGACCACAAAGGGATTTCGACTAGCTGCCGCTGCCACGTGGTTCTTCCCCTGCGCGAAACACCTAGCTACTGGTTGATTCGCCCCCTTTCCTGCCGGCAAGCGGGATCGGGAAGAACACAAGCCAGGCTAATGGTGCTTTCTTGTGAGGGGGAAGCAAGATGAATGTCTTAGGCCTCGTGTTTTTCGACGTCATCAAGAGGCGAGGTTGGCGTAGTTGGGGTTTGTTGCGAGTCAGCAAAGCATCTTCCAGTTTCAAAGCATGGAGATGTAGTAGTTGTGACTTCATACGGCCGGTGCAGAACACGCGCGATTTGTTCTGGCTTTGTGTGGCCCAACTATCCAACTCGTGACAATGGCCTTTTTGGAACTTTTCCATCTGATCGTTCCTGCATTCCATTTGGCATACATGCCCGTGGGTTCTGGCCATCAATAGTGGCAGAAAGTGAGGCTTGAGAGCTAATGGAAAAAGGCAAAGATCGTCTCCAGGGCGAGGGTGATTCATGATTGCAGGATTCGATAGGGCACCACCGGGTGCGGCCACTGCCTAGTCCCAGGAACATTAGTACTCGCCCTGTTAGTTTCTTGGGGAAAAGAGCCGGGACCAGGCATGGAAACTCAAGATGATGGACCCTGCAGCCCTCGGGATAGGGGGGCACCTTGGGGCTACTGTCTGCAAGGTGGCCGGCGACCAGGCCCCAATGCAGCATAGCAATAACTTAAACATTGAACTGCCGGCATGCGGCTTGCTCGGCTCCCTGTCAAAAGTAGGAATACGGAGTAGGCAGAGATGTGCTGGTGACCGGATGTGGAGGCCATTGAATTGAGGGAGCGAACGACGATTGTGAGTCTGGTTCGCGAGACTCCCGGTGGCACAATTAGGCGAAAAGAAAAGTACCATCGATTTGGGTGAGCTGGTGCTGTTGGTAGAGGAAGCATCTCACACGAGGATGCCACGAGTCGAGCAGTAAGTAAAACGGCTATTCAGGCAAAGAGTTACGGACAGCGGACAGATTCGGCGGGTGGTACATGGCAAAAAAACATGCGAAAGACGGGCAAAAGAAGTTCAGAGATGCGGCAAGAAGCAAGGAATGGCACGTGGGTTGCATACAAGGTCGCTCATCCACTTCGGATACTGGAAGTGGTAGACCGAAGAAAGAGGGTCTTGCGATCGCTGGTCATTGCTACAAGTGATAGGTCTCCTTTGGGGGAAGTACCTGTAGGTCTGTAAACATCGGATGACAATAGGGATGAAATTGAGTGTCTAAGAGTACGAGGTGCCTGCGCTCACCTCGGGTCTCGTACTTATAGTGTCCAAGTAGCACTGTAGGTGATGCCTATCCATCCTCATATTTAACTCGTCCCTACCTACCAAGGAAGTAGAGTTGACGCGGCGGGCGGTGGTGGTCATAATGGTGGAGTGGGCCGCGGGCCTTGGCCCGGGTGATCATACCCAAGGAACCACCCCCTTCAGGCTTTAGGCTTCAGGCTTTCGGGCTTCAGGGGACCCAGCACCCTCACGGTCCCCCTTCCCATTGTCCTTGTCCTTCCACGTTTCTCATGTCAGACACCAGATCTCCTGTGGTGCCAGTAACTGGCTTTCACGCGACACTATGCAACAACCGTCTTGTTTTCTCTTTGAGACAGGTGGCATGACCTCCCAAATTTCGTCTCCTTGGAGTAGTGGTAGTCGATCATTGGTAGCAGCATGTAGGAAAAGCCAGTGGTAGTTAGCTACTTGGCTGGTAGGCTGGGTAGCTACGCAGCCTGGTAGTAGGCATGGCCTTTAATTTCAAATGTCACGACTACAGCAAATACCCAAAGCAATCTAGTCCGGCTCTGCAAAAGGGAAGAGATGACGAGGAGAAAGCCGGGGTGCCACCCAAGTACCCAAGCACCCACGCTTCTTTGTAGCAAAGTCCCCCCAAGAGTAACCACCCATACCCAACCAAAGCTCTCTCCCCCAATTCCCAATGGATACTTTGGTAGCCCCGATCTAGTTCCAAGAACGTCTCTACCATGTCGACTCGGATTAAAGCACCACGTACCTGATTTGATGGGTTGATGGTTTGATCCAGTATCCGTCTGCCAAAATGGATGAGTGGATTGGCCCACTCCCATGGCATTGGATTGGGCCCTGCCCGTCTGTGTCTGCGTCTGCATCTGCAGTCTCCATCTCCATCTCCATATCCATCTCCACGTCCACGTTCGACTCTCTCTCTAACTCTTCTGCAACGTACCTCTTTTTGCCTCTGAAACTTGTTTTCGGCTTTGGCCTTGGGCTCAACCTTTTTTCCATTTTGCCATAGTCAAAGTATACATAGCACATGCTTTGGCCAGGACTCCTCCAGAATTATCCCGTCCTATCATTCTCACCCCCTTGTCGCTGGCCGTAGTGCCCACCTGCGACCTTTCTTACTTCTTCGGACCCTGTGCAGCAAAGCGAACAATCCCTCCCTCCGAACCTCTGGGGTCGACCAAACCTCAACCCTCTCCTTGAATCCTTACTTCTCCTGGCGCCAACTTTGATCTGCCCCTCAAGATTGCTATCTTGGACAGATCTCGCCGACTCAAACCGACAATCTTTCCAACCATCTCTGCAGTCGACCGCAACTAGATCAAATCCCTCCTCTGCCATCTCCCGCCGACCGCTCCTCTGTGCGACACCTGATCTCACGACCTCACCAGATTGAACGACCGTATTTTCGCGGCCTTTCTTCTGGCAAGCTGCATGCCCTCGATCTGGCTCCACAACATCTTCCGCTCCACGTTTTTCTGAATAAGACCTCCCACCCTGCAGAGTGTTTGGAAGGACAATCAGTTCGGGCGCTCTCCGATCTGGGACGGACCTTCTCGTAAAAGAGTCTGGTGTTGGAGCACAGGATATTGCGACAACCAGAGGATTAAGATCTCATCTACTACACCCTGGTTATCAAGCGATCGGCTTTTTTCTTCCTTCAACATCGCGCAGCGCATTGATCCCCACCCCGGTCACTCGATACAAGGCCCCATTCTGCGCTGGGTCGTCGCATCGTTCTTGGAAAGTGTTGTGCCACTTGGTGCTGCAGTGTCAGCGTCTCCGGATCACCTTTTCATCAGAGTGCGCCCGACGTTCCATTTGTTGGATCCTACGGACCAATAAATTTTGGGAATCACGAGCGATTCGAGCGACGAGTCAGGGATCTTCACCACCGTGTTCGAGCGCCATATGCGCCAGGAGGCAGTTTCTGCGAGCCATCTGAGCTGATCATATTCGACACATACACATCAACGGCTTTGACATGATGGAGACCACGAGCCACCGTCCTTGGGAGTCGAATCCCCCTCACAGTCTCCCACAGACACTGCCGTCAATAGCTTCTTTGACTTCAAAGCTTCCAGTCCAGCCGCTGGACAGAGCCCCGTCAGACCTTTCAATCCATCCACCCCAGAGAGATTCGGGAAGTTGGATGACTCCCGGTACCCGTCAGTGCTCGGTCCCTGCGGAAATGATTAGATGTGTTGCTAACCTTACGCTCATAGTGTCGGGGTCTTCGACAAATTCGATGCCATACCTGAACTCTGCCCACTCTCCGACCGGCACAGGCACATCTCCTTACACTCCAGACAACCCTTCCGCACCTCCAGCTCCGTTCAACGGTGGCCTGCACCCGCAGCCGAACGGACTTCCACCGCCAACGTCAGACCCGAACTCCAATCCAAACAGAGGTAGTGGTGACTTTGACGACTCGCGGAGGAGCAGTGTTGCTTCCAACAGCATACATACAGGCATGAATAACCTCGGCCTCGGCCCTACATCTCCTTATACAAGCACCAATGCCTCTCAGACATCCCTCGTCTCTGGCCTCCAGAGGGAGCGAGGCATCCAGACAAATGGGTATGCGGGAGGAGGCGGCAGATATTCAACAATGAGCGGTCCAATCTCCTCGTTTAGTTCGAGTCGCGGTGGAAGGAGTGGTTTTGCCGCAGGACGAGTAGCCCCCCCAATTCTCGAGAACCCGAAACAGGAGGTCTACAGTGCAGAAGCCCCGACTCGAGGCCAGGCTTATGCCTTTCCTGACCCAGACGCGCCTCGTCCGCCGGGCAGAACACCATCGACGTACTCGCGGAGGAACAGCTTCGCAGAGTCATTCTCCAGCAGTATTTTGACAATGGAGTCGAACAGACTACCATTAGGGCAGCAAGGTAAGCTTTCATATAGCGGGAGAATTGTGATGCATCTAACCAGTACCAGAACTCCCCGATACTCATCATCACAGTTTACAACACAAACAATTAGACAGCCTTCGAGGCGATCCCGACTCTCCGAACGGAACCACGCCCTACAGCCGTACACCAGAACTTCGAGTAACTCACAAGCTAGCCGAGCGGAAGAGACGAAGTGAGATGAAGGATTGCTTTGAACAGCTGAGAAGCCGATTGCCAGCCAGTCAAAACAATAAGTCAAGTAAATGGGAAACGCTGTCACGAGGTGAGTTTGTCCTGCGCCGTGAGCCTGGAATCCCACTAATCTCCCTTAGCCATTGAC